TATATATTGCACGAAAAACCCGCAAATATACACCGCCCCCGTCCGTCCGTCCCTTCCCAGTACACCAAATAGTGAGGTAAGTAAAGTAAAGTAACTCCCCCCCCACGCCCGGTCCCGACAAAACCCCCTGTCGTACTCCAATATCCATGCCCCCCCATCGCGATACCACCCACCCAGCACAGCAACCCGTGTCCCTGTCGGCGGTGTGTGCTCCCCCTGTCATCGCGCTGTTTACCAGAACGTGCCCGAACGTGCCCTCTCCCAAGTCCCCCTCTCCGTTCCATCCATGTGTGTCGTCCCACTTTGTCGTCGTCACACGCCTGATTTGCGACCCGGTTTCCACTCGGTGTGTTTCCGAGGGGAAAGTAAAATTTGGGAGAGAAAAAAAATTGCTTTGACTCCCGAGGTTTACGAGGAAGTAAAATTTGGTGGGGGGGGATATTGCACCGCCGCTCGTTGTTGTAGTTGTTGTTGTCCCATGTTGTTGTTCGCCTGTTTTTCGCCGTGTTGCTCCTGTTTTGCTCCTGTTTGATGATGGTGTATTGTTTTGCGTATGTGAATGGGTATAGGTATAGGGATATGTAACCAAATCTAGCCGCTCGATTTTATCGTATATGTATCATTGTATCGTATGTGTAATCTTATGTCCGTCGTATATGTCCTTCCTATGCTACCAGTGCCGGTGAGTGATGCCGGTGATGTGAGTGTTGTTGGTGAAGTGGTGAGAGGATGGTCCGCCGGTGGTCTGCCCATTTCATGGATGGAGGGCATTTGATGGATGATGGGCTCTTCCAGACGGGGCGAGGAGGTGGCTGTTGGCGCCATACACGGCTGAGGCGGCGTTGGGTGAGGATGGGGATCTTGAGGGCTTCCATCCAGGGCGCTTCGACGGCGGGGCGGCAGGGACCGCAGGCGTAGCTGCTTGGGGGATGTAAGTGTTTTGTTATTGAGGTAGATATAGGAAGAGATATATAGAAGGTGGGATGTGGAGGTGAAAACTGTAGAGAGGGATGTGGAAGTAAGACCTGCGAACAGAGAACCACAAAATGGAACGACGGCCGCCGAAGTGAGAACTGCGAATAAACACACAAACATACCGTTTCTCATACGCAACAACATACACCTTGCACCGGACGTGCGTCCTCTCATACGTCTCGCACCACGCCCGCACCGTGAATACACGATGTCCGCACTTGTAACGGACCTGTGTAAACGGACACATCTTGTTGGCGATATCTCCCTCCGTCTGTCTTGCGTCTGTACGCGTCAAATCAAGTCTTGCTCTCCCAGCAAGAAAGAAGTGCAAGCGTGCGTTCGAATTTCCGTTATAGTCAATATCTCCGTCGTCGAACCAGTAAAGACAAGTCGACAGCAGTATATCTCGTTACTGCAATCAGCACATTCGTTCGATCGATCGTCCGTTATCTATCTCACTCCCCTCCTCAAGAAGTGTGCGAACCCCCCTCTATTCATATCCACCCTCCCCCCCGGCCACCCCATCCGCATCAGCACATCATCCCCCTCCTCCACTTCCAGCCTGTCTCGACGCTGTCTATCCCATCCCCCCTCGCCCGCTCCCATCCAGCCCGCCCCGATCGCCCAGCCAGTGCATCCACACGCCCGGTCTGTTGGGCCCTTGAGACCCCTGATCCCCGTCCTGCGCCGCTGTGCCGTGCGGTAGAGTACGCTCCCAGATGTACTGTAGAGTACGGTATGGACAAGGGTCTGCCCGCCCCGCAGCGAGTGGCGTGTGTGTGTGTGTGTCTCTTAGAGGGCATTTTCTGACATCTGACGAGTCCCAGAGCGGGGGGCGGGTGGTGGGCAGTACGGCGGTAGTCCTGTAGGTACAGTCAGTACTCTGAGGAGGCTAGGGGGGATCGCTGGGGAACTGCTGGGAATTGTGGGAACTTGGTGGTGTCATGGTGCGGCGTTAGAGTGTGGTAGTATAGCGGTATTAGCTGGTTTCTTGGTACCTAGCGCTGTAAATCTTACGCTACAGGAACGGGGGGTACAGGGTGTTTGTGGGCGAGGGGTGGGTGAGGGTGGGATCGAACCCGGGGAACGGGGGACGGTCGGGGTTTGCTACTGGTGGAACCAGCGCATTGGAGGATATCATGATGGGGAAGAGAGAGGCTTGAGGGGCTTGAGAGGCTCGAGACGGGGATATGAGGCAGGGTTGGTATATTTGGGAATACCGAGTTTGGTAACGGGTAACGAGTAATCGTCGTCGGTGAAGCGAGTAGTAGGGTTTAACAATTAATTAAAGGGTGGCATAGAAGGAGGTTATTGGAGGCTGTGGAAGAGGAAGTCAGTGGTGTTGTCGCTGTCGCTGTCACCGTCACTGTCACTGTCAACAACTGTAGTTGTGATAGTGGCATGGGAGATTACTGTTCTCGTATACAACATCGTATACAGCATCGCATACAACAAGATACTCTCTCGTACAGTGAAAAGTCAGATTACGATGGACACTCTCAAGATGCACGCTCAAATCCAAGCAACGAGGCGTCCAAACATCCAACATCCCGCATCAAAGATTCCAAATACCCAGATACCCGGAACCATCTGTACTCGAGTACATTCAGGAAAACACCACAGGAATCTGATCAGTCTCTGCGCCACTCACGGAACCGATCTCTCCCGGCCATCGCATCTCATCTCATCGCCATCGCCATCGCCATCTCCATCGTCTTGCTTCTGCGCGCGCGCCGACCTGCGCCGACCTGCATCGATCGCCAGCGCCCAGACCATCGCCTGTCTCTGCGTCCTCACACACCTCATGCAGCATCCAGGAAGCGTCAACAACAAGCATCACAGCGCACACCCGTCCTAAGACCTACGCCAGCCCTGTGCTGCTGCAGAAGCCACTATCCAGCAGGGGAACATCACCAGTCCACCAGCACCAGAAGCTATGACACTTCGTGCCTCGACAGCGGCACGCCAGCGCTGCATGTCTTGCATCCTACCCACTGACCAGTTCACCTCTACCCACCGTCTCGGCGCCTCAGGACGCTTTCGATCGCGTGTGCATATATCGCGCCGATCTGTCTCCTAAACGGGCCGCAGCGTCCCCACGACGGTACAGCCGCCGCTGCAGAGTCTGAGAGGCTGGCCTATCTGGGTCGCCGTCTCGAGGGCCGCTGCTGTTTTGGGGGAGGAGACGACGGCTTCATGCAGGACTCACTGCGATGGGATAGGGGAGACAATAGTTTGTGGGGAGCGAAGGGTGGGATGAGACACTCTTGTCTCGCTCTTTGCACACAGATTCCATCAATACGGTACTGTGCGCAGGTGTTCCACGTGTGTACCTTGGTCGATGTTTCTAAGGATACTACACTGCGCTGCTACTACTCTCGTCGTCGCCGTGTCTGGTGATGTTACCATCGCCAAACGGCAGCCATGCCCCTCCATCCCATCTCCCCTCACCCGCCCACCTCGCACCCAAGACACGGCGCCCTCCCCTAATTCGTCCGCTACCAGACACCAGCTCTCCTCCCCGCCGCCTCCCTACGCACGCCGACAGATCGGGAACGCAGCCTTCCCATTCCGAGACGACGGCAGCGCCTAGGCACTACGCGGGGACCCGGCCGATCCCCCGCCGTTGCATGCATCGAAACCTACTTACCTCTTTCGGTCGCTACAGAACTGTAGACGACCTAGCTACCTAGTTACCTGTGTTCCCTGGCTGTGGCCCGCTGCCGCGGAGCCGACGCCGTGCTACTGTGCACCACTGACTCGGGCGGGTATGATGCGCACCTGTCGATGGGCGGAGCTAGGGGTTTGGCCTGCGGGGACTGGGACGGGAAGAGGTGGGTACGGATTGCACGTACTATGGGGATTTTACTGTAATAGTGCTGCAGAATAGGTGGTGGCGGCTGCGTGTCTCAGTGTCTCAGGAGAGAGACAATACTGTCTACTGGACGAGACAGAAAGTTGTCCTGTCTCTTGTCCTGTCTAGCACTGCAACGGCAGTTACTGGTGCTGGAGAAAAGCAAGGAAAAGACAGATGCAGCACGAAACGATGTCTCGTCCTGCCAGGTTTTCCCCTTTCGACCCCCCTGAGCTGCGCGTCGGGGTTTGCGTTGCGTCCTGTATCTGTATACTCCTTCCTGTCCGGTCGTGCCTGTACAGTACAGTACATACAACAATACTGCAAGAAGGTAAGTACCACCCAGCAATTTTTCTGCAAGTAAACAACAGCGACAACAACAATACCAACGGGACGATCTATCGCTGCGAGGGATATCAAACATCACTCCACTATCTCGTCCACGACTCGTAAGGTACAGTACATCAATCCAGCACATCACAGCAATCAATCAGTAAACACCCCCTCCATCCCTCGTACCCACCACCACCCCTCTCCCCACCACAATCCCCATCGTCCCATCTTCCCACCCATCCATCCAGCGGCTCCCCCTCCCCCCTCCCCCTTCACCGTCGAAACGCCTCGTCCCGTCTTCAGCCACACAGGCTCCTAAAATACGCCTCAACACGGCAGCCGGCACTGTCGCCGTCCGCTTCGTCCCGTGTCTGTTCCTGGCATGCGGCGGCGACGCTGGTGATCTCCACCTCACACCACCTCCCTCCAATACAATACAGCATAGTACAGTACAGTACCTTTTCTCGCCAGCTGGTAAATTCCACACAGCCGGGCGTGCCGGGGACTGCGATGGCGGCTGTGGCTGCGCGGCAGGCAGATTGGTGGTTGGTTGCGAGGTTGCAGTGCATAGTGGGAGATCAGGGGGAATGAGGGTTTACAAGGGGGGCTATGCGAGATGGGGCGAAGAGGGAGACGCGTTGATTCAGAGCGGTGTATGATACAGTACTTTATGAAGACGATGCGACGTCGGTGAGGGCGACGCATGGTGGCAACGACTCTGGAGAGATGAAAAGAGGAACAGTTGCGAGATCTCAGCTTCCCCAGGTTCGCAGGCTACTGAGACATGCAGTAGTAATCAGTAGTAATCAGTGGTAATCAGTAGTAATCACGCCAAGCAGGTGGTTTGAACATCTTCATCATTTCCCTTTCTACCGATCCAGCTCATCCGTCCTAGCCAGTGAAACGCCTATAATCCGTGGGAAACTAAACGCCTTGAATAAAACTCCTCTCCCGTCCTTCACATGTCCGGGTATATGGCACCCCTTTCACACCTTCACCCTTGGCTCCCGGATACGCCTCTTCGGCGCCGGCGTCCCATTCACACCCATCCCGAGCGCGATCTTGCTCTCCCTCGAACTCGCCATCCCGACCCTGACCTTGGTCGCCTTCTCCTCCTTATCTTCCTCAACCACTACGGTCTTCTTCTTCGTAGCCCCTTTGGGCCCAGCAATACTCTTAGAAATAATCTTCTTCTCGTCAAATTCCCTCACACATGTCAATTCCTCCGCCCATACGACTGCCTTCTTCGGCTTTCCCCCCTTCCCTTTCTTCTCCTTGTCATCAAACACCTCCTTCAGCAACCGCTGCCTCAAGACAGGGTCATCCTTCTCCTCCGCTTTCTTTGCCAGCAACTCCATGGCGCCTAGTGCACCAGCCTTATTCTTCCTTGTATTTACCCGCGTCAGCGCAGCGAGCTCCTTCACCTCATTCTTCCCCCCAAGTGTGAGCGTTGTATCCTCTCCCCCAAGCCTCCTCATTGGAATAAAACTAGGTGCGCCCGGCGCCGCTGATTTAACAGGGAGTCTTGTGCGGCCGCTCCGGCGAATACTCTGCGGTTCCGTCGGCTCGTCACCCGGCGCCGACGAGTTAAGTCGCTTCGACCGCTTAACAGGCGAACTCGACGTCGGGTCGACGGGCTCTTTCGAAGCGGTCTTTACGGGGGAGGGGGAGAGGTTGCTATCCATATCCCCCAGTGGGATGCGCAGCGGAGAGTGTGGGGAGCGCTTGCGTTTCGGTGAAGATTTGGAAGCTTTTGAGGCTTGCACGCGGGTGAGGAAGGAGCGGAGCATGTCGGTGTCGTCGTGATCGTAGTCTACCGCCGGGGGGGTGAAGGATGCGGACTCGGCAGACTCAGCGCTCTCGTGAGAGTCGGCGGACTCACTTGACTCGGATGGGCTGTCCGAGTGGGTGGCGTCCTCAGTGTGCTCGAAGACGGGTTGCTCGGGCTGGGTGGGAGAAGTGTTGTCAGCTTCTGCTGGCTCTGGGTCCTCAGAGGCATCGTTGGCCTCCGCGTCCGTTGCTTCCTGTTCTTCTGATGTAATATCTGTAGCACTCGTAACATTCTCTTCATGTTCCACAGGTATTTCTTGAGCATCATCGGTGCTTGGGGCGTCACTCTCAGAAGTGGCAGGTTCTGTGGAAGCTTCGTCCTTTTGCTCTTGACCTTGCTCTACATCACCAGTCCCAGTAGAAATGTGATCATCAGCCAATGCCAGGCACTCTTCCGTCTCCTTCTCTAAAGGCTCCAGAGGTAGCGATTTCTTTTCCAGAAGCTCCTGAAGATAGCTTTTGATAGGAGATGAGCGCCTCTTCACCTTCTTCATCTTCGCGATAGGGGTGAAGAAGTTAACCATTTGATTCTCGAGTTCGCTCCTGCTGAGATGGACCTTGGGAGGGGCGGTAGCTGGTACTGCTGTAGCCTTTGCCGCACGAACAGGGGTTCCCATAACCCCTGCATTATCTGTGCTGGGTCCATTGGGTGCTGAGCTTTCGTTATCAGCACCAGCGAAAAAGGCTCCAGAGAGCCTAAGGTCCCCTCCAGCGCTTGACCTCTGTTCTTTCGCGGCGCGCGACCTCTGTTTCTTTCCGGGAGATTTTAAAGGTGATCGAATCACTGGCGAAAAGACTTCCAGCATTGAGACTTCGTTCGCTAGGTCGAAATCCGGAGTGATTTTCGGAGATTCGGTCTGAGGGGGGATTGTAACAGCTTCGGTGTCAATAAGCATCGATCTCCTCAGGCTCTTTCGTAGGGATTTCCGCGGCCGCGTAGCTCTCTTAATGGCGCCTTCGGGTGATATCTGCAGCGGCTCGGATTGTGCTTGTATGTTGAGTTTGGTTTGGCGGAGGGACTTCTTTGGCGAGACGACCTTGTTGTCATTCCTCCTTTTCCTCGGTACAAACTTCAGGTCGTCTTGTATCGAGCTTTCGTCATCTCCAGCGTGTGCCGCACTTTCAACAGCAGTGCTGATCTCGTCTGGGAAGCCCTCCCATTCTGTGCCATCCCACTCCGCATCCCTTATGTTCTGTTTCGCGCTGGTTGCCCGCGACTTCTTCCTCGATCCCGTGCCCTCCTTTTGTAATTCCAGCTGTGCCTCCTCGTCGTTTGTATCTTTCTCAAAGGCTCGCGCAACCTTCTTCCAGACCTTCTTGCCGTGTAGTCGAGGGGCACGTGAGGGCACCTTCGCGCGGTCCCAAGCTCGAAGAGCTCCGCGATTCGTAGGGGGTAGAAATGCAGACTTGCTGATATTCCTAATTCATTATAAGCAATCATTGTGGTCACAATGAGGTAGTAGTACATACCAGTCTTGCAGGTTAGGACCCTCCGACGCAGCCATTGTCGCTGCTATTCTGCTCGTCAAAACTGATAGTTTAGAACATAAAATCGGGGGTTCAAAGTTCGCAAATATAGAAGGAATATAATTAAATCCTTCGTTCCCTCAAAGTACACGCGTCAAAACCGCATCAAAGTCGTAAATTAAGGATAAGTCCCGTTGAGAACAATACTCTGTCTGTTATCGACTGGGAGTTTCTTCGTTTGTTTACATCCACCACTTCTTTCGGCAGCGCACCGGCCAACCGCTATCCCAAGTACGCACTAGCGTCACCGAGGTGTTTGTGCCTGAGTTTGTGCCTGATTGATCCTCGAAAGTTTTTGGGGGACCAATTGGGACGACATTCCTCGCGACCGTTCGAGATCTCTCAGCATTCGCCCTCAAGAGAAACAGTTTGTCTGAGGATTTTCCAAGATGCCGCCAAAGAAAGTAGCTGTGCCGAAAGCGGTAGCAACCCGTCTGCCACCTCTGCCAAAGCTTCGTGTCAAGAGGCCGAATCAGAACAATAACAACCCTTGCTTGGGAATCATGACTTCTGTTCTCAGTAGGTCTCCCCAGAACCAAATATCCTTGTAGCTAAGGGCAAACCGAGCAAGTTGCTAACGGAAATCTACAATAGCTTGCTGGGCTTCTTCGGGGTACAGCGTGGCGGGCTGCAGCGCTTTAGAGACATCACTGCGCGTATGCATGGACACACCGGTAAGTTACTCCAGATTTCGCAGGATAGGGTGCACGCCGAGATGGGATAGAGAGCTAATAAATTATGCGATTACAGAGATCGAAGGATTTGAAGAAGAACACCATCAACTACCATTTGTCGAGAATGTACCCCCAGATTGTCGGACCGAGGAAGAGGAAGTGAAGGGAGCGCAGGACGCGGCGGAAGATGTGAAGCTACTGTATATCAGGATGAGGAGAGCCGGAGGAGTGCAAGCACGATTTCGAAAGAGCCTACGGAGGGAAATACTTGTATATTGGGAGCCACTGTTGTAGGATACGGCATGAGTGCATTGGCGGCGTATTGGGATTTGGGAAGACTGTATATGTATACCAGAGCAAATGGAGGAATATCAAACAAGAACAAGAAGCAACTATTGCATTAGAGTTATGAAGTGATCGGCTTGAGGAAACCGGGAGGGGTGTATCTTGGATGCGGCAACCTATACTTCGCGGCGATCCTAAGGAACCACTCAATCGGCCATTGAAGGTCAAAACTCAGGAGAATGCAGGACGGACAACTGCAACGATAGCTGCATCTTTCTGGTACAATACTTTGGCCAGCAAGCGGTACATTCGTAGAAATCAAACTTCACGTTTTGTGTCACGTGACATATATAAATTACCTTGAACCGCTGAAGCCCTTCAGGGTATCCGCCATCACAGACAGCGGCCAACCAGCCACAACCGCCCCAATGCCAAAGCCCCTTTTCCTCACGCGGCCTCTGGACTCCCCCCACCAGTCCCTCCTCTACCTCTTCATAGCATATAAGTCCCTAGTCCTCTTAATCGCCCTCTTCAGCCCTGGCCCCGGTTACGATACATCTGCCAGCCTTCTCACCCTCCCTGTCAACGATGGCTCATCCCTGACCACCTTTTTCGAGCTTGTTGCTGAGAAACTGACATCCTGGGATGCCATCTACTTTACCACAGTTGCGAGACGCGGCTATCTCTATGAGCAAGAATGGGCATTTGCATGGGGCTGGACGAACTTGATATCCTTTTTCTCCTCCGGTAGGCCTCTCTCCATATATATCCCCATTTACGAACTAACGCCCCACAGATCTCGGCCAGACCTCCCTCGCATACCTCCCACTTGAAAGTCTTGTAGGTGCCACCATCGCCCATGCCTCCCACGGCCTCTCGGTCTTCGCGCTCTACCACCTAGCCTGCGCCATCTTTCCTGGCCCATCTGGGCCACAGCTAGCTTTTATCGCTGGATGCCTGCACATCCTCTCACCGGCCGGGATCTTTCTCTCCGCTCCGTGCGGTGAGAGCACTGCTGCATTTTTGACCTTTGCCGGGGTTCTGTTTTTTGCCTGGGGTGTGCCTGTCGGTGGTGTGTCGTCGGTGAGGCAGGATGGGTTCGTGGTGCTTGCGGGTGTGACGCTGGGGTTGGCAACCACTGTGAGGAGCAATGCGCTGCTAAACGGCATTGTTTTTGCAGAGGAGGCGGTGCTAGTTGCCTGGAGTGTTACAAAGGGGTTGACGGTCCAGAAAATCAGACGATTGGCTGCTGTAGGAGCTGGTGGATGTTGCATTGCTGTCGGTTTCTTGCTACCACAGTACATTGCGTACCAAGAATACTGCTCTTCCGCCTCACCCCGGCCGTGGTGCGCGAGCTTGGCTCCTAGTATTTACACTTTTGTGCAGGAACACTACTGGTATGTCTCTACTTTGTCTCCTCCGTATCCAGGTGCTAACACGAATGGTAGGGACGTGGGCTTCCTCCGCTACTGGAAAGTATCCAACATTCCGCTCTTCCTTCTTGCGGCGCCGGCCCTCATGATTCTTTTATCCTCCGGTCTCCGCACAGCAGACCTCACATCAAGGGAAACCACCAGACCCTCGCACAAGGTTGACCACTACAAAGTGACTCCGACCGAACGCGCCCTCTCACAACGCACGATCCGCCTGCTCAGGAGTCTGGCGTATCCACAGATTGTTCTCGCAGTGCTCGCGATCACCAATTACCATGTCCAGATTATTACGCGCCTAGCATCTGCTTCGCCCGTGTGGTATTTGTGGCTGGCATATAGCTTACTAGACGCTGGACAGGTTGAGGGGAAGGCGAAAGTAAGAAGTAGGTGTAGCGGTTGGGAAAGGGGTGTGGTTATGTACATGGTCATGTATGGACTCATCCAGGCGGTTCTGTTTGCATCGTTCCTTCCGCCTGCATAGCGTATTTAGGTTAACGGCTCTGTGAGAGCCTTCTATTTTTGTACTATCAAATATAAATAGTGTTTCTCAGTCTCTGTTTCTACTTATGATTGATTTAGGCTGCCGGATACTTGTTTTGCTCATTTTGTGAGCGGATGGTAGGTAATTCTTGCCAATAAACTGGCGTTCAAAGTTCAACCCGGTTCAACCAACGACAACAAACACCAAAACTCTTCACACCTTTATCAAACATGTCTTTGTCCATGTTTCTTGTACGGTCGTTATCAAACTAAACATAAAGCATAGTCAAGACCGTTTCCGCGCTTGCCTGCCTCACGCTACTTTCTTTGTTCAATATGCATGTAGCCCCGAAACAACGTAACAGGAGCCTACCTTTCATGAATTGCTAGTTTACTCTCCGCGCCAACTTTAATACCGTTGTTGATTTTGGCCACTACCGTTCAGGTTGCTGTTGGGCCTCAATTTACCACGAACACGGGAGTCTAGTGTTTAGGTCTGTTTCTCAGATCTCTGAGGTCTATTCAAACTTTTCTACAAGAATCCTTTGTTGGCCTTGCTTACTCCGATCTCCCAAATACCCAGCCTAGGTCGGCTGGATAGACCTCTTACAAAATCCTTCCCAGAACTCCAGTACTAATCTCATGCTCGTCTCGCTTGCACTTCTTCGACCGGATCAGCCACCAAGATTTTGACGCCCTGGTATTTCACACTTGGGCGTCTTCTACGAATCTTTCTGCCAAAAGGTGGCACTGAAGGCTGAAGGTATTCTCCCAAAGAGCAGTTCAGTCTAGATTGAAAGTGCCACTTATTTCACGCCCAGATATGTGGCCCAACAACAACTTCGGAAGCAACAATTTTGGAAGCAACAGCGCGCCCACCCACAGCGGCGCCAGGGACAACAATAACAACAATCAAAGCAACACCAACCAGGAGAACTACCAAGGAGGTGAGATCAACCAGGGTAGCGAAGACTTTGTTAACTACCCTCACCATACTGCTGGCTTCCCAGTGTATCCACTATTTCCGTTTGAATATTACCCGCCGCCAAGTTCAAACTATTTCGGGGGTTACATGCCAAACGTATTCCATCCAATGCCTGGATTTGGGAACAACGAGTTTATACAAGCCTCTTTCACCAATCCAGCCAATCCGGTAAGTTGAGCATGAAGTTGTGCTCCTTCCTAGAGAAGAATTACAGATCCAAGTACTGATCTATATTCACCATTCTCGCAATACCTTCAAATCATTCCATCTTTATCCGAGCAATTCCTGTCTGAACTAACACCCCACAGGAGCAGGCCATGGAGCCTCTTGCGCTGGCCCGTCCTGGTGTATCAACTCACTCTGTTCAAGCAACTCGGTCCATCACATCAGCTCGGCCCGACACACCAACTGAACCTGCTGCGTTACGCAAACCTGTTGCTAACATGGCTCTGAACTCTAGGGCGGAGGAGCTAAAGGCCCAGCTCATAAAGAGCAAAGAGGAACGTGCCAAGGCCAAAAATGCGCAGAAATCAGATGGAGCTGTCGCCGGCACTCTCGATCCAACGTCACTAGAGATGGCGAGTTTGCTTCGAGGCTCTCCTACTATGCCCAGAAATCAGCCGAAGGGTCCCAGGAGTTGCTCTATCGTGTCCTCTACTGGACCAAAAATTATTACAAAGGAAATTATTTCAGGCAATACTGGACCTAATTTGGCACGAAAAACTTTGGCCTGCGACATATTAGGAAGACCCAAGGCTGACGAGAATGAGGTTGCAAAACTCATTGAGGCTGGCAGAGCTGCTGTTGAAGAGAACTGCAAGAAGAATCTGAGTTCCAATGGATTGCCTACTTCAGGGATTGGACCATCGCCGGATGCCACTAAAGTTGTACAAAACACTGCACAATCAAAAGGATCCCAAACGCAGCTTAATTTGATGCATTCAAAACCAGCTTCAACTCAGGCCAGAGCTTCTCAAGATATTGAGCAGAGAAGAACTGTACCCAAAGAAGAGCATGAGAAGGTTCTGACGGATGAGCTTGTTCTAGAGGTTGTGAGGAAGGAAAAATTGCCATCGACACCCAGTGCTGTGGAAATGCAAGGTCTCATTGGGTTCCACAGGAGCGCAATTACACCGGACAAGAAGCCTGCACCAAGACATGAATATTCTGGACAACGTGGATCAAACGCAAATACGATTGACAAGCCTCGACTTGACAGCTGTGGCAAGGACAAAGATAACTCAAATGCAAATAATAGGAATAGTATCAACATGATTCATAGCCCGAAGGAAGAAAAACATTCACCACTGGAGAAAGTTCTCCTGAGCAACGATGATCTCCGCGACTGGCTCAAGCTAACTAAGTGGGACAATCTTGCTCACCGCAAACGCGCCCTCGGGCGCCACCGCGCCATCATCGCCATCAACACGGAAAAGGCCACGGAAAGGGCACACCTCCTCGAGAGTGCTGCCAAAATCGAAGCTTTAGACAAGGAGAAGGCCAAGTTAGAGGCTCAAATGACAGACGACGAAGATGTATTTGCCGACAGGTTCCCTGGACGCTCCAAGACGAGATCAACTGCGAGAGGGGGTTCCGATGAAGACTCTGTGAACTCTCCAGGCCAGGTTACAGAGCCAACCCCAGCCTCAGTCGCCCCCAGGAAGCGCTCCTTCTCTACCTTCTCTAACACCAACCACGTCTCTGTGAGGCCCAAGAGCCGCCGGCACTACGCCTCTGATGTACGGAGATCGAGCCCCAGCAACTCGGGACAAGAGCTCTTCCACGACCGCCACGACCGCCGTGGCCGTTCTCGTGAGCGCCGCAGCTACGAAGACCGTCGTGACATGTCGCCCAGTCTTAAGTCCTTCCTGGAGCGTGAAGATACCCGTGAAGAACGCGAAGCTGCAGCCCGTCGCCATAACACCGGATTTCGTGGTTACCACCGTGATGAGCATCGCCCTTACTGCGGTTATCGCTGGAGAGGCCGCGGCCGTGGTAGAGGCGATTTTGATGAGCGCCGATAGTTCAGACACCGATTTGAGAGGGAAGGTGGGGTGGAGACTCGAGGGCTTGGTGGCGGGGTTGCGGCTTCGGGGAAATTATTATTATTTGATGTTTTTAATGGCTAGTTGTTTTGTGTGGTACCCTCAAAAAAATACATTCTGACGTGTCTCGTTTTTGCTTTGTGAGTGACTGTTCTGTGATTAAAAGTCCATGGTGAGTATTTTGCCAAATATGATAAATATTCGTGATAGTGCCAAGCAAGTCCCTTTCATCGCAGCAACCATCCATAATATTTACCAAACCCAACCACTATCCATACTATCCAATAGGCAAGAATAAGAGATAAGTTAGCCCATCACTGAGTCATAAATATACGGTGTGTAGCACCGGTTTGTGCCATCAAAGTTGACGAGAACGTTGACAATGTGACCGCTTATTTATTTATTGATTTGGGTTTTTTTTAAGTTTAAAATTTTGTAACCATTAAAATATTTATATCACCAGACTTCATCCCCTAAAGTTAACCGAATTGCCAGCGAGAGTGCAACTTAGCGTTTACATTTTGAGCTGAGGAGCAGCCACCGTATGTTTACAACAACCACCTATCTGTATAGCCTCCAGTTCTCAATCTTAGCATCTCTCTTGTCCACCATACCCAACGCCTCACTACATTCCGAATTATAACCCAGCATTCACCAAACACCACCGCGAACTCCCCACCGCGCAATAAATGTCGACGCCGTATAGTATACACCTTCTCCAAGCCAGAATCTCTCACTCATCATCCTCTCCCTCAGCATCAACATCCACATCCCCAACCACAAAATCCTCTTCATCACTAATCACCATCTTCCCCTTTCCCTTCCCCTGTCCACCCCCATTCCTCCGCCTACTCATCCCAGGCGTCTCATACAAAATCCCCTCATCTTCCTCACTACTCTCCTCCTTCCCCTCGTCCAGGCTCTCCCCAAGGCTCACCTCGACCCCAAGTCGACTCCTCTCCTTCAGCCGCGGCGGTAACCCAGGTCCACTATCCGCATTCCCGAAATCGCTCTTCTTGGTCCCCTTCGGCCAACGCCCAGGCCCACGTCCTGTACCACCCGCCGAACGCCGCGAGCGCGACGCCTTGCGACTTGACCCCGTTGAGCGTGCGCGCGAGCCTGTGGCGCGGCGTGCGGTGCTGGGGCGGGAGGCGGTGGGGCGGGCGCTGCGGGGTGTGCCTGAGGGTTGGGAGAGGGAGAGTCGAGGGGCTTTGATGCGTGAGGCGTTGATTGGGGGGTAGATTTCGAAACGGGATGGGGGGATGGGGGAGAAGTCGTCAACAGTGTTGATGGCGAGGGGGTAGTCGGGGTGGGGTCCGCCGTTGGTGAAAGGTTGGAGTGACGGCCGGCTTGATGGGGGGGAGGCCGGCGTGGGTGTTGTTTCTGTGGCTGGGCGAGAGCCCTGGCCAGAGGTTTCAGCGAGGGATGGGTCCAAGTCCATTTCGTCAGCTTGCTCGCCTTCCACGTCCAGTGAAGCGAAAGAGACGCCATTTGTTAAACCGTTGGATTGTCCGCTTTCGATATCGCCATTGGTTAAAGCAGGTTGCGTGGCGCCAGCTGGATTCTCGTCTTCTTCATCTTCATCTTCATCCTCATCCTCGCGCGGCGCAACAGCGCTCATAGGCGGTGCATGTTCTATAATATTCTGGTTGTTGCGGCCCATGATATAGGGTGTCCAGACGAGCCCGTGCGGGTTAAGTCTGACGTAGTTCTTGTCCTCCCATTTCTTGATATATTCTTCGTAGAAGTCGTAGTCGAGTCTCAGAGCATATGTGCCAGTGACTGGGTCTCTAACCAGAGCCCGAAGCCCTTCGAGGGCAGAGACAATGTCGTCAGCCGTCATACCAGTTTGTTGAGATAGTTCGATTACACTGATCGACCTCTTCTGCTCTCTTGTATCCAGCAATCTGTAGCATAACACAAGACGCCAGTAGTTTCTATACGACACGAGGCCCATATCTGAAAGAGGCTTTTCCGGGGATCCAGATTTTCTCTCCACGAGGGTAAGCAAATAAGAGAAGTCGATAAGAAGATTGCCGTAGCCTTTGCGTTGATGGATGGGCAAGGTGAGAATGCACGAGACGTTATTTTGACTGCTTGGCCTCTTTTCCTTGGAAAAGTATCCCACAAAATGGCAGCCGAACTCGTCGTATTCTGTCATAACATAGAACAGGAATGGTTCCACATCGTAGTAGAGAGTCTTTGAACCCAAGAAAAGTTTCGCAAGGAGGCATAGGTTCTGGCAGTAAACCGGATTCTTTCGTCCATCGACTTCAAAAACTGAGATGGATACATCCCTGTAAATTTCATCTCCTGGCGGATGCTTTGCTGCGCACTTCATCTTGTGGCGCCAGGCGACATATTCCGAATTCATGTATTTCAGACAGAATTCACAAATGTGGAGCACACGATTTCGACTGTATTCCTCTGGGTAGGGCGCCGCATACCACGTGTCGATCTCGTAGCCTCCAAAGTTGATGCACTCAATTTGAGATGCTGGACCGGACACCTTGCGTGGTTTCTTAACGTTTTCTGCTTCCGCATGTTCTAAGGCGGTCTTCTGCGCCCATTCTTCTTCTGCCTTTTGACGAGCGTTATCAAACATTCGACGGTCATCAGCCTGGGGCAGCGTTTTTGTTGTATCCGACTGCGCTTCTGTGAGTATGCCACCATACGGTTTCGACTTCAGTTCATCCATGTCTTTATCATGGAAAGAATAGAATGGCTGAGAATAGATACGCGGTACGTATGCCGGAGGAGGAGCTGATATTGATGCCCTACGTGCGGCTGGTGTTGACCTTGGTCGCTTCTTCACTGGTTTTGGGGGGTTAGAAAGGATGCGTGCCAAGTCAGTCGCATTCAATCGAATCCGAATAATAAGGCTTGTGCGTGAATGTTTTTCGATTGTTACCGGTGGCTTTGTAACCTTTAGGGGTCGAAGTGATCGAGATGGCCGAGAACTAGCGGGCTCGGCTGCTTTGTTTTCATTGTTGAACCCCTCGGCTGGTTCCAATTTGTGGCCATCAATATTCTCGGCTGCTTCAGCGTCCGTCATTATTGCATTCGAAGATCCGTCAGAGGTTCGCTTCCGGCGTTTACCGATGGACGATATAACGCCCTCTTCTGCCTCCGCAGACGAGGTTTTACGCTTCCGTAGTAATCTCGAGCCATCCATTGGGTCATCGTCAACAATTAAGTTATTGAAAACGGAATGCGAGTCGGGTTTAATTGCCCCTCTCTGGGAAGGGAGTAAGTCTCGTGCCAGCTTCGGTGCTGACGACCGTTGGAGGGTGATTACCGATGGGGATTCCTGGTTTACGGTTTCCGGTTCCAGGGCATTGGACACACATCCTGGGCAACGCCATTTCGCAGCATCTGGAATGGTCAGTTAAAGCTCATACACCGTTTCAATGGGCCGTACCTTCATCTACTTCGAGTGCTTCCGCATCTCGCGAGCATTGTCGATGTGCTGTGCACACACTTGTCAGCATCGTTCTAGATCCAGGGGTATACCGTGGATAGCCATACCATTATCGCCACAAACAGCACAAGCAAGATACTCCTCAAACTCAGGGCTGGGATCATGATCCTCGTCTTGGTGGCAAAAACTGCACGTATTAATACAGCAGTATATTGGGAGATTCCGCGAGGCAAACTTACATGCAACGGTTAGGATCAATAGGTTCCGCCTCATCGTCTTGCGCCACAGCGGCCTCCCATTCAGCTTCGGCCTCGACTTCAGACTCATCACTCGAGTCATGCGACGCATCATCGGCCGCATCTTCGCTTTCTTCGGCATCTTCTTGTCCAAATTCTGCGTCCTCTTCATCATCTTCTAGCTCCCTCGGCTGGATCTTGACAGCACCGACTCCCTCTCCATCCTCGTCATCTTCATTTTCTTCCTCGTCGTCCATGGCTCCATCGGCCCCCATGCTCATTCTAATGGTATCTCCATGGTCCTGCTCATAGTCGTCTTCCCCCTCCGCATCTCTATCTGACAGGTCATCTTCCTGCCTTTGGTCTTCATCTTCGTCCTCATTATTTTCGTCTCCGTGTTCATCATATGCGCTCCCATCCGTATGGTTTTGCTGAACTCCATTCAGTAGCTGGTTATTCGCGGCAAACGCCTCAGCATTCGCGCCCATGTCCACGTCTTGGTCATAGTCCTCCTCATACTCCGCGTCGTCCTCCGACGTCGGCATGCTCTGCTGCACCTGCTCCTCCGATAGCATCGCGGCCGCCATGGTCTCAGCCAGGAGTAGCGGGGTGCATGAGTGGTATAGGGGTTGCGATTCGTATCGTTATGGGACGTGGATTCGAGGTGAGCTCGTCTGTTCGCAAAGCAGCAGCGCGCTTCCGCGTCACCTCAACATAAGTAGGCGTATGAGGAGTGCGATGGGCCTTGTCTGCAGTTATCGAATTGAGCAGCACAGCTTCCGCCGCGCTCAGTTTCCGCCTTTGCGCTCGTCGCGCTCCTTGTGGTCGCGCCCCTAGATTGGAGGTGGGAAGATCGAGGCTCAAAATCACCAGTCGCGGCCCTAACTGTCCACCACAACACTTTTCAGCGAATCTGCGCGACTCTGTAGAGAGGTTAGACCGGTGCGACGCGTAAATACAAATTACTACGCGAATTTCCCCAGTTCTAGAGTTGTGCTGTCGCGGCGTGGGCGAGGCTCTGGCTGGGCTGTCGTCGTGGTGTTGCCCGGTGCCTTACGTAAGCGATGCAATCAACGACGTCCACTTCAAGCTCCCGAGAAAGAGGTACAATCAGGCCTTTACACCACCCGATACGAGCGCAAGGTATGTTGGACCGCCACTACCTTCGAGATATGGAATGTAAGAGTGTGTAGACTAACAATTGAGTGAATAGCTACACACCGAAGCCACAATGGGTGTCCCTTTCGAAACCCTCATCCCGTTCGCCATCATGCTGACCGTACGTCAACTTCCCCAACGCCTACACCCTCAATCTCCCGGCGGTTTGGATACTAACAATGCGGTATAGATGTTCGGCATTACCGGTGCTGGATTGTCGAAGGTCAGAGCGATGCAGAACGGTGGAAAGCGTGGAAGACATTCCGTCGATCAGTGGGATAGCGTACGTCTTTCCCCAAACCCCCTCCATTGACGACAGCAAAACTAACAGTCTTTTAGCAAAGTACGAGCCTCTCAGATCCTGAATTCTATATAATAGCTGCAGTGGATGGCAGAAACCGAAAAGGGATATTGGCTGACCTCTCACAGTGATGGACCGCGACAGGCGGTTAACGGGCTTCCTCCGCGGCCAAACCGGCAGTGCCATTGCGCCCCCGGGATTCGAGTTGAACAACCCATGGAGGGTAAGTCTGATTCTGTGGGTGTTGAAGTCAGAGATCAATGCTAACAGTGTCTGCAGTTGGAGAAGAAGTTCCGTTAAATTACCCACAAGACGACACCACCTCTAGACACAACAAAATGTATATATCCAAAGCAATAAAGATTTAAAACAAAACCTAGCATGTACCAAGTTCTTCACCATGGATGTTGGAAAGAATTGGGCTTTGGACCAGTGGCGGGTCGTGCCACATCCAGGGCTTTGTTCTATTAAATTCCTCAAAGACTCAATAGCTTCGTGTGATCTTTTGCCCTTTCATTCGTAGTGCCTTTCATGAACTTTCAAAATCATAATGCTCTTACACGTAGGGTTTAATTATTCTAAATCTGTCAATATGTACCTATTTTGGTTGACGATATTCAGTTCCCACAACACACGCCGCCCAAATGTCTGAAGAAAGATGGTGCAGAAGTGTACAATATCTGGCATTTACATCAACTATGATTGAAATATAGGCGCTCAATCACCGAAGGCTGCAATTAATAAGCCAGTTGCTGAGAAATAGAGCCAACGAAATGATTCCATTTGTCTAAATTGCTAGCATCAACCCCCGCAACGGCACTCTCTCTTCGGGCGGCACGAGTAGGCTTTTGCTGCAAGATAAGATATATAAACATACCCACTATATTAGCAGCCGGAAGCCGGAAGGCTATGCATATATCTAGGTTCGACTGTGCTATTGTTGCTTGTCATACATAGTTTCACATGCAAAGCCCGTTTTGCGACTTGTTCCGATTCCCCCGAGACTCACCACAAGCCAAAGAAATAGAAGTGAATAGACTTTGGCAGGAGAGATTTGATATTGGATACACCTGACAATTTTTATGGTGGATATTCGTACGGTATCATCACGCATTGCACAAATTAAACCTCAACACGTATAGACAATTAGGTACAAGACCAATTCTTGTTGCACAATGGGCATTCCTATTCTCCAGCGCTTGCTACATTGAGAAAAGAGAAATACACTCAACGGACCTATAGCCACCTTTCTTTCTTGTTAAAAGAATAGAGTCATGTTCGTACTGCAGTAGACTGTGCCTCCAACCCCATCCCCCAAAACCAGCACTCCGCATGGCCGTTTAAAAATCAAAACCGGGACTGCTCCAATCCACCGGCGTCTGCCTCCCTCCTCGCCGGGTATCAACTCCTCTACTCCATGCTTTCGCATTGCAATGATTGATTTCTACGTCGATGATACAAATTCATCACCTAGTCGCCAACGTAGAGCCCTCACCCCCAAAGACCAACATCCCATGGTTACCCCTGACAATCCTCTCGCTCTCCACAAAGTTTGCCTTCGAATTACCCACTCCCAGATCCCTCAGTTTGCCACTCCCAATATCAAACAGTACACCGTGAACAAGCAACCCGCGCTCGTTCACCGCATCTTCAACAACAACATTGCTCAACAGCGTCTCCACGCCCGCCGCGACATTCAGCTCCGCTAACCTAGCAGCCCTCGCGGCCTGATCAGTAATCGCCTCAAGCTCAGCCTTGTTCTCGCGCCTCAGCTTCTTCAGCGGTGTGAGCCATGTATCCAAAACTCCACCAACGCGACTATCTCCCAGCGCCGCTCCAGCACCGCCACAGCTCGTGTGTCCACACAGCACGATATGCTGGACCTTCAAGTGCGCGACAGCATACTCGATGACTGCGCTGGAGTTGATATCGGTCGGGCTGACGATGTTGGCGATGTTGCGGTGGACGAAGACGTCACCGGGCTGCAATCCAAGGACCGTGGTCTCAGGGATGCGCGAGTCGGAGCATCCGAGCCAGAGGATAGTGGGCGTCTGCCCAGTCGCGAGCGTTGGGAAGAAGGCCGGGTTCTGGTGCGATTTGTAGGAGGCCCAGGAGGCGTTGGAGGAGAGCGCGTGGGAGAAGGGGTCGGCTGCGTGGGGGTCAGTGGAGGTCTTTAGAGGGTACGAGAGGCGCGCGGTCGTGATCAGGATGCGAGGAATGTGGCAGGTCTGCGTGCATACCTGTGGGAAGCATTGCGACTGTGTTGTGAGTGTTGAAGGGTGGTTCGACTTAGAGGGGTCGGAGGATGATTGATGTTGAGAGGCGTTGAGAATGCCTACGTGCGGCTTGTCCCGGCACAAACCCGAGGTTGTAAATTAGGGTTCTCGCTCGTAATGACTCAGAATTCGTCAAATAATAATTGTCCTTCGAACAATATCGCGACAGGAAATTCGGTGGTAATGAGCAGCGTCGGGTATTAGGATGTTGTTTGTTGGTGAGTATGGATCGAGTGCAGGCGTTTCCTATGTCGGCGGCATTCGGTCGGGGGTCCGCGGGTCGAGTGGTGGAGTGATAAGCAAAAAGCTTTATCTGAATTAATCGATAAGGTTTTTAGGGTTTGTTCGTTGAGAAAAGCGCCGACAGTGACCGAAAACGTCAAAAGGATGAGGAAAATGAGTTTACGAATTATAGTTACGAGGGAGATGGGATAAGTTTGTAAAATATATGATAATATTGCATGAAGAACCTGTCTCGAGGAGCAACGGGCCGACAAATGCACAGTTTACTCAGTGACCATTCGATGTTACAACACCGTCTGGGGCGTCTGACCCCCGTTTCGCCTGCCACCCACCAACAGATCTCGTCTCAACAATGCTATTCGCCCAGATTCGCCCACTACGAAAATCACACCATCGCCGCCTCAAATATTTGCCTTGGCACGATAATTTCTTTTTCGTGAGAATATTGGCGAAGAACACAAATATATACTCGTAAACAAAGAAATTTTTGCGCCGGGTGAACAAATCAACAAATCGCGAAGTGACTAACACGGTAAACATTGTGGGAATCAATGGATTTTCGTGAAAGAGGTTCATAAAAAAGCATTTGCTCCGTAAAATTGGTATCATCGAGCTATCATTCATGGATACAGAGCTAGCTAGAGAGATATGACAATCCCACGGTCTGTTACTGAAACCATACCAGGAACGCCAAAGGACACCAGCCGCAATCAAGACTTTTGGGTTATTACACTTAGATCTTGATGGCAGACTCGAGCGCCTTGCGCTTCTTCTCCTGGCGAGCGTTGGCCTTGGCACCCATGATGCCACCACCCCACTGCCTCTTGGCCTCCTCGTACTTGTCGGTGTAACCATCCTTGATGGCCTGGACGAGCTTGGAGAGCTCAGTCTTGTCCTCGGAGCGGACCTCGGTGATGGCGAGGACAGCGGCGGTCTTCTTGTGGACGACCGTACCGAGACGGGCCTTGCCCTTGACAATTGCGTATGGGATACCCATCTTGCGGCAGAGAGCTGGGAGGAAGATGACCAACTCAATTGGGTCAACATCGTTGGGGATGAGGACGAGAGCGGCCTTCTTGTTCTCAATCAGGCCGACGACGTGGTTGAGACCGTACTTGACGGCGTATGGCTTCTTGGAGACATCCTCCTTCTTCTTGCCCTCGGCAATGGCGCTAGCCTCCTTGACGAGACGCTCCTTCTTCTCGGCCTTGGACTCAGGGCGGTACTTGTTGAGGAGCTTGAAAGCCTGGGCGGCGGTGTTGCGGTCGAGGACGTTCTGGAACTGGGCAATCGCAGGTGGGACCTTCAGGCGGAGGTTGAGGATCTTCTTTTGGCGCTGAAGGCGGACGTACTCTGGCCACCTCACCATGCGGGAGAGGTTGCGCTTGGGCTGGATAGCCTGACCGACGCCATGGTTGCGAGTGCGCTTCTCAATGAGAGGGTTCTGAGAGTATTAGCAGGCCTTTCCATGAGCTGCTGGAGGGGAGTAGATGATCAACTTACCTTCGCGGCCTTCTTGGATGCAGCACCTACCTTTCCCTGGGGGAAGGGGGCGGCGGCAACTTTCTTGGTGCTCTTGGGAGGCTAGTCATTGAGAAAGATCAGCTAATGTTCCATACATTGCAGCTGTTCTAAACTCTAAGAGACAAAACTAGATCTCGGTGCCTTTCGACACACGAGAAATTGTAATGCTCAAGCCATTATCAAGTGTCCTCGGACAAAGTGATAGGAGTCGCGCTCATCGCAATAGGGGCATCAAGTATAATTATGTGTTTATCTTACCATGTCGATTGATTTTGCCGGGTCGAAGGGCTGTGGTGATTGTCGTGAAATTGGCGGCGATGAAGAACAGAAAATCAGAAGAGAAGATTATTCTCGGATCTGTGTGTCGCTAGGGCATGAAGTCTTGGCGTTTGAAATTGCGCTAACCACGATTAGATTAAGGCGATAAGGTAGTTTGCTCAACTAGCAAACATAAACTTTTTGATTATGACTTGTAACCTTCATGACCCCGCCATCGAACAGAAAGTCAATCTCTTGAGAGTTCTGGTAGTGCATATACGCTAGATTTTTCTAAAGATGGCGCCCTCAATATGTGCTATTTGTGAGACCAACAGGGCACTAATAATTCGGCCAAAGAACCACCAAAAATTATGTAAAGTCTGTTTTATCCAAATTTTCGAAGACGAAATCCACCACACCATCACAACTACGAACCTCTTCACCCCAGGAGATAGAATCGCTATAGGCGCCTCTGGAGGCAAAGATTCTACAGTCCTCGCGTCTGTCCTAAAAACCCTCAACGAAAGACACAACTATGGCCTTGACCTGGTCCTCCTCTCTATCGACGAAGGAATCAAAGGCTACCGCGACGACTCCCTCGAGACCGTCAAGCGCAACGCTGAGCAATACGAGATGCCACTGAAGATAGTCGGCTACGATGAGCTATATGGCTGGACCATGGACCAGGTTGTAGCCACCATCGGCAAGAAGGGGAACTGCACATACTGCGGAGTCTTCCGGCGGCAGGCCCTCGACCGCGGGGCAAACATGTTAGGCATAAACCACGTCGTAACCGGCCACAATGCCGACGACGTCGCCGAGACCATCCTGATGAACCTCCTCCGAGGCGACCTACCGCGGCTGGCCCGCAGCACGAGCATCATAACCGGGGACGCCACATCCTCCGTCCGCCGTAGCAAACCGCTCAAATACGCATATGAGAAGGAAATCGTGCTCTATGCGCACCACAAGAAATTAGATTACTTCAGCACAGAGTGCATCTACAGCCCCGAGGCCTTCCGCGGCTCAGCACGAACCCTTATCAAAGCGCTCGAGCGCGTCCGGCCATCCGCCATCCTTGACGTCGTCCGCAGCGGCGAGGATATGGCGAAGCTGGTCCCTGCTGAGGTGACTGGGGGCCCCAAGTGCGCTGGTCGCAAAGCCGAGGTTCTGGCTGCGGATCGAGAGGAAGAAGGTGCGGGTGGCTGCGGTAGTGGCAACGGGAGGAGTAGTGGCTCCGAGATGGCGGATATGGAGAAGCAGCTGAGGGATAATGAAGGCGCAGGAGAGAGAGAGGTGGAGATCACAAGTGCGCAGGTGCCGAGGCGGCGGGATACGAATAGTAGTATGGCGAGCTCGCGGCCGGGGAATCTGAGGAAGGAGGTTATGGGGAGGAAGTTGCCTAGGCAGACGCTGGGGACGTGTCAGAGGTGCGGGTATATGTCTAGTCAGGCAATATGTAAGGCGTGTACGCTGCTAGAGGGGTTAAATAAGAATAGGCCGCAGGTGGAAATTGAGGTTGATGCGGAGGATGAGGATGATAGCTCCACGCTGAGGAGGAAAATGGAGGGGATAGCGTTGACGGCAGGATAGATAATGGATCTTGACGATTAATCTGAAAATTATACCCAATGCCTCAACAGGAACAACAGGACTTCATGATTCTATATAGGCCAACTAACAAAGTGATATCATAACGACATATCCTCCCTAAAAGCTCAATTTCCACACACCCAGAGTATACCAGTGCCGCCGAAATTTCCTTAGAAATTCGGAATCGTCGTTCCGACCCCCTTCTCCCTGGCCAAAGTAATAAGACCTCCACCAACAACGAGATCCATCAGCCCCATCCCGACGCACTTATAAACCACATTTCCCTCTCCTAACCATGTAGCCATCGCATCATCCTTAGACTTAACCTTCCTATTATCCATGCTCAAGCTTCGGATTTTACTCCCAATACTACCCGGACCAAGCGACTTCCGCGACGAGCTCTTCGACGATCTCGCACTATCCATGCTCTTCCGCCCCGTTGACTCTGTGCTGACGGTGCTTAGATCACTGCCCTCGCGCATGACAGCATGCATGCTCCCCTCGCCTGAAGAAGAAATGTCGGATAACTCCCGACGGAGACTATCAAGGTCAATCTGCTTCCCGTCTGCGTCAACTTCGTGGTCATCTGAGCTATCGCCGGCGAGTTGCCCCTCAAGCATGACTAGCTCGCCAACTTCGACAAGTTGGTTAGGAGATAGGCCTGATTGGATGATTTCTCCTGCTTCTTTGAGACAGCCAGTCAGAGTATCCACGACAACAACTCCGCCTTCTGAGGCGTGCTTGTGGTAGTGGCGGTGCTCATGGGGCTTGACAGCTTGCTGGAAGAGTTCGACTGGGATCTCGATCATGTGAGGTTTGTAACTGCCAATCGCAATGATGAGTCTACCTCTTCGGCGACCTTCGGTTGATGTTAGGATCGTGTGATCGAATAGTGGTGTGGTGGAAGGAACGGTCGTGATAATCACATCTGCAGCGCGAAGCTGTTCCTTCAATAGTCGCGCATACTCGCCATAACCCGGAGTCAGGATTGAGAATTTTACATTTTCCCAGCCCTCACGCTGTTTGATGGCTGGGTCAATTGAGTAAAGGGTTTTCAGCAAGTCTCGCACCCTGTCAGAGAAAGTCCGGCTAATAATATTAACGGTTTTCAGGGAGCTGCCGCGAAGAATGAGGGCGAGGCGGATGTGCCAAAAGGCTTGGCGACCCGCTCCGAAAACGGTGATGGATTTGAAGCTTTTGCGCCGGCAGAAAAGAAGGGAGGAACAGAGCGCTGTTCGGAAAGCGGTTACTTCTTCGGCATTTAGGAAGCCTGTGGGGGTGCCGTTGCTGGACATAATTGTGAGGGCACCATGGGGGGTCATGTCCGCCGTAGCTGCAGTGGGGCCCGTTGCTCCAGGTGTTGCGAGAGTTACCACTGCGGGGTAATTTGTGAGCTATTTGCTCCTGCGCTATGAATAGTTTCACCAACCTTTCATTCCAATCCCCGAGGAGCTTGTCGATGGCATGAAGAGAGTTGTCTTTCCGCTGGGGGCCACCATGGCCGTTCGCTCGGGCTGGTGCATAGCACATGCTGCTTCGCCTTGGGTTCCCGTCGAGTATTCATGTAGGGCTTTCCGTAAAGACTTCTGCAGCGCGTGTGCATCATCAATTGTAAGGCTCTCGAGGACTTGGCAGACATCTGCATCTGTGAGAACTGTAAGAGGCATTGCAGGCAATGGGGACAGGCTAGACAGTTGTGATAAGGAGGCGTGGGAAAAGCTACGCGGCACCGAGAGTTACGCCGAGAAAACGATCAAATCGAATACAAATCTCGTACTCGTATATGCTAACATCGTGTCAGCTTTTCACGAGGTAGCAGAGTGCGATAGAAGGCTTACCTGCGCAAAAAAATGTTCAGTAATCTTCATAGACGCTCAAATTGACAGGAGAAGAGGAGAGCTATGTTCGATAAGAAGCCTCGCAGCTTGTCGCAGCCTTGCACTAAGTTAAGTTTACAATGCCGTTCGTCCATGCCGCCTCAACCAATCATGACGTCAACTCGCCTACCCCGCCTATGGAAACTACCCTGCGGGGTGATGCGATTTCGGATTTACAATCAACAGGTCCGTCGGAAATAAGAGATTAAACACTATAAAAAGGCTGAAGTAGGTTTTGGAAATTTGAAGGTAGATCGTAGTTTTCATACACTACTTGGAATTCTCATACTTAAATTTTTCATACTACCTGGGCTTCTCATACGTCTTAGGCTCCTTGACGACTTGGACTTCTCATTATTATACTCCTATCAAACATGGCAGACAAAGCCTCAGACAAAGAGATCAAGATGGAGTATACGCGGCTGGGCAAGTCTGGTCTAAATATCTCAAAGCTTATTCTAGGAGGCATGAGTTACGGTTCATCGGAATGGTGGGAATGGGTCCTGAACGAAGAAGCCGCTCTTCCCCTCCTCAAACATGCCTATGACGCTGGAATAACTACTTGGGATACAGCTGATATGTATTCCAACGGTGAATCCGAGAGGATCCTCGGAAAGGCCATCAAAAAATACAATATCCCCCGCAACCGCGTCGTGCTCCTGACGAAGTGCTACTTCGGCGTCGCAGACCCTGAGGAGGGACAGCAACGCGTATACGCAACACCTGGGGGGTCCATAGACCCTAAGTGGGTTAATAGGATCGGGCTGAGCCGGAAGCATATCTTCGATGCTGTTGATGCCAGCGTTGAGAGGCTAGGCACCTACATCGACGTCCTCCAGATCCACCGACTGGACCATGAGACGCCCCGGGAGGAGATCATGAAGGCGCTGAACGACATAGTTGAGAGCGGCAAGGTGCGCTACATCGGCGCCAGCAGCGTGAGTCACCCTTATCCATGTACAGCTAGACCCCGCTAATTCCGAGCAGATGGCTGCGTGGGAGTTTCAGACACTGCAGAACATCGCCGAGAAGAACGGCTGGCACAAGTTCATCAGCATGCAGAACTACTATAATCTCATCTACCGCGAAGAGGAGCGCGAGATGATCCCCTACTGCAAGGACACTGGCGTAGGACTGATCCCATGGTCCCCCATGGCTCGCGGCGCGCTCGCTCGGCCATACGATTCGCGATCCACGGTGCGGGAGGGCTCGGATCAGGTACTCAGCGGAATAGTCCGCAAGGAATCGGAGATTGACAAGGCTGTCGTTGGACGGGTTCAGGAGGTGGCCGACAAGCTGAAGGTGAGTATGGCGAGGGTTGCGATTGCGTGGGCGCTCCAGAAGGGGACAAATCCGATTGTGGGGCTCAGCAGCAAGGAGAGGATTGATGAGGCCGTTGAGGCGGTGAAGTGGCAGAGTGGTGGGGGACTGACGGCGGAGGACTGCAAGTATCTTGAGGATGGATATGCTCCAAAGCATGTGTCGTTTATATAGGGTTTATGTAGGGAGGGGGGATATGAGACAGAGGCCCTGTCTCATATACCCTTCATAGGGAAAGTAATGAGTGGTAACAAAAGTAAAATTTGTATTATCTAACAAATATATTCATAACATTATCTATGATCTGAGACGATTAAACCAACGCAGTAATTCTTGAACCAGAGGTGAGCGCTAGCCAATGTCAACCCAAATCGCTTGGCATGAGCGTTAGTGGCTTCTCCCCCCCCCGCAAAATCCCTGTCACTTGAGAGACAACGACCCCTGCTTGATTAACTCCAGCAACAAATATATCGCGACACGCTACAAGCCACAAGCGCCAAGGTCAACATGAAATGAGGGCGTTAGTAGCTTGTTCAGCCTGCAGGTATGTCATGCTTTCTTCTATAATACCAATATCTATAACCCTAACCCTTGTCATCACAATATTTCTAACGCCTACAGATCGCGGCGCAGGAAGTGCACGTCAGTCCATGGCTCGACGACCTGCCTTTACTGCACCGAGCGTAGCATCACGTGTATTCGAGGTAGCGGGGCCCCCTCCCTTTCATCCCAAGGTTACAGTGCGCCATCCTCACCACCTGCTGTACGGCAGTCAGCACTGGTCGGGCTACCGCTGCCTCCTCGGGAGCTTTGCTTAGAGCTGGTGGAGCTGTATTTTGACTTCATTCATGACAAGTTCCATTCCATATTTCATAGGCCTAGCTTGACGGAAGATGTCCGGCAAGGGGTAGTCCCGCCAGTTATTCTATTTGCTATATTTGCTTTATCTGCAAGGTTTCTTTTATCCTAAGCCTTTTTGACGTATTGCCTTGCTGAAATTACCCTAGGTTCTCCGAAAATGAGGTGTTTTCTGGTATTGCTCCCCGTGAACGAAGTAAACCGTACTACGATGAGAGTGCCAGACTAGTTGATATACGAGACACATCTATTACCACTATACAAGCATGTATTCTTCTTGGGGGAATCGGATCTTGTGAAGCACGTGCCTTCAATGAATCTATATATTATACGGTGGCTTGCCGAATGGCGAACTTGCTTGGCCTTTCTAAGAGAACCGGAGCAACTGCCTTAGAACAAGAGTTGAATATTAGAAGTGAGTCTCTATTCTTAGTTACTTTCAAGTTTCTAATTGAGCTAGTCTGGTGGACACTATGCATGGTGGATGTATGGTCGTCCAAGAGCGTCCGTCTCCCACGTCAAATGAGCCATTTCTCAGATCTCCCCCTCCCAATCGACGAATATACGTTTCTCCAATGGCGCCGTGGAGCCCAGGACAATATAGAGGTGAGCTCTGATCGGAGTTCATCTCTTATAGCCCAGATGATCCTCCTCAATCGTATTTTGATGGAAATCAACGACGCCATCACGCAGACTGTCACATCCGGCACTGTCACCCTAGTTCTCGATAAAACGGCCGAAGATCTCTCACTAAAGCTTGACAATTGGTACAATGCCCTCCCCGAATACATGCATAATACGCCCGAAAACCTCCAGCGATACGCATCTCAAGGCCTCGGAAGGATATTTGTAGCAGTCTACCTCGGTTACTATCACTACGGCCAACTACTATTCTACCAGTTCTTGAACGACGACCAGCACAGCACCGGAGGGAACCGCTACGCGAAAAAGTGTAAAGAACACGCCGCGAACCTGTGTCTCATTGTCTACGCAGCACAAGAGACACCCGGATGCGAGGTCAGGTATAACATGGTAGGCCACATCCTGGTCATCGCCTCCACGGTGCAAATCCACACACTGCTCTTCGGCACCGACGAAGCCGAGATCGCCGTCGCGCGACAAAGAGTCGTACGCAACTTCCAGATCCTGACGGACATGCAACGCTGGTGGGCATGGCTGGATATGTGCTTTGTGCGCTTGCATATATTTCACGATATGTGCAGGACGAGCATGGCAACGTCGTTTAGGATGGATGAGTGGATGATGAAGTTCTTGTCTGAGTTCTCTAAACCGATTGAAGAGAAGACGGAGGATAGCGCGCAGGCTGCGTTGGATTGGGCACGTAATATTGAGGCTTACACGCAGGGGCCTGTGGAAGAGCAGACGAGTGTGAGTGTCTGTCCAAGCCCGTCGCCGCGTTATAACGTTTTGCCGCCTTGAGAATGGGCTGGGAAGATGTTTCCGACGGAATCGCCACGGAGCTTTGCTGTATATTCGCCATGGGAAACTCCACACACAGGATATGGCAGATCTACGCGCCTCGGTTGAAAACCAATTCATCAACCGCGAAATACATACCGTAAGGTCCGCTTTACCGCCGATATGCTTCTGCCATATATGAACTCGAAACATAGAGAGATGAGAAGCTAGAAAGTCTCATGTTCGGTAGGATGTTATTAAAGGGCATATAGACATTGTGAAACTCCGCAAGTCTAAAGGTATGACTTCATATATACTTCATATCCTATCTATCTATAATTAAAGCTGTATATCTACGCTGGAAGTAACTCGACTACTCAAGCAACAGACTAAACTCAAACGGTCCACTCTTAAGCGCATACTCCTCCATAGTCTTCGGTCCACAGCTTCCAGTTCCCAACCCATGATGCCTCCAATCAAGCCTGACAATCACCTCCTCCCTCTTCTCCCTCTCTAACAAATACGGATGTGTCGCCTTATCAATATCCGCCGCCGTATAATGCGACGCCGAGAAGCTGCACCCCTCCTTATCCCCAAAGCTCGCCTTCAGCAAAGGCGCACCGGTCCCATCCTGGAACGCGACCCAGCGCACGTCAGTACGGTTACCCGATTCTTGTGGGTACTCGTAGTTGGTGAACAGGGCGTCGACGGGGGACTTCCAGGTCCCGATGCGTTGTGACAGCTTCTTGTCGCTGTAGGACTCGCCTGGGCCGCGACCGAACCACTCCACACCGTTTACCTCGCTGTTTAGGGCCATCGTAAGACCGATTCGTGCCCAGGTTTTCGGCAAATTGGCACCCTGCGTTGTGCCAGTGACTTTGATGCCCACGCTCGTCTCGCCGAAGGTATATGTTGTTGTGGTGTCCACGCTCCACTCTAGGACAGGAGGGGCAATGCGCTTCTGGACTGTGACGGTGACATTTGTGCCAGAAGTACCCCAGCCCACCTGCCGAGTGTGCTCGGCGGTTTGCTCGAGGTGCTTCTCCTTCCACTCTGCTCCATCGTGTGGGAAATCATTGTCTGTTTGGGGGCGGTAGAAGTCCATCACGGGTGCTGTGTGGATTATCTCGGATCCACCCTTTTTCCAGGAGCTGAGCGAGCCGGTGACGAGGTTGAATTCCCAAGCCGAGGTGGCGCTGGAAATAGACAACAGTGTCGGCGACTTTTGGATGAGTGTCGGGCATGTGGATGAGGGAGGTGTCAGCGACTGTAGGGAGGCAGCGGGCTTTAATTCGATCTGGCCCCAGGCGATCTCATGTCCGGCTTCAGCCCAGATAGTAGCTTCTTTGAGAGTAAATGTAACCTGTAAAACAGCTCCTGCGGGCACGCTATCGATGGCAGTGAAAGGAATCGCAAGCTTAGCCGTTTGGCCAGGCTGAATTCCCTTGGGGATGCTAATATCGCCACCCAACTCTTCGTATCTATCACCGACAATCGACCACTTGCACTGGAGATGGTCGAGTGTAGCGAAGTCATATCGGTTGATAACTTCAACTTCGTTGTATGAACCACCAATGACCTGCACGGGCTCGATAGCTTTCTTATATTCGATTAAACCCGGTGTAGGCGTGTGGTCTGAGAATAGCAAGCCATCCATCACGAAGTTTCCATCGTTTGGTGTGTCCCCAAAATCGCCGCCGTAACCGTAGAATTCTTCGCCGGTAACGGCCTTGGTTTTGAGTCCATGGTTTGCCCACTCCCAGACAAAACCGCCCTGAAGCCTTGGGTACTTGTAGAAAGCATCCATATATTCTTTGATGGCTCCTGGTCCATTCCCCATCGCATGCACAAATTCGCAAAGGATCAACGGCTTTTCCCATTTCTCCTCCTTTGTTGCAAAGTCGATGATCCATGAGACCTGAGGATACATTCTGCTGTAAACATCGACGGTCTGTGCATGGGTGTCACCTTCGTAGTGAACCAGCCTCGTTTGATCATAGGATTTAATCCAGTCATACATTTTCTGGAAGTTGCACCCGTAGAAGGCCTCGTTGCCAAGAGACCACATGATAACAGATGCGTGGTTCTTGTCCCTCATAACAAGCTGCTTTGCGCGATCGACATATGACTCTTCCCAAGCGGGATTGTCACTAGTCCACCTCGCTGCATTACCGTATGTCATGGCCTTCTTCTCCTCAAAGCTGAGCTTCTTCTGCTCCTCATCTAGAGCGGCGTCATCGACGTGTGAAAAGCCGTGGCACTCGACATCGGCTTCATCCATAATCCAGAGACCTAGCTTGTCGGCTAGATCGTATAGCCTTGGATCACTCGGCTGATGTGATGTGCGGATGGCATTGATATTGTGAGTTTTCATCAGGAGAAGATCTTTCTCTAGAAATTCTAGAGGCACAGTGCGGCCAGTCAACGGGTGGTGCTCGTGCCTGTTGACACCGCGGAAAACTATCCTCTTGCCGTTCACCAAAAAGAGTCCATCTCGGAGCTCCAGCTTGCGGAACCCAACATAGCTCGCAATGCTGCAGTCGTCAACCGAAAGTGAAAGATGGTACAAATACGGCGTCTCGGCGGTCCACTTGTGAGGGTTCTTGATTGGAATTCGGAATTTCACGCTGTTTCCATTTGAGGAATCTGACGCCGAGGCAATGATTGCGTTGTCCTTATCCCTGAGATTCAAGGAAACCTTGGCCGAAGAACTCAACTCCACGTCTACTGACAAAATGGCGTCTTCGTACTTGTCATCCAAAAGCGTCTGTACGTGGAAATCTTGAATGTGGACCTTGGGAAAGGCGACCAGGGCAACATCTCTAAAAATTCCACTAAGCCACCATTGATCCTAAAATTATACCGTGAGCCAAGGTTCCCAGAGAGGGGTTGGGAAGAATTTTCTCATTCTGATTAAAACGAGGCAACAGAGTTTGTGACTTACCTGATCTTCAATATAGCTCCCATCACACCATTGATAGACCTGGACAGCGAGTGTATTCTCTCCATTCACATCAACGACGTTGGAGATATCAAACTCAGAGGGATTTCTAGCACCCTGCGAGTAGCCAACGTGCTTCCCGTTGACCCAGACGTTAAAAGCCGAGTCCACACCCTCGAACCGAAGCCTCTGTTGGTGGTCCCGAAAAGGCTCAAGGACTCTAAATGTGCGGACGTAGGATCCAGTTTCGTTGTTATCGAACGGAACATTTGGCGGATCTACTGGGAACGGGAAAATGACGTTTGTGTACTGCGGACCCTTTCCATGGCCTTGAAGCTGCCACATCCCCGGGACCTGGATCGGTGCCCAGTCTGAGACATCGTGCTCTGGGAGCTGGAAATCTTCCGGTGCCTCAAAAGGGCTGTTTGCGAGCTTGAACTTCCATGTTCCGGAGAGAGATTGAACCGTTGCTTTAGAGCTCTCATGGGATAAGGCGTCTTCTTCATTACGATATGGTAAAAATGACGCCCTGGGAGGGAGAGTGTTTTGGTGGATGACAGACAGGTTATTCCAGTTCGGAATGTCTGCTGGAAATGTCGTGATACTAGTCAAAGCCATTTTTACTGGGACATAGATGAACTCAAGTTATTGGAATCAAAGTCGAGAAGAGCAGTTGAGGAGCACCGGGTTATAACTGTTTAAGAGAATAGGCTATTATACGAGCCTACTGCGTATTACTAACTACAGCTGAACGAAGATCCGTTAACGGTGCACAATGGTTTAGACTACTCCATACTTATTTGCGGAGACTCGATCCTATTTATGATACGTTACGTGATACCGTGGAGATACCTGAAAACTGATTACGTACAGTTAGTCCTACGCGTTTGTCAGATACGAAACAACTATGCTTTGTTGATTCCTATAGTCGTGATTACCGTTTGCTGTTGCCGCTGCGTCTACAGATCAAACGGGTTTCGGCTCGTTGGCATAAAACACGTGGTAGAACGGGGGTTGAGAGAAATAGTTAGCGGCGGTATCGTAGGAGGGGGGGAGAAATCATTAGCGGCGGTATCGACAGGAAACTAGTGTGCGGGGGTATTGTGGAGGTTGATCTTCTCCGATTCGAATGACAGAAGGAGGAGGGGTTACGGGTCTAGGCTATATGAGGAATACGGGGAAGGAATAGTGTGCTCGTTTTTTGTCCCAAGGCCTCGGCGTCGGCGAATCTCCGGACTATTTCTCCCACTTCCCCAAACTTCTCCAACAAATATCAAAACCCATATTTTACCCCACATACTGCTTCTTTTTTTTTCTTGATTCTATACCGTAGTACTGTAGTCCGTACGGCAGTTTATATTACCATGTAGTACGAAGTTATGGTTGTAGCTAGCCACAGTAGAGAGAGACACTAATTGTGCCTTTAGCTGATCCATTTCTTCGTCATGATAGCTGGTTATGCACGATTCACATAATCCCCAGGATTCCCCAGCTGAACTACAACGAAGTGGACTGGGATGGAGGGCTCCGATGCCGAGTGACTTACCACCCTCGGCTATGATACTTCTCAATTTACAGCTGATCTCCCGGGTTTCTGTCGGGTCTGGCTTGACGATCAAAAAAGTTGCCACTCTTGCCGTCAAGCCAGCCCCGAGTGTCTGGGCAACAGAAACTTTGACCCCGCTTCCCCTCATAGGGATGAAGTTTTTCTCCACAGTCTAAAACCAGGCGGCAGGCCACTAGTATGGGTCCATAGCTTCAGTGCGTTTCCTATATCGCTCATCCTTCATTCTATAACTTAGACCAAATCCCCGCATTCAATGATTCCTCCCCATCCACACTTCTCTGTCACAATTACTACTCACTTTGAGAATGGCGTCCGATACCAAAAACGCTGATATGGATACTAAGGATGGTGATTTCGATCACCTGGAGAAGGAGACGGGCAACCTTAAGGAGATCAATGCTGCCTCCGTAGCTCTGTCAGCTGCCATGGCGGCTCAGAAGCCATCTTTGCTGTCTAAGAGCATGTTGAAACTGTACTTCATAATGGCTGTTGGGTACATGGTGTCAACCATGAACGGTTTCGATTCGTCTCTAATGGGAGCTGTCAATGCTATGAAACCATACCAGGAGACGTTCGGCCTTAATGGCGCCGGTATGTCTAATCTAATACCTTTGAAATTCTCCCATGGAAGACTAACTTTATATAGGATCATCCACCGGAGTCGTCTTTATTATTTACAACCTTGGTCAGATTGCTGCCTTCCCATTCTGTGGCTTTTTAGCAGACGGTTACGGTCGAAGAGTCTGTATATTCGTAGGGTGTCTGGTTGTAGTCATCGGTACCGCAGTCCAGGCCTCCTGCCACGAGCTTAACGTCTTCATGGGTGGCCGCTTCATCCTAGGCTTTGGTGCAGCCCTCGCCTCTGGAGCCGGGCCTGCGTATACTGTTGAGCTGGCCCACCCGGCCTATCGTGGCACCATGGCTGGTATGTACAACAACTTCTGGTGGTTCGGAAGCATTCTCGCAGGATGGGCTACCTACGGCTCCAACAAGAACTACGCAACTTCCTGGGCCTGGAGAATTCCGACTCTCGTTCAGGCTGGTCTCCCTATCATCGTTATGGTTCTCATCTTATTCTTCCCCGAATCCCCTAGATGGTTGATCTACCATGACCGCCCTGAGGAGGCCCTCGCCATTTTTGCTAAATATCACGGAGATGGTGATGAGAACGCGCCCGTTGTTCAACTCCAGTACCATGAAGTGCTTGAGCAGATGAACCTCACACGCAACGATAACCCCTGGTGGGATTTCCGGGAGCTGGTCAACACTGCAGGCGCACGATACAGATTGTACATGGTTGTTCTCATGTCCTTCTTTGGCCAGTGGTCGGGAAATAACGTTGTCTCATACTTCTTGGTACGTAATTTGACACCATTCCCAGTCGACATTTAGCATATGCCTCCATGTCTTTAATGATCGTTAAGAATCTACAAAGCTAACTTCTCTCTAGCCCCTAATGATGGAACAAGCAGGACTGAAAGACCCGAACCAACAACTTCTAATCAACGCCATCCTCCCCATTTTCACCATGATCGGAGCTTGCTACGGTGCCACACTTCTCGACAGACTAGGTCGCAGGGTTATGTTACTCGGCGGCCTTACCGGCGCACTATTCAGTTATGTCCTCCTCACCGCATTCACAGCACAATCCGAAAAACATCCCAGTCTCAGCTATGGCGTGATAGTAAGCGTTTTCTTGTTCATGGTGACATTCGCTTGGGGCTTCACACCACTCCAGACTCTCTACTCCGTCGAGTGTCTTGAAAACCGCACTCGCGCCAAGGGCTCTGGACTCAACTTTCTGTTCCTCAACGTTGCAATGGTCGTCAACACTTATGGAATCAGCGTTGGAATCGCCGCGATTGGCTGGAAGTTGTACTTGGTGTATATCGGCTGGATCTGTGTCGAGATGGTGGTGATTTATTTCTTCTTTGTGGAGACGGCTGGGAAGACGTTGGAGCAGATGTCGAGCATCTTTGATGCACCGAACCCGAGGAAGGAGTCAACTAAGAAGACTACTGTGTTGATTGATGACAGGGGTAATGTTGTGGATATCCAAGATCCAGTGCGTTTGGTTTAGCTTGCTATTAGATCTACAAAGCGTCTTGTATTCATGCATTAGGACAACTCTTGTCTGATTAAATATCAAGCGCAGTTTAATTGAGCAAATACGAATACACATGTCCTAGAGATATATAATGGCCAAGTCTAGCTCGATTATCAGTACTCTGGTTCTATATCTCACCCCAAATCTCTACTCGTTTCTTACTAATTCCAAATTCTCATACCTGTATTTACGGCAACTTAATTCCTATTTTGAGACTGAACCATATACTATTTTAGTCTCCCCCTCTAACGCTAAGTGTATCAAACATGTTCAGATGCGTCCAGCTTCTCTCTGCCCGGTCTCGTAGCTCGTCCATCTCATCAATGCATTCATTGCAATCACCATCTCCATCGACTTCCCCTAGAATTTCCTGCAACCTCCAAGCGATTCTTTCCGCTCCAGCCCGAGCACCCTCAAGGTTCGCAGCTCCTGGCCCGAGTTGAAGACCGGCAAGGCGTCCAGTCACGAAAAGGGGGACGTCTTTACTCCATTGCATGTCGTAAGTCAAGCAAGGAAGTCCTCCAACAGTCTCGATTGGGTGACTCTTCAAGAGAGGCTGTAATAGTGGCATAGTTTTTATGTCTGCCTTTGCGCCGGTTGCGTAGTAAATGTAGTCTATTGGAGGCAGGTCTAGGATCGGAGGATCCGTCTGGATTGTCCACAGCTTTGATGTCGAGTCCCAGGACTTTCCTACTATTTGTGTTTTTGTATGGCGTAGAACCTTTCCTTTTGTTTGATGACTTTCAAGAACAGCCTTGTACGCTGGAGTGATCGAACCTCCATTGCGAGCAGACAGGATCATCTCAAATCGTTCCTCGTCTGTATCCGCCGACCAGAAAGCCGCTTGGCTGATATTTTTGTACTTTGCAACCCAATCAAGGCTAAGATCAAAATGCTTGATCTTGAAATTATCACGCATGATGTGCCACACTTTCGACACGCCTTTCTTAATGCAGAGATCCACGATTTGAGCAGAGGTCAAGCCGCCACCAATAACGATAATATTTGTTGTGCGCTTTGCATCTACCTTTCTTTTGACGTGTGGTGCAAGACACTCTTGCTTTAGAAGCTGGGACGTGTGACAAGCACCCTCTGCCTCATTAGAGGTGAATGGCGGAGGAGCTGGCAGTCCAGGCCCGATAGCAAGGACGACTGTGCGTGCGAGTTGCGTACCAGTCGAAGTTTTGATGGTGAAGCAGTTATCGGGACGCTCATCTGTTCCATGCTCATCGTATTCGATAGAATGCACGTCAGCTTGTGTAACGAGGTTATTCAGGCTATACCGATCGATGCAGTCCTGGCAGTAGTCGTTGAACAGAGATGTGGATGGTGTATAGTAGTCCTGCATGTCTCGTTCATCGATCGATTTGCCACTGTCTTGGATCAGAATTAGCTATATAGCGGAATTTTGGAGCTTACGTGTGCGCATTTACGGATGGCCCTCTCTTCAACTTCTTCTTCATTAGATGCTTTGATATTTCTTTTCCCACCACACCTTTCAGCTCAATCATCTCCTTCTCTCTGCCCTTAGCGTATGCATACGCCTTTAGACCATCTCGATCTCTTGGATCAACATGGAAGAACAACGGACTTCTCAAAGTCTTGATGTTGTAAGCACGAAATAAGCATGTCCACTTTGTCATCCAGTCTGACCCTGAGGAGTCGTAGACAGCGATTGAATAGTTTGGTGGTTTGCAGATTGGCCCGCATGGCTTCTCCGACTTGTCCTCGACCAATATTTTATTCGTTGCACGTCCCTTGGTAGGCACAATCTTCACACGATGCTTGTGTCGCTTGATCCAGTGGTATCTCTGGTGCTCGGCATCCGTGAAGAGCGCTGAGGGTGTTGTCTCTCGCATCCGTGCTGCTACTGCGAGTGCGCATGGGCCGGCACCAATGATGACAATATCGAGAACCTCGAGAGTCTCTAGAGTATTCATGATTACTTTTTGTTCCGCAAAAGTTTAAAAATCAATTTAAGTTGTTCGTGGATTTTACAATTTAAATCAAATCCAAAGGCGGGGTGGTCAATTCCAGGGCGTATCTGTAACCTTGGTGGTTGAGCCCCTCGACCGACACCTTGATGGCCATCCTATCTCGTAAGTAATCCAGATAATTGGACTTTTCAATTTCGTAGTAGGATTGGAGTCTAGCCATTTTATCGTATGGAAGTTGTCCAGGTTCTTGCTCTTATTTTCTTATTTTCCATTAATGGCCATGCCATGAGTCCAAATGTGATAAAAGAAAATACTCCAAGTTGTAAGAGAGCATAAAGCGGCGTGTTGGGATTTGCGTGGGGTGATCGCGGCCTAACTAGCAATTGGCCCGGTAATTGGCTGGCGATACTGGTGCCGCCTAGAAGTCCGATGAGGGCCTGCACATAACAATAGCAATTACAGCAACTATTATTAGAATGAAGGCGTTAAATCGCTATGTACAAGAACAGTCTTTACAGCAACTATTATTAGAATGAAGGCGTTAAATTGCTATGTACAGGAACAGTCTTTACAGCAACTACTATTAGAAGGAAGGAGTTAAATCGCTATGCACAGGAACAGTCTTTATGGCAACTATTATTAAAACGAGAGTGTTGAATCACTGTGCACGATGATAGTATTTACAGCAACTATAATTAAAGTAAAGACATTTAATCACTCAGGGTTACAATCAATCGGCTAGTCACCCATAAGGAGTGGTAAAGAGATAGATTCTCTTAGCTTAAACCGCCATTATAAATCCCTAACTACGTAGGTACCTCTGGGTTTTTAGGCGGCACGAGCAATCGTGGTGCCGGGAAATTATCACCTTTTTGGTAGTATGAACCACCGCAGCAAAAACCACCAAGTAATACAGTATATGGGCACAGTATAGCGAACAAATCAATTAATAAACGGATCTAACTTGGCCTACAATATCATCCCGTCGGCCCGTGGTTTACGCCGTGCTTATTAGCGCTAAAGGCCCCAAAGGGAAGCTACAACTCAAGCTGCAGATTGTAGCTTGCCTTCGCCCCCCTTGGCGATTGTGAGGCCTCACTTCACTGCCACATACTTTCAGGTATAAAAAGGTCGAAGAATGGAGCGCCACCCTCGATTGAAAACTCTAATATTTTATATTCCCAACAAAGACTTTCCTCAAACCTCCAGTCCGTTTATCCTACCTTGGTATCTAAACTCTCACTTTCCACCATGAAATTCCAGCTCTCCACATTTGTCGGCCTTTTGCTGTCCCTTACTGCTCTGGCCGCTCCAACAGCTGAAGATGCTACTGCTCTCGCAGATGTCGTTGACGCTCGATCAGAGGCCCAGGACACCTCTCCTGAAGCATTAGGGTTAGAGGCCCGCAAAGTAACCACTTGCATTATCATCAATTCCGATTCCAAACGGGTGAACTGCCGCAAAGGACCAGGCTTCAGCTACCCTGATATTGGCGAGAGCGTATATATAGAAGTGGGGAATGCTTACCCCTTTGGCTGCTACAAGAAGGGCGACTGCTATCAGGGCAATTGGTAGGTGGCTCCTTCCTCACTACCTGGTAATGAGGTGCGAGGTTGAACTGGATAAACTGACGCCGAATAGCACCTGGCAGAAACTTGCTACCATTAACTGCTACGTTAATGGATATTATACTGACCCTCGTTGCACTGCCGGTACGTATTAGTTTTTGTCAGGCATGATGGAGGATATCAAAGCTAACTTGTGGCTGTAGCTGCTCTTGGAAAGTGCTAGAGGGCTACCATTTATCAATCTAATGAGGGTTGCTTGGGGGGGAGGCGGGAGGCGCGGCTGAGGGCAGGTGGCGAGGTTTGTGTTGTGCACTTCAAGGAATGTAGGAACCATACTCTGCGGCACTTTTGCATATAGCTGCTATCAAAACATTTAGAAAGGGAAAAATAAAAACGCCTAAATGAACGCCGACTGATTTTGTGGATGAGTTGTTCGAAAGTGGCTGTGCTAAGCCTTCATTGGCCGTATGTTGTATATTGTACGGGGATAGTTGATAATTGTGGCGAAGTAGCAGATTAGGATAGTTCCTCTTCAAGCTTTAGACCAACATGTGTTATCACATAGGCCATAATCACCACTACCAAAAGGAACGATACTCAGTCCCAGAGCTTCAGGCGTTGTAATCATGCTAATTCGCTATCAAGACTATAGAGATAATCGTCCCAAATATCCTTCTGATATACACATACTTCCCACTATACTAACACAGACCCCCAGCCCCTCCGACACCTAAAAAGCAAGCTCCCTACTAATACACCCACATACAACACCAACCAGTGTCATCTACGAGTCGGCGTAATCAGTCGAGCCACTCGTCTTCGCAGGATTCGCTGCAGAGGTCTGGCTCGTCGTCTCCTTCGCCTTTGCGGAGGACGTGCTCGCAGCCGCTGTGGTGGTGCTACTATCCCACCGTTAGGTTCTGCCAGAAGGAGACGCATCAGGCAGTGCAGTCACTCACGAAGACTTCTTCTCTCCCTCTGTCGCCGGCTTCTTATCGTCTGTTGCGATCTTCTTATCCTTCACCGACGCAGCTGCTGCGTCGTCGGCCTTGGGCGTCTCCTCGGTCTTTGGCTTCTCCTCGGTATTTGCCTTCTCCTCGGTCTTCGGCTTCTCTGCTTCCTTTTTGGCATCCTCTGCATCCTTTCTTGCTTTCTCTGCGTCGGCTGCTTGTTCCTTCTTAAGATCAGCTGCGTCGTCCATAGACATCATTTTCATGTTGCCGAGGAGAATCTTCGTCTCGGGGCAGTAATCGAAGATCTGGCGCCTGCGAGTCGCATTGCCCCAGACTATAGGGTCTTGGAGTTTACCGGAGCCGCGGATGTGGTATCCCAGGGGTCTCTCGACGTACAGGGACTCGACGCTAAAGTATTTCTCCTCCTGGGCTGGAGCGGCGTTCTTCAGGCGCTCGCACACCCATGTATCCTCCCATTGCCGATGTCCTGGTTCGCGGGAGTCTTTCTTGAGGACTTCGATGATAGGGGGGATGTGGCGGAGGGAGAGCCCGCCGTTGCCGCCGGGGACATCTCCGTTCCACGGCGCGCCGGTCCAGTCGTAGCCCTTTGCCACCCAGTCGTCGATGTTCTGCTCGGAGGCGGAGCAGATAATCGAGTCGGTCTGGAAGAAGAGGGCCCATTCCGCCGGAGCGAGGAATTCGGAGTAGAATGTGACATTTGTGAGTGTCTGGGAGATGCTCTCAGACGAGTCGACGGGGTAGTATGAGGGTAGTTCTTGAAGCTGGAGCTTCTTCGATGCGATGTGTTGCTTTAGGGAATACGACTTGTGCACCACTGCGAAGGCTTCTTGCGACCCAACCAGCTTGACGACCCAGGCGGGTGGGAGAGTTGCGATGAAGTGGGTGAGGAGCGGGGGGAGCACGTTGGTGGGGCGCGTCTCGATGATCAACGCAATGCGCTTGGGGTCGAGTCCCGGTGCGACTGTTGCTGCTCCTTGTCCAGTGTGTGGTGTCTCGGGGATCTTGGGCATATGCTCGGTGTCGTATTCGGACCCGGAGTATAGAGGTTCTACATTTGGCCCCAATGGCTCGTTTGCTTTTTGTTCCTTTTCGCCTTTACTGAGAGAACCAGACCGGAACACCCCCGACGCTGAGGGCAAGTTGTCGCCGCCATAGGCGAAAAGCGCAATCGCAGCACTGAATGTATTTGTTAGCTAAAGAATTGCGAAATCGCGGCATCGGTAGAATGTCGTGGACGTACATGAAAATGAAAATAAAGAAGGCGCTGCGCTGCACCCTCTTACTGTGCCATATTGGGTTCATTCGAACAACGAGGCTCTCTGAGAGAACCGTCACCGAGGGGTGTTCGTGATGATCGACTCGTGGCGATTATTAACAGAGTAGCTATCCCCTAGCTATTCGCATTGAGTCTCGGGGTATTCGTGGGGAGTGAGGTTGGAACAGTTGGCCGACAAATGTGGCTGCTTGTACGGGGGTGGATAGGAACCTGGCCGGAAATGCTATAAATATTTGGCGCAGGAGCCAAGCCAAGCGCAAGGCGGCGTAGCACCAAAAAAAGGGGCGATAAGACTAAGCGGCGAAAGGTAAATAAGAGGTTCAACTCGACACAATTACTTGTTTAAAAACATGTTAGAAAAATAACATCACATGAGAAACCCTTCAGGGTATTTACTTGAATTTTCTGATAATTTTTACAATATAAAGTCAGGGAGACCTCTCATAATTCTATTCTCGTAGGCGTTATTCAAGCTACACGCCGCAAGCAATTAAGCGAAGCGCGTCGCGCTACCCCAACTTTCGTATCTCAGGCACTTGATCCACAAGAATCCACGTGCGACGCAGCACGTGCAACAACCCCAGGTATATCTCCAATATATACGAACAAATTTAAGATGCACCAACGTATAAACATAAGGTGTATATATATATATTACACTCTTTCCCTTCCTAAAGACCACGATTACTCATCGCCCTGAGTATCAGTAATCCGTACTGCCTCCATACGTAGCCAATTATAAACTCCCTCGGGTAGATGGGACATGACCGAAGGGACCCCTCTGATAAGACCCTATCGATAACGAGGGTTTCGGCAAAGAAAAGGGACGACGCCGAGTCACCGAGACTATTCTCCGAGGTCTCCAGATCACCCAGAGAATGAGATATGCGACCCGGCAACATCTATATATACCATCCTGAATAGACTCGAGCTTGAACGTCCATCCAAGGCCGGATAGGACAGGCAGCTCCCTCGCCACGGCCCTGCAATGTCGCCGATTTCGTCACATCCTGCATCCCCCGCAGTGCTCAAGACCCTTGGCAATGGAGGAGAATACGAGCACCACGAGCACCGGCGGACACGCACGAACACGGCTGAGATAGATAATACCATCAGCCATCCTGGCTCGGTGAAGATCAATGTTGAGGGCGCCTTTATCGTCGACAGGGACTCGACGTCGCCGAATCGGTCCGGTGTCGATGGGGCGAATCATGAGACGACCGATATTAGGCTGCCAAACCACACAGCTGTTGTGAGCCATATTGCCGTAGACGTAAGATATCCCCCATGGTGTGTACCAAGACCGAGTTCTAACCGTGTGGCAGATTGGAGGATCTCTAGCCAAACTCGTATACTTCTCGCGCGAACCGCCACCAGCGAAGCCGGGCGGACGCCTGAACTTCATGAGCTTCGAGACCGACAGGATTGACGATTGCATAAAGTTCATGAAGCAGCTGAAACTCAAGCAGCAAGCACTTAACGGCTCAGAGCCAGGCGAGCTATGCTTGATGGCGACGGGTGGGGGCGCATTTAAGTTCTACGACAAGATAAAGGAGGCGCTGGGGGTTGATATTGTGCGGGAGGATGAGATGGAATGTCTGATTATCGGTTAGTACTTTCATTTCCGAGATCTGTGACATACTCTAATGCGATAACTGCAGGTCTCGATTTCTTCATCACCGAAATTCCTCGCGAGGTCTTCACTTACAGCGAAACCGATCCAATGCAATTCGCCGAAGCACGTGCTGACATATACCCATACTTGCTTGTTAATATTGGTTCGGGTGTGTCTATGATCAAGGTTTCGGGTCCGAAGGAGTTCCAGCGAGTCGGCGGTACCTCGTTGGGCGGGGGAACTCTATGGGGTCTATTATCCTTACTCACCGGTGCGAGAACGTTCGACGACATGCTGGGAATGGCCGAGCGTGGAGACAACACGAAAGTGGACATGTTAGTCGGCGACATTTATGGCGCAGATTATGGCAAGATAGGGCTGAAGTCGACGACAATTGCGAGCAGTTTTGGTAAAGTGTTCCGCATGAAGAGAGAGGCGGAGATGGAGGCAGAAGACACCGGTGGATTTGACGAGGGCGTTGACCGTGATATGTCTCCAATAATAGAAGCTCCTTCACCACCAGCGCCGCAAGATGAACCGAGGGACGCGCCCTTTGACGGAGCCGATGTATCGCGATCACTGCTATACGCAATCTCGAACAACATTGGCCAGATCGCCTACCTGCAATCGGAGAAGCACAAGCTTGAACATATCTATTTTGGAGGCAGTTTTATCAGAGGCCACAGGCAAACGATGAACACACTGAGCTATGCCATCAAGTTTTGGAGTCAGGGCCAGAAGAAGGCGTATTTCCTGCGACACGAGGGCTACCTGGGATCTGTTGGCGCGTTCCTAAAGAGACAGCCTAAGAACTGGGGCCGAAGGGGCAGTTTCGATGATGGGATTGGAGGGCCGTTCAGGAGGGGAGATGCAGCGAGAGATGCTGAAGGCATGGAGGAGTAAGGCACCAGAAGACTCGTCAGGTCTCTTGGATGTCATGGAAGCGGATAATGCATATTTTTTTTTTGGAGTTTTGGGGCGCTTGGGAGCATTTATACATTGTAAACAACTCAACGGGAGGCAATCATTTTAGAAGCATTGTAACAGTCTACGAACCAGCGGAGGCCATTTGATGCAATTCTGGGTGGTGGACAAGCTCATCAAATAGAGTCTATTCAAATTTGGACTGTACAGTACTTTACATATGCGCAAAAAAAATCTATATACTCGTGTCTGAAGAGGGAATGCGTATAGCTCAGGATTAATACTAACAACCCAATGTCATAGAATTTATACCCCTTCAGTTCCTTTTGTCAATAACTGACTTACTAATTGGAGTCCTGACTGATCGAACGCCTTGACTTAAATTACAGTTGCTGTAATCGCTGCTGTTATGTACAGTCCCTCTCACTCGGCACGAATATCATATTAATTGGAATACAATGAATCTAACACGTGGTTTAATTGGCATCTTTTATGGTTTATCAAGGACAATAAATTACGTGACACCAAAGGAGGGGAGATTCTGTAGATCGTACCAAGCTTTTTGACAAAAGCTTGTCAAGTTTGGGGGTGTGTCGTCATTAACCAACCCCACTGGCCAACCCCGCATGAGAACTTATAGCTGCTTAAACCTGGTCAGCTCATTGCAAGGAATCAATTGAATCATTATAAGTCGTCAGCCTGCCCATTGATGATCTTCTCACCGATCTATCTCTTTCAATTCTACCATCTCTTAAGGCATAGTTATCATCTTGCATCCCTACTCTCATATTTCACAAAAGCAACTCTCAATTGATCCAGAAACCCTCAATCGAAGCCTACAGTTTACTACCTCATACCCTTACAATGTGCCGCTGGTTTGCATACATCGCTCCATCTGAGGAATGTCTCCTCGAAGATGTCCTCATAGGCATGATAACTCTCACCCCATACCATCCTCTCAACCTCTAACACCCCCCAGCCCCAGCCCACGCAATCTCCAAACAAGTAAACCACCACTACCTCCCCTTCCTCCTCTCCCACGACCCCAAAGTCCACGCCGGCACCACCACCCAAGCCGAAGTAAGCCAGCGCAACGCCCTGTTCAACGTCGACGGCTTCGGCATGTCCTGGTACACCCCCACCAAATCGGAATTCACCCCCTCCGCCCCCGGCTCCAGCAGCACCACCGGCCCAATCCTGCACCCTGCAGTCTACAAAATCACCCACCCAGCCTTGCACACCACGAACTTCCAAACCATCTGCGCCGCCACCTCAAGCACCTGCGTTATGGCCCACATCCGCGCTGCCTCCACCGGCGTCATTGCGGAGGTGAACACGCACCCTTTCGTCTTCGGGAGACACACGATAATGCACAATGGGTATATCTCCTCCTACCCCGCCATCGCGCGCCAGATGGCCGGCCTAATGTCCGAGGAGGCACACACCCACATCACAGGGCGCACCGACTCCGAAGCCCTCGCCGCGCTGTACATGACGTACCTCACCTCCGGCGCTGGTCACGGGACCGGGACAGACGCGTGGGAGATGGCGTATACTCCCAAGGAGATGATGGCTGCGCTGCAGAATACGATTAGTACGATTATCGAACTGCAGCGAACACTAGGGGAGGAGGTGGAGCCGAATGACCTCAACGTCTGTGTATCCGACGGACGGCAGTTAGTGGCTAGTCGGTTCAGGAACCACGCGACGCAGCAGCCGCCGAGTTTGTATCACAGTGCATCGGCGGGTGTGACGCTGAATCGGAAGTACCCCGATGAGGCGGATGGGGCGGGCGGGAGATGGGGGGAGGCGAAGGGGGAGATGGGGACGCATGGGATTAAGGCTGAGGGGAGGAACCCGAGGGCGCATAAGGGGGTGGGGGAGCATGGGAGGCATGTGATTGTGGCGAGTGAGCCGACGACGTATAAGAAGTGTGAGTGGGAGCTGATTGAGAAGAATCGAGCTATTGTGGTGAATGAAAAGGGGGGGGTGGAGTTTGTGGATGTGACGTATGCGGGGCAGGAGGTGTAGTGGGGATGGTGGTTGGTGGTGTTAAGGGTTGTATTTAAGTGCTGTCTGGCAAGAACCTTCTGTACTTACTGGGATTGTGAGTTCTTGGATATTTATTACTTGCAGATTACATAGGCCGTAGATTCAAAAAGTTCACGAAAGCAGTTGAATTAGATTCTCAACCTATATAGAGGAGCATGATTTGTATTCATAACTATGTATTTTCTCATGAAATGGGCAGCAACCAGATTCAATAAAGCAAGACCGCCACCTTATTAGCTCATTCTTTGCAGTTTCTCCAGTGCACTTTCTTCAATTTCAAGAGTGACTTCTTCTCCATAGTCGCTCCCATCCTCAAACTCGTCGGCATCGTTGGTATCTCCTTGGATTTTTGCACTGGCTATGTCTGCCAGCAGTTCTTCTGCGCCTGTCACACTACACTCAGCGCCCAAGTCAGCCACATCATGGCAATGGTCACCTAGGTCAGCCAAATCTGCATGGCTTTCGGAGCCAGCAATGTCTACCAGCAGTTCTTCAGCGCCAGTCACACCACACTCAGCGCCCAAGTCAGCCAGATCGTGACAATGGCCACCCAGATCAGCTAAATCTTCATAGTGTGAGTTCACGCGGCTGCATTCGGAAGTCTGGGTGATGCTGAGCAATTCTTCTTGCTGATGATTTGCTTCGAGGAAGTTGGCGAGGAGGTCCATGGAGGTTTTGGGGAGGTTGGGAGTTTCATCCAGGTCATGTTTCAATTGTGGTTCATCTTGGACTTTGCTCGTCTCATCCGGGATGTTATATGGCAGGATAACTTCATCGCCGTCAGAATCGACAGCATCAGGCCGAAAGAGATCTAGCAATTCACCACGATGGGTGACTCCATCCGCAGTCTCAATATAATCCTCGTGATCATCTTCGTCAGACATAGCAAGCCGAGGTTTCTTGGCTTTTGCCTCATTCCTCGTAATGAACGACAAGCCGACATCCTCCAGAGTAGTTGGTTCGCTTCCCGTCGCAATTCTTCCAAGCACCGACTGGAATATCCATGGGAAACTCATCAGGGGCATCGACTTCGGCTCCATCTTCCGCTTCGGAACATCTCTCCCACCAATCGTCTTCATCGTGCGGCACTCGTGAAGTGCAATGGCCAATTCCTCGCAAGTGACTTGATACATGGCAGCAGCGAACGGTCCCAAAGCTTTGAAATCGTTTCCCCCAGCAGCCTCAACACAGATCTCCTTGAAGCGAGCTTTGAGGGTTGAGCTGATGATTCCCATCTCCTCTTGTACTTTGTAGTCTGACCCGACACGCGGCTTGGACAGGACGAAGGAAGTCCAGACCTCGAACTCGGTTTCGATGTCGTGTTGGGCCATAATACGCCGCATCGCTGTGTCGTACTGTGATTTAATCTGTCTCGCGGCCTTCAGGATTGCTCTATCCTCTGGGTAAGCCCTCAGGATCCTCTTATCAAAGGGTGATTCGTAGTGGGGAATGAAATCGACGCTCTCGACTTTGTCGTAGAGCTGGCCCAGGATTTTCTCCGAGACGTAAATTTGCTCCTTTGGCTTGTGTTTCTTCTCCATGAAATGGGGCCACTTGCGAGGTCGCAGATACTTGGGCATCTCGGCTGGAATACCGCTCTTGACGAAATCAACAGCCTTGGAATGCAAAGCGGCGAGTTCCAGGCCTGGAGTAAGTTAGCATTGGTGTCTTCCAATAGCAATACTCTGCGAAGGGGCAGAAACTTACACTTCGGGTCTCTCACAGAGAAATCAAGCTTATCAGACAGCGCAAGGTGGGCATGGGCAATAGTCGGGAGAGTATCACTCTTCATATACTTGACAAAGAACGACATCACATCGTTGATCTCAACCGGGCGATTCAACTTCACAGGCGGGGGTGCTGTGTAGTCCATAGGTTCCGCATTCCACTCACGCGGAAGCAAATCCTGATCCCAAATGACGAAGAAGTCATCGCCATCAAGGTCTCCTCCAGAGCACATCCCAGGGACATCTCTATCTCCCAGCTGTGAGAATACCACCACATCGCGAAGGTGATGTAAAGCTGGGACGTCAACGGCCTGAACAACTCTGATGTCGCCTGGGTGCAGCGAGGGATTACGCCCAACAAGGCAAAGGCCTTCGATGATAACATTGTGCCGAGGATCCTTTCTGTCGGTGACTTGGAGGTAGATCTGTGGAAGCTTGTCAATATCTTCGGCTGTGATAGTACCTTTGCCATCATTGGTAGTTTTGCTGTGGCCTCTAAGGGTTTGAGTTTCATCAGTGCATCCCAAGACGAATGCTCCTTTCTCAACGATAATCTTTGCTTTCTCCTTGAGAAGTTTGATGGACCATGACCTCCACAAATGGAGAAGGGACAGGATAAATGGTTCATTAGTGCGCATGAATCCGTCCAAGACCATAGCTGCAATCATCATTGTCATATGGTTATCATCCACGTATCTTCCCAGGAGCTCTAGAGCCTTGTCTGGGTCATTCATGGCGTCCACGTAATTTGAAAGTTGCTCATCAAGCATCCGATTGAAAACATGATCTTCAACCCCCAGCGCGGATAGGATTGTAATGGTCTGTCGGTTTAAGGTTGCCACAGAATGATTCGAGGTCCTAATAATCTCCAGGCCCATATACTCTGCTGTGAATTTCGTCTGGCTCTTTCGGATATGAATTTCTTGTCCTTTGGCGTCTGGAGATATCGCGAGGATTCCTTTGCAACCACCCATGCGAAACTGGACCACTGAAGGTTCATGCAAGAGGTGAAGCTCTGTTCCAATCATTTTCATAAGAAACGGGGAAATCTTTCCAACCCCATCAGTGAAGTTGTACCCATTACGTTCGACGTCTTGCAGCTCAAGAACCGTCATTCCGGTGTTACGAATCGCCCGAGTCGTCGAGAAGCAAAGCCCCAGTCGCGCAGCATATTTCGCCACAACATTGATGTGGTGGAATTTGCCCATCCAGTCTCTGATCTGGACACAGCTCAACTCATCCGTGGGGCAAAAGAAATAGGCGCCGTTTTCTCGAAACTGGCTGTTTCCAAAGGCGAGAAACTCAAAGTGGCGATCACCAATCCGGATGCCATTCTTCAGTGTCCGATAGACTCTGGTGAAGAGCTGGTCATTGCGGATTTTATCCGCGCAGGCATTTATGCGTCCCTCAAACAACTCATCAGTGAACTGAACTCTGAGAAAACGATCGCCGTATGCAGAGAACTTCCGAATAACGCGATTGGAGGTTTCCACAGTTGGGCTACTGAAGTATATTGTTGTTGGAGTGACGGTGGCCTTCCTTGTGTAGGCACAATAAGTCGGAATTTTCGATTTGGGTGAGTGTGCCAACGCATCTGGATTCTTGAATATTGACATAACATCATAGATGCGCTTCCCCTGTTCTGAAATGTACTCGAGGATACAAGTGGCTCTTTCTTTGTCGGTGTCTACCAAACTTGCCAGTTCCTTGACGAACTCGGGGGTGATGTTGTGCACTTCGAGTATATTGCGCGAGATGCAAACTTCAAGCTGATATCTTACTTCGAATGGCAAAATAGTGCTTTTGTCGCTGTTCTCCATCAAATAGTGCAATTCATCCTTGGCTTCATCAGCATTCGGAGCATCGATCATGTCCCAAACCTTCGCTAGTGCATTGGGAATTGTGCTGAATGAGTCCAAACCCACAACATCGATGTTGAAATCCTGGAGGGCAGACTGTACGTCGGGGAACACTTTCGAACTCTCATCGTCTTCGCCAAAAACAAAGAGGTATGTTGTCCAACGTCCGATATCGATCATAGGAGCAGCTTTGTTCAGACTGACAACCGCTTTCCTTACGGCCCCTGAATCTGCAACCACATCTGTCACCCTGAACCATGAATCAAACTCGCTCCAGACCAGAGATTGCTTGACGTGGGTTCTTTGTATGTTCAAATCCTTGAGATAGAATTGTGGTGGGCTGTCCAACGTCAACAGCAGCCCCCAGCGATCGTCATCCAACTTAACTCGATGCATCACCCTCAGCTGGCCGAATGGCACCTGGAACATATGTTTGATCGATTTCAAGCCTGGGTTGCTTGCCGTTTCGTTCCCGTAGTCAACATCAAAGACTGCTACGATTCTTCTCCGCATTAAATCGATCTTAAGCTTCATCTGATTTCTCGCAGGCAGCACCTCAGTCCTCTTCTTCATCATTGCCGTCTCCGAAAACATGACGCCAAAATTGAGTTCCTGGGGGTATAGAGTTGTCACCTCCGGATACCATTTCATCTTCCGAATGGGACTCTGAATCTCAAATGAACGCTTCTTTCCTTCTGGAAATACTCTGACGGTATGTTCACTCATCTCAGGAGATTCCAGGCGGATGCTAATAGGATCGCGGGTCCAAAAATCGGTATTTGGCGGTGGTGAGAATCGGATTCTTGCGCTGTCCTGGCGAACGCCCCTCGAATTCTCGTGCAGCTCAATGAAGGCAATAGATCCCTCACGCTCAAAGCGTTTGAAGAGATCCCAGGTTGTCATTGTTGCTGGGAGCTGGGAAACGCGCACGGTCAGTTCGGTCCATTTCTGCCATGGCTCCTTGGTTTTGAGTATGGGGCCGTCGAGTTTGGGACCGGCTGGCTGTTGTTGTGCAGCGTTCATTGTAGGGTTTTGTGGCCTCCGATTTTGATTTGCCCTCCAATCTGATTTTTGTATTCTGGGGTAGTTTGGCTGAAACCCGCCTCGCTGTGGAGGGTTGCGGCCAGTTCGGGGAAGGGGGGCGGGCCAGTTTCGCATCTCTGAACCCTCGGTGAATTCAGCCATGCTCACAACAAGTAACTGAGTAGGCAACTGAACTTGGAAACTTCTCGGGCTGAGTGAAGTTGTCGTGATTATCGAGAGAGTTGGTGAAATTGCTGTAATTATCGAGAGAGTTGGAGTTTGATAGAGGTTGGATCTATAGATTAATTTGAAAGGTTTAAGATGTAATGCTCGTAGCTGACGGCTAGAGAGAAGAAGATCAAACTTCGTGGAAGGGGGATGGGGTGTTGTGGAAATCGACTAGTGATGTGGATGAATTTGAAGATCTTGAGTCGGCGACGAGAAGAGGGGAGTTGAAGAGGCGGATCTGTAGATTAATATGCAAAATTTAAAATGTAATGCTCGTAGCTGACGGTTAGAGAGAAGAAAATCAAACTTCGGGGGAGGGAATGCTGTAGGAACTGACTGGTGATGTGGATGAGTTTGGAAATTCGAGCTCTTTGTGTAGAACCGTGAGAATCCGAGCTTGAAGTTGGATCTTGACGTGACAGGTAACTTTGAAATAAACTTTAAGGATCCAGGACGGCAGTCTGGATATAATCTAAATTCAGAGCACAGTCAGTATCGTCTGACAGATTTGAAGTGTTCAAGATCGGGTGGGGGTGGTTGTGTGGCGGCGTAGTTTTGAGGTTGTAAAAAGGAAGAGGTAGACCGAGCTTGAAGTTGGATCTGAAGGGACTTGACAGGTAACTTTGAAATAAACTTTAAAGATCCAGACCGGCAGGCTGGAGAGAGTTTAATTCAAAACACCTGTAGCTTGGATGTATAAATATACACGAGGTCCTTCAAACGAAGTAAAGGCGTATGGTGGCTGAAGGAAGGAAGGAAACAGTAGTTGAAGTAACGAAAACAGGTAGTTGGAGGAAAGACACAGCTAAACCCGCACAAGCGGATGCATGGCAAAAAAGGACGGCAACTGGCGAGAAAGTGTAGGCGCAACGACAAGAGGTCATCTCGGTGAGAGCAAAACCTGAGTATTCGGCTAATGCTTCCAGGGAGAAAGGGGCATCAACTTCACCACTTCGCTTCTTGGGAGAAATAGACAAAGTCTATGGGGCGTAGACTTGCGGAATTCAGAAACGGGAATTTGCGTTCAAGGAGAGGGAAAATTTATGAATGGTTTGAGAAATGGCTGTGTTTGTATGCGCATACAAACAGGCGGATAATGGCAGAATGCACATAGCAATCTTCATCGCCATGGCATACCTCAGGCTTTACAGTAAATGGGACATGAGAAGATAATAAACAGATAGCAGCCAAATTCCACAACAACGAAAAGGGAAAGGAGGGAAAGGTGAATATAGAAAATCAGTACCGGATGCATTCTACAATAAGAGAGGAATATAGAGAAACAGCATCTGACGGGCTTCCAATGATAGCCTGCAAACCTGTGAACAAACCGGCTCAAATCGACCTAAACCAAACCAAGAAAACACTATAAAGAAACCCAGAAGAAGACAAATACAGACAGAAAATAAAAGGCATCCAAACCTCAACCCCTCCAAGGTGATACCGCCACAGCCGCGACCTCCCCAAAAACCTCACGCGGACATTACCGCCCTCCTCCCTTTCCCAGCACAACCCCTCCACCCTTCCAATATCAACGAACTTTCTTATTACCCCCCTCCAAGTACCTCTTCAGTACCCCCTCCACCCCCCCAAATTAAAACGCCCCCATGCACCTACCCCGCAATCCGCCCCAATCGAGCCTCATACATCCACATCCACGCTAACCCCCACGCGCCCACGTGCCCCCCCTTCCCTGTCTGTTCCCCCACGGCCTGTCTGACTTCCTACCACATCTGACAGCTATCTATCATCATGGAGAAAATATATCCCTCAACACCAGCCTCATCTCCCCTACCTATATCAATCCAAAAAGAAGCAACAGAGTAATAAAGCAATTCCCTCACCCAAGAAATCCCCCCTCCCAGACCGCCTTAGGCCCCCCCACCACACCGTCCCTAGCAAAACGTCGACGCAGGACAAAAAAAGAAAAGAAAAGAAAACATCGGTGTAAGGTACCCGCATCCATTCCTCCCTGCAATCTAAGACAACACTCGAGTCATGTCGTGGGGCGCCTCGGTCCTAGATCCGTCGGGCTGCATACGTGTCGCGTGAGGAGGGCGGGGGGTTGGTTTTAGAGTGTTCTAGGTCTGAGGGGGAAGAGGGATTTATCATCATAGTCGAAATAAGACCTCGTAGAAAGAGATCGATGCTGGCGCTGCAGTCGCCAGCCAAGTATGAGATTATTCGGATATACCGAAACCATTGCAGTTGATTGACGGGTTTGGGCAAAGACAGAGAATGGGTTGGTTATTCAAGTGATAAATGTGCGTCTAGTACTAAAACCAAAAAAAGAAAATGTGCCGCCCAGATGCTGAAGTATATACAGCGAACCTTCTAGCTAGCATCACGGCCTCAACAGCCATATATATCCTCCCCAAAACCAAAAAAAATGCAAATGACAATAGCCTCCCCCCAAGATGCCCCATTCCCACCCTCAACAGCCCAGTCCAGCTCACGGCGACCCCGGCACATCCATAATCTTCCCCGGATTCATAATCCAATACGGATCCAAACTCAACTTAATACTCTTCATAACCCCAATAGTCTCCTCCCCCACCTCCATCCTCAGCGCATCCTTCTTCCCCATCCCCACCCCATGCTCCCCCGTACACGTGCCCTCCATCTCCAAGGCACGGATGACCATGTTCTTCACGCACCGCTCCACCTTCTCCTTCTCCCCCGGCACGCGGCTGTCGTACATGATGGACTCGTGGAAGTTGCCGTCGCCGATGTGGCCGAGGATCGAGGCGAAGAGGCCGAGGTCGTCCATCTCCTTCTTGCTGATCTCGATGATGTCCGCGAGGCGCGAGAAGGGGACTGCCACGTCGGTGGACCACACTTCGGAGCCCTCCTTGCGCATGGCCATCATGCTCCACAAACTCTCCTTGCGCGCAGACCAGAGGAGTTTCTGCTCCTGTGGCGTGGCGGCGAACTCGAAGTTGCCTCCGCCGTGCTGCTTCGCGATGCCCTTGACCATGACGATGTTATCCTTGACCGTTGCCTTGGTGCCAGAGAACTTGAAAAACAGGGTTGGAAGCTCTTTCCAGACTTTAGGCTTGGTAGCACCGTTAATGTTCACAACGCGCATCTGCACCTCGTCCATGAGCTCCATAGCTGCAACAGGGACACCGGCGCGCATGACGCCTGCGGCGGCGGAGGCGGCGGCGCGGATGCTGGGGAAGGTGACGACTGCGACTGAGTATTCTTGGGGAACGACGGCGAGCTTGAGGGTGATTTCTGTGACCATGCCGAGGGTTCCTTCGGATCCGACGAATAGGGAGTTCAGGTTGTATCCGGCTGAGGTCTTGCGGGGACGGCGCTTGGTCTTCACGATAGTACCATCTGCTAGGACGACAGTGAGGTTAATGACCCAGTCTTTCATGGTACCGTAGCGAACGGCATTGGTGCCGCTGCAGTTAGTCCCAACCATGCCTCCTATCTTGGCTGATGGTCCGGGGTCAATAGGGAAGAACAGTCTCGAATCGGCGATTGTCTCATTCAGGGTCATCCACGAGACGGAAGGCTGGACCACAACATCCATATCGTCCTTGTTGAGCTGAATGATCTTATCCATAAACGCAAAGTCGACGCTGAACCCACCGTACGGCGCCGAGAAATTGGCCTCCAGGCTCGATCCGCCCGAGTATGGAATCATAGGAACACGGTACTTGTGGCAGATCTTTGCAATGGCGGAGACCTCGGCAGTAGAGGTTGGATACAGGACTGCCACTGGCAGAGTATCAATATTGATCGAGGACCACTCTGAGAACCCATGGGCGCGCAGGTCCTCGTCATCGATGCTGACGGCATCTTCACTCAAAGCTGCCTTGACCTCTGCAATCGCCTACAACAAAAAGTAACTGTCAGATGCCGGAATAATTATACATATAAAAAATGTAACCAGGTACTAACAGCTTCCATATCCTTCACGCTGCCATACTTCGGCTTGTGGAACTTGTCCGTCCGCGCATACTCAACCACCCGCAGCGAGGGGTCCTGAAGCTTCGCGACAGCGTATGCCGAGATTCCAGTCCCCACCGCAAGCAGGAGCACACTCGCCGTAGTCCATTCCCAGGACTTACTCGCATCAGACCGCGGCGGCGGCGGCGGTACCTGCTTCGAGGAGGAAGTGCTGTTCCATCTGCACTGCTGTTGCTGTGTCCTGAGTGCTCTTGCTGCTACCCCTCGTTGCGCTTTCGGAGCCGAAGTTGCGAGGCGAAAGCACGCAACACATTTTCGCGAAGACATAATAATTAAGGCGTTGCACGGTGCATGAGAGACAAGGATCTTGGGTTCGGTTCAGGCGCAGGGACGGTTAAATTTTTAGAGGAGGAGATCTTCTTGCGCGATGGGAGGATTGTGAAATGCAACCTTGTGACGACATGGGACGACGAGAGGGGGGAAGAGTAGTAGTAGTGAATTAATAGGGTTTTATAAGAAGGGAAATGGGAAATGGGAAGAGGAAGTTAAGTAGGTAGGAGGGAGAGGGAATGGGAATGGGGGAGAGTTTACCCATATGGGGGTGGTTTCTTATGGTCCCTCCCTTCCCTTCTCTCACCGTCTGCCATCATCTCTTTTTTAGTATGTATGTACATTGATTGCCCCGCGCGGGCACACGTTTCTGGACAGGAAAAGAAAGAGCGAGAGGACGATTTGTAGTGGGTAGGTAGTGGGCCTGGCCGGGAGTGTATAGCGCGAGCACGAAAGTCACGGAGTCACGGAGTAGGAGGGGAGTAAGGAGTAAGGGAGGGTTAGTCGCGTGCAGTTGACCGAGAAGTGGACAGAATGGACAAGGTTAGGAATGGGAAGCTGGCAAAAAGTTCGTGGGGGGACAACCGTAGTGAGCGTTTATTGCATATGTACTGTAGTAGTAGTAGTAGTATAGTAGTATACTATAACTATACATTACAAGGTTCACGATGCATGTTTATTGTTTATTACTTGGATTACGAGTTCGGTGGTACAAAGATTTAATTTTCCCAGGATGTGTCGCCCTATGAGCTTGGATGAGCGTCATCCCATCGTTCGCTGGATCGCTGGATCGATGGATCGTTCTCTGTTGGGATCGGGGTCGGTGTGTGGGAAAGTGAGATTAGATGGACATGGGCCCTTCCATGCCATGCCATCTACGTATTTCCGTCCCCATTCCCGGGAAATCTATTGGTGGCGCCAGCTACATGGTCACCAAGATTAAATGCTACTCTGTTTTTAAATATATCCACGAGACAGCAGACACACCACTTCCTGACCGGGCTGGCGGCTGTATATGTACGCTGTCAAAAGTAAGGCAGACAAAGTTCCCAGGGGGTGTTCAACCACCGCCACACCGGGGGTATGCGACAGGTTCACTCTCACCCAAAAGCCCAGAGTCCAGGCTGGCACTCATGGTAATCGCGCTTCTCCGTCTCCTGCATCAGCACTAACCAAATGCCCTATACGACCTGGTCTTACACTTACAGTAGTAGGTAGTTGAGTACAAAGTAACACATTAGCTCTCCCCGATCATCGAAACGAGAGAGAGCGCAGCTATAGCAAATCACAGCACATACATATGTCCCTCGGACGTGCGTCGTCCACAGCGCGGCGCGCGCCCAATCCGCATCTGGCGCCTCCTGCGGTGCAGCTCACCAGCACAGCACAGAGGCGTCCGTCCAGCATGCAGGTTCTTCGGATGTGGAAAATGGGCACGAGACCAAGTCCAGGGATTGTTGTGTTTGCCAACAGCGCTTACGAGATGAAATGCCTCATTATCTCAGCTGCAGACTTTTGGAGGGGGGGGGGGGATCTGCTGTGTACGACTGGGCATTTGGGTGTCATTGTGGTTTGTCTTGTCCTACTGTTCGGGTTTGAGGTTGGGTATCCACCGCTGGACTAGAAGGAGGGGGGTTTGTGAGACTGTATTCCGCGTTGCTGTCAGGTCTACTCTGTACTCAATATTTAGGCGTTTCTCCAATAGATAGATGATCCACTGCGGGATTGGCTCCGAAGGTTTGAAAAGTTCGGGATTGGTTTCGGGAATTAATCCTCGGGAGCTAAGAAACAGTTTCATAGTTGGGCTGGGTATTGAAATATAATGCGAAGTCACATAGTACGGGGTAACACACGAAAGATTATCTTCAGTAGGATCTCTGCTGGGAATACTTTTATGGTCATTCGAATTCTTTCACTATGCTAGTTGCAAATTTCCCGCAAACTGAACGCATAATGCAGCCCAAGTTACTCCATTCCAGATATACCCAGCAAGCAGAACAAACACAAAGCGAACCACCGCACATTTAGTGGGCGATCTGCTGGGCACGTCTGCGGTCACGCTCCTCAGCAATGGTGAGCTTGACACCCTTACCCTTGGGCAGGGAGATCCATGGCTTCTCGCCTCCGATGACGAAAACGTTGTTCTCGCGGGTGGCGAAGCTGTTGTCTATCGCATCCTTGATGTGGACAATATTGAAGCCTCCGTCGTGGCGCTCGCGGTGGGTGATGACACCAACACGGCCCATGTTACGACCACCAGTAGCCATGGCGATGACACCAGTGTCGAACTTGATGAAGTCGGTGATCTTGCCGGTGGCGAGGTCGATCTTCACGGTGTCGTTGACCTTGATGGCTGGGTCAGGGTAGCGGATACTAAAAACATATAGGGTCAGCATTTCTGTAGGAGAGTTATAGCAACCGTTGATCTCAAAGCAATCGCCTTCCGAACCCTCCCTCTCCCGGAGATTCGACCAAAGCTTGGACCAACGGCTGAATGATGTCTGACAGAACTTACGTTCTAGCATCGTGCGTGACCAAGAATGGGATTCCACCCTTGCCAAGCTGAACGCGCTTGACCTTGCCGAGCTTGTACTCGGCCTCCTCAGCCTGGACGCGGTGGACGGTGAAACGGCCCTTGGTATCGTAGACGAGGCGGAAGTGCTCGCCAGTCTTCTCGATGGTGATGACATCCATGAAGCCGGCGGGGTAGGTGGTGTCGGTGCGGACCTTTCCGTCGACCTTGATGAGGCGCTGCATCACGATGGCCTTGGTCTCGCGTGCGTTGAGAGCATACTTCAGGCGGTTACGGATGAAGACGATCAACGGCATGCAGTCGCGGAGCTTGTGAGGACCGGGGGATGGGCGAGGCGCGTAGGAACCGGACAGTTTGTCCAAGAGCCAGTGCGATGGCGCGCTCAGGCGCTTTTGGTGCTTCTTTCTGTAGAGCGTGAATGTTAGCATCTGGTCAAGCAATTGAATTCGATGCGGATTTCGAGATTGGTGGATCCGCCATAATTGATGGGCTTCGAGCAGTTTCCAGGAATATGGCTTCAGGTATTGATTGGTATATACTTACGGTCCTCTACCCATGATTGCGACTCGGTGTGATGGAGTTACAAAAGGTTGTCGATGTCGTGGTTGAGCAGCAAAAAGTTCAGATCAGATTCACGAAATGTCTGTGGGAGAATTTGACGCTAGTGCCCTAAGCGATTTGAGTGCGAAGAAAGCTCAAGTAGGGGTCAGTGCGTGAGAATTCACGTGATGTCCATCTTATCGTTATCGGCAGGTGGGATGGAAACTTTTTCTGGTTACCCCTCCGATTCGGCCCATAGCTCCTCCCAGTTGCTCTGACGCATAGAAACCTTGAGGATTCCAGGTTTACTCGGGCACTGAACACCAAGTTAACATTTAAAAGCTATTTAAAGAAGCTAAAGTGTGTATTTTCTTATATATACAAGCAATCTAAGCTATCTATCACACCCACTACTAAAATGGCCGACCCTGTCCTTACATCATCCTCAATTGAGGGGCTACCAAAAATCGCCGAGGGAAAGGTCAGAGATCTCTACGAAGTTGACGAGAAGACTCTTCTCTTTGTGGCTTCTGACCGCATCTCTGCTTATGATGTGATCATGAAGAATGTATAGTGCCCAGTCCTACAACATGCGATCCAATTACTGATTAGCTGTCCAGGGAGTCCCATCCAAGGGCGCACTCCTCACCCTCCTTTCCAGCCACTGGTTCTCTGTCCTCCCCACGTTGGTCCCAGGTCTCCGCACGCACTTCGTCACTCTAGATCTGCCACCTTCTGTCCCAGAGTCTCAGCGAGCTGCTCTCCGCAACCGCTCAATGCAAGTTCGCAAGTTTAAAATCTTCCCAATCGAGGCCATTGTCAGAGGATACATCACTGGTTCTGCATGGAAAGAATACCAGAAAACTTCAACCGTGCACGGCATCCCCATCCCAGCTGGCCTGAAAGAGGCTGAGCCGTTCCCACAAGGAGCTATTTACACCCCGTCCACCAAGGCCGAAGCTGGAGCGAACGACGAGAACATCCACCCTTCAGAAGCGGCTAAGATCGTAGGTGAGAAATACGCCGCGAGGATCGAAGAGCTTGCATTATCTCTATACAAGGCTGCCCGCGACTACGCGTATGAGAGGGGTATCATCATTGCGGACACCAAGTTTGAATTTGGATTGGATGAGGAGACGGATGAGGTTGTATTGGTCGATGAGGTCCTGACACCTGACTCTTCAAGGTTCTGGCCCAAGGACAAGTACGAGGTTGGACGCGATCAGGAGAGCTATGATAAGCAGTACCTCCGCAACTGGTTGACAGCGGAGGGGGTCAAGGGCAAACAAGGAGTAGCTATGCCCCAGGAGATTGTTGATAACACGAAAGTAAAGTACGTGGAAGCTTACGAGTTGTTGACGGGAAAGAAGTGGGGCAGTGCATAGTCATAGCATTTATGGAGGATAGTATATACGGAATGCGTTTTAAATGCTCATCTAATATTTTTTAAAACGCTATCAAATCGTGGTTTATGACTTTACTCAATGTAGCCCTTAAGGACAGCTGCCTCAGCGTTCAATATACTTGATCCAGCAGCACCAATGACTGTGTTGTGGCTCAGAGCAACGAACTTGATATCAAAGATCTCGCTCTCATCCTCACGCACTCGTCCAACACTGACGGTATATCCCTTCTGGGTATCCCTGTCCAGTCTCGGCTGTGGCCTGTCCGGCTCATCCATGACCAAAATAGCGTTCTGTGGTGCAGAAGGGCATCCCAACTGCTGTGCCTCACTCACGTAATCCCTCATAGCCTGCTTGACCTGCTCCGCCGATGGCGGTGGGCGACGCTCAAACTTCAATGAGACGCAGGCAGTGTGGCCATCCAACACGGCGACACGGTTGCAAGCCGCAGAAATCTTGAGTCCCTTCTGCTCAGCAAAGCCAGAAACCTCAGCATTGACGCCTCCCAAGATCTTCTGGGCCTCGTTCTCGAGCTTGTCCTCCTCGCCGGAGATGAAGGGCACGATGTTGTCGATCATGTCCATGCTGCTGACACCTGGGTATCCTGCGCCGGAAACGGCTTGCATGGTGACAACGCTGACCTGGGTGACTGGTCCGAAAGCCTTTTGTAGCGCGGCGAACGGGATGACTATGCCAATGACGGCGCAGTTGGAGTTGCAGACCAAGAATCCCTTTCCGAGGCCGAGTTGTTTCCTTTGTGCGGGGATAACGTCGAAATGTGGCAGGTTGACTGTTGGCACGACGAGTGGGACAATCGGGTCTTTGCGGTAGTTCTTTGCGTTCGAGAAGATGGGGATGTTCGCCTTCACAAACTCCATTTCTAAAGAATTATGTTAGTACAGTTCGCCACAGAGGCTCCAGGGCGTAAATACCAATCTCTCCAGCAAACTCGGCATCCAGACCGCTGAAAACGACATCGCAATCTGCGAATTCGCTCGCCTTGCAGTCCTTGACCACCAACTCAGCAATGTCGGCGCCCATGGGCGAGGCTTGCTTCCACTTCACGGCATCCTTGTATTTCTTGCCGGCAGATCGCGACGAAGCGCCCACGGCGTGGAGCTTGAAGTGAGGGTGCTGTGCGAGGAGGAGAATGAAGCGCTGGCCGACTGAACCAGTGCAGCCCAGAACACCTATTGATAATTGAGTCAGAAACAATTCCTCGTGGTGGGGGATGGCGGGGTAACATCACTCACCGCACTTCTTGGTAGGGAATGGAGCAGACATGTTCGGCGATTTGGGGTATTATATTTCGAGAGTGGTGTGTGTAAATTTATCGCCTTTCGTCTTTAATTCAGGAATTGTTATCCGATATGTAACTTCATACTTATAAGCTCCGAAAATGGAGGTGGAGTCATTGGCCACCGAGACTATTCCTTTTTACGTGGGGTAAAAGCAGGGGACGGCTTGGCAAAATGTCCTCTGCGGCGTTTGACTCGTCACGTACGTCACAACTGCGAAAGACGCCGCGGTTAGACATGAAAGGTTTGAAGGCAAAACAAAATAATTATTGTTTTGGCATAGGCGTCACTGAAGTGGATCACGAAGATGATAATAGAGGGGTCATAAATATTGTCTTGTAGTACCCATGCTACACTAAAACCAGACCATGCCGAGAACCACTTTATATTTGATTCAAGACTAACAGGCTTCACGTCTCTGCACGCGAAATAAGCAATTGGATAATTTACAGTGTAAGAATTCATATCACATCCCTGGGACGTTATGGTTCGACATCAGTGGCGGTACCGGTGGTGGAATTGCAGAACAGATACTGCTGATGTCTGTAACGCTTTGCTTCTGCTTCAAGTTGGAATTTGGTTCCGCCGGCCAACTATCATCCAGCAATAGTCGTGAGATGTCCATTTCGCCAATAGTACTAGAAAACGGGACAGTATTATCCTGCCAGTCAAATGATGGAGGGAATGAAAACGCATCAGCAGCATCGGTGACGGGAAGCGGGCCAAGAAACTCTGTGAACGAGCCCCTAAAGTTGAAAGAGGGCGGCTGCATAGCTTGCTTGGATATACCAATGTCGGGGTAGTACTGAACTGGACCAAACATGCGATCCTGAGAAAGGGATTCTTGGGTTGGCAATGATAAGCTACTGCTTAAAGGTTGTATTTCGAACAAAGCGGTGGCCGATGTAGAATTTCTTGGGTTTTCACCCTCTTCATCAACATTATTATTACTCTTGTCACGGAACAGATTTCGAAAACGGTCCCGAATATCAGTTGGTTTCCTACTCTCGAGCCCGAATTTTGGATCACGCTGTATCAACGTCCACGATGACTGCCCATATGTTTCGACCCCCTTCTTAATATTTTTGTCTTCTTCTTCAGTAAACAGTCGGCGTCCTCGACGAGTAGATTTTGGGAATGCTTTGACAACCCCCTGTTCCACAAGGTCGTCAAAGTATTTCCGGTGAGCACGAGGTTTTTTGGAGGGTTTAACTTGAGGACCGTTCATTTTCTCGTTGACGGCCGAATCATCGCTGGAATCCGAACTATCCTCTTCTCTTGTAGTAATAGAACTTGGGTCCGCATGGGACTTGGATGAGTCCGATGGTTTGCGGTTGACTTTGGAAATGGGCTTTATAATATTATCGTTTTGAAGTGCGCCAGGAAAGCATGTCCGGAAACGATCTTTGATGTGAACAGGAGTCCGACCATTAAAAGTCAACTCTTTATCTTCAAAAATGCTTTTCCAGTTTCCGATTCCATGCTTCTGCACACCTAATATCAGATTTCTCGTCTCTTCATCCGTCCATTTTTTCCGTGCTTGAACTCCCACCCTTTTGTTGCCAGAAGGTTTGTTTCCAGGGAGACCCTCTGGGAGTTTGGGTTGTTTTGCTTGGACATTGGTAGATATATCCTCTTTTGCTTCATTCGTAGATGTATTCAGCGTGTTTCGGCCATGGGAATCGTGGAAAGAGCTCGACGCTATGGGAGGAAACACTGCAGCTTGATTTGGCGGAGGTTCGTGCAGTCCAATGATAATTGGAGGGACAACACGCTTCACAGCCTTTTGCTTCCTCGGTGGTTGAGGGAGTTGAACAAAATCGACGCTTCGGTTTTCCAATCGTTGCCGCTTTCTGCTCGCAGATGGGTGTGTTATTTCGGAGTCGTCAGATAATATTTTCCGCAAAGACTGGGCAGAAGGCTCGCCCACACTGCTGTCTATGACAGATGAATTCACCGCAGCTTGGCTGCTAGACTTGGCATTGGTTTTATGGTGTGAGCCTGGAGAATCTCCATCATAACTTAATATTTTCGGTTGTGACCCTGTAGCTGGTTGCTTGTCGTTCCTTGACGCCGCTGGCTCTAGGATCGAAGGCCTACCAGAGGCCTTCAGGATATTAGGATCCTGTAATGGCGGCAAGTCGAACCGGGGGTATGGGCCTGGGGTATCGGAATGATCATCGTTGAGTAAAGCAATAAGTCGAGGCTGGATCGTAGCATACATGGCGGATGGCCTGCATGGCCATATGGCTACAGCAACCCTTTTTTATAATTATTAGCAACCGAGTAGTAATTAGAAGTGGTATTTTATATGCGCCTGTCAGGTTGTAACATGTGTGTGGCCCCTTTGGTCCCAAGAAACTGACGATGGTTATGCCGACGACGTGGAGGGACATGACCACGTGACCAGTGCTAGCCTCCCTGTAATACCGACTAACTCCGTAGATAAGATTGTTGATAAGGAATTGCGGAGTAAGACGACAGCCAGGTACTTTATAAGCATCCAAGTTCGGTACTCGCTGCTACGACATAAATGCAAGAATTAATCTTCGTCGATATGCAGAAGCTATGAACAAACAAGAGTTAATATTCACCGATCTACAGCAGCTATAAACAGACAATATTCGGAACTGAGTCCTCCAGCACTGACGTAGGCGGATATGGCGGATGTTAATGAAAACGGTACCTCTGCGGGCGACCATGACGACTCTGAGTATGAACCAACAACAGACGAGGAAACTGATGAGAGGTTGCATGACTTTTTTGAACAGCTAATGGATGAAGATGAAGATGAGGATGAGGACGAAGACGAGGGGTCGGGCTCGGAAGTTTACTATGGTTTGCCGCCACGAATTCCATATATCAGCAGCTGAAATCATTCTAACGTTTTGCCAGACGCCGAAGGCGGTGCCACGATTGAAGTATTGCCTGACAATGAGGGAGAGGGCGAGGAGGCACAAGAATATGATCTTGGAGATCTACAAGGAGGTAAATTGCCTAAGAATTCAAAGTAATTGTGCCTGTTTAACATTTTCCCAGCATCTCCGGCTCAGATATTCTATCTTTGGGCTAGACAACAACTTCTTTTACGCAGCACCCATGACGTTGATGATGGACAAGGAGCAACCTTTCCACTTCGCCGGCGCCGTCGAAGAGAGAAGCCCGACCCAAACAGGTTCCCTAAAGTTCCCAGTGAGAAGGGGACTGAGCTCATGAGCTCTGGCGACTTCGGCACGAATGAAATCCAGGCCGCGAGGACAACAGGACAAAGGAAGAAGCTCGCAAGTAGGATACTGAATAGAGAGCTGGGGATATGCGGCGGGGCTAGGCATAAAGCAAATCAGAACTTGATGGCTCAAGGCATGATTCCTTCCTCAAAAGTCGACACTATTATCAACTACGACGCGCCAGTTTATTCGGGTCAGTTCTCAGATGATGGCAATTTTTTCTTTGCGTGTGTGAAGGATTTTAAAGTGAGAATGTACGATACGTCGAATCCGGTAAGACTGTCCATCTCCTTCAGAATTTAGTCGCATCTAACACAATACCTCAGTACCAATGGAGATACTATAAGACTGTCAATTATCCATTCGGCAGATGGACGCTGACGGATGCATCTTTGAGTCCGGACAATAGATATCTAGCTTATACCTCTGTGTCCCCCAGAGTTTGCTTGGCGCCAACAGATCCCAATGACCTCGGCGACCCCTACGACCTAGATCTGTCTAACAATGGCACACGTGGGATAGGATCCAATGGCTTCAGGCAACGGCACGACGGATTTGGTATTTTTAGCATACGCTTCTCCGGCGATGGTAGAGAGTTGGTGGCTGGCACATCTTCCGAATCCATTTTAGTTCATGATATCGAGTCCCGGCAGACCATCCTGGAGATCAACGGCCATGAAGACGAAGTCAACGCGGTATGCTTTGCCGATAAAAGCTCATCAAATATAATATTTTCAGGTAGCGATGACAATCTAGTCAAGATTTGGGACCGCCGAAGTATGGGTGATAGCCGCGAAGCTGGCGCCTTTGTAGGCCATACTGAAGGTGTCACATATATCGACTCCAACGGCGATGGGCGCTATTGCTTGTCAAACGGCAAAGATCAGACCATGAAACTTTGGGATCTAAGGCAAATGACAGCCAGCAGCCAGCTTTCGCAGGCCAGCATTCCACGTGGACACTTTGATTATAGATGGGGGAGCTACGACTTAGATGACTGGCGTCCACATCCGAATGACAATTCGGTGGTGACTTTCCGCGGCCACGACGTGCTCTCTACCTTAATCAGGTGTCATTTCAGCCCTCCTAACTCGTCAAACCGTCGATATGTCTACTCCGGCTCTTCTACCGGGAAGGTCTTCATTTGGAACATGGACGCAACGATAGCAGGTGAAATCGACGTGCAGAAAGCTACACAGGATACGAGGCCGTTCTCCCCGGAGACGGCAAACAATATGTATTATGATGATGATGATGGGGAGTCGGCACCACAATGGAGGACATGTGTGAGAGATGCAAGCTGGAGCCCCAACGCACCAGTAATAGCAGGTACTGTAATTCTGATTATTTGAGAGAATCCCAACTAACAATTGCTTCCACAGCTTCCGCATGGAATGGCCATGGCATGTGGGCAGGTACCGTCACTACCCATTCATGGAACGACGAGGCAGAAGACGACGAGGCGGAACCTGGAGGAGAAAGGGTAAATGAGAAATTGGAAGTCGATCCGTCATATTACAGCTCTAACAGTCGTACTCCACGTCGGCGCAGAGGGAGGATGGGTTGGTAAATAGTAATTGAAATGACTTAGTCTGCGGGACTCTACACCATGAAATATCCAGGCATGACCATTTCCAATGGCCTATGCGCATCTGCTTGGAGCGGTGTATTGGCATTGGTATTATCTCGGTGTTGTTGGACGGTTTGGGCGCATATGGATATTCAAGACTCGAATCATAAAAGCAAGATTGGTAGCAGAACTGCTTGTTGTCTTCATTTCCCGAACTCAATACGCCGAGCTTTAACAAAGTGTTGCGCCCATGAGCCTGTATATGTCCGCGCCTATGATACAAAGAATCCGTTTCGAAGCTCCTTCGAGGGGCCTTATAATGCTGTTCCCTTCACCACCCAATTACACTCCTTTCACCCAGTTAAATATTTAAGCACCGCCAACAAGAATGTTGTTCACAGGAATATGAACTGTAACAATCAACTTGTTAGCAAATCTCCAAACTCATGAGCAAAGGGGTTACGGACTCAGCTTAATAACGTAACCAAGAGCACCCATCACAATGAAACCAATGCCAACAGCTCTCGAGATCTGAGTGAACTCGCGGCGGTCCGCTATATTATACAATTAGCTTAAATCTCCATGCAGGCGGCGATATAGCGTACGCTTTGTGCAGCGGTTGATGAACATGGTGCCATCCTTCACGAAGTCCTTTGGAATATCCAAGATCTCTTGGAATTGGTCAGACATGGTTGGTGATATGTGTTGTAATAATTGCTGGATGGGGGAGATTGTGCTTAAGGAGGCACAGAATCTGTCGATTCCCAAGTGTAAGTTATCGAACTGGGGCTTGGTGAATATTGTCTGGGGAATTGGAAAGCGCCCGGTTGGAGCGAAATGAGGTTGGGGTTGGGGAAGTCGTGTCCTTAAAGTTGATGTCACGTGGAAGAATGGGAGCTGGATAAACGTTTGGCCGTGTGCAGCTGTCACATCAGGAGGTTCGCGTCGCCCTCAAGTCTCCAACATCATCTAGTTACGCGGCGACAAGGGCGACAAGGTATCATCGACTCAACATCCTCTTCATTTCTCACAACTCTATTTCATTTGGAGTTTACTTTTGTAAGGTATTAATTAACGGCCGGCATCAGTACTGTGCCGGGGAAGTGTCTAATACGAGCAGTTATTACGCACGCGGCTTCACTATTTGGTAGTGAGATAAGAGTTTGGAGGTTTGCTCTACAGCTTGAGCTGGATTGAAGGATCTGTACTTCTGAAGGAGGTTTCAATACTTGACATACAGTCTTCAAAGACATCAGTTTGCCTGTACCTGACACGGATGTCAACGGAAGATTGCAAGCACAGAGCTTCGTCTTAACATACTCTCCTCTGTCTCCGCCGTTTGAACTATCAAACTTTGATTTGTACTACAGTTGAATAATATTCAGGGATTGTACGTATCTTTATGTTCTTATAATGAATATCAATTCCAAGGACGTCGGTTGGTTGGGAACATGCGACACTTTGGTCAATTATCCTTCTATTGCTGACCTCACTTTTGTACAATATAGAACATCCTTTTTTCTGTTTCTCAAATATACATTTCTGGAAATCTCCTCACTGCCTTCCACTTTGGCATGTGCTTCAATCCTCTATAGTCAATTGATTCAAAGACGGCAATCAAGGAGACCACGAAAACCACAGTACCTACAATGGCGGACGACGATTTTGATATCGACATTTATGGCGATACCAACAACGAGCAAGAAACCCCAACTACGCCGGCCGCAAAGGATGAAGAGGGAGATATAAAGATCGATGGTGCCAACAATGATGACACCGACGCAGCTAATAAACCGACTGAAGTGGAGGAAGAAGAGCAAGACACAGATTACGTAGACATTAAAGTTGATTCTGCGCACGATAGCCATCCCCAAGAACAACGTCAACAAATCAAAAGTACCGATGAGTCCGGCAAAGATGCTCTCAACATCCCAAAACAAGCTCCGCAACAGCAGGGCGTGAAGCGCAAAGAAGGCTCTGATGAGAGGCCAATCGATCCTGGAGCAACAACGGCCCTTCTGATTTCCGACTTGCACTGGTGGAATACTGATGACGATGTTCGGGGATGGATTAATCAAGCTCAATGCGAAGATGAGCTGAAGGAGATAACATTCAGTGAACACAAAGTGAACGGAAAGAGCAAGGGGTAAGGGCGTCTCTGGGAATATTCCATTTTCTGCTGCTAACCATTGCACAGACAAGCCTATGTTGAGTTCTCCTCTCAGCAAGCTGCCACAGCAGCAAAGCACAAGATAGATACATTCGGGGAAGGCCAGCAATATGTCAAGAAACATGTCGTAACCTACTCGAATCCGAATGTCAACCCATTCAAGACTCTGCCAAAGGATGCACCCATGCGAGCCGGAAAAGATGGCCCGACTAATCGACCAGTCGCTGGCAACTATGATAGAACTCAGCAGAGCTCAGGAAACAACTACGGTGGCAACTTCCGCGGTCGTGGTGGATACAATCGTGGAAACATGAATAACAACATGGGAGGCGGGTTCAACCGCAACTTCCAGAATCCCAGCATGGGTGGCATGGGTGGAAACTTCCAGGCGCCAATGGGTGGCTTCAACGCGGGTGCCATGGGGGGAGGCCAGTTTTCGGGCGGATTCAATCGAGGGGGTATGATGAACAATATGCGAGGTGGGCCCGGAGTCATGAGAGGCGGTCGTGGGGGCATGAATAGCGGGATGATGGGAGGCATGCCTATGGGAGGGATGCAGATGGGCGGTATGCCGGGTGGAATGCAGATGGGTGGCCCCATGAACATGGGAATGGGCGCAGGGATGCCAGGTAAGTCGCCAATTATACTTCGTACAAACCCATCAACAGAGTCTAATTCAGTTGAGCAGGTGCTGGTTTCCCAGGTATGCAGCCGCATTTCAATCCAGCCTTCTTCCCACAGAACCAAGCAACCGGAGGAGACTGGCAAAATCCTCATGGAGCAAAACGACCTCGCCCAGAGTAATTGTGGTTGGTCCCACTCCCAGGGAAATGCTGCTGTATTAGAGGCGGCCCAGGGTGTGCCGTCTCAAGGTTACGTTTGAAAGGCTGAAAGGAGTTATTTGGAGTTGGGGTATTGGGGGTGAGTGTTCCTCAGGTATAGAGCGGCATAGCTGTGCCCGGTTTTTCAATCTCAAATCTGTACCAATATTCAGCATACCTGCCGAGTCGATCCGAAGTGCTCCAAATACTGAAGGCGGATCAACTCTTTACGCAACACATTATAATTTTTGCCTGTATCATGTCTTATATTGTACTTCGGCGAATAGGGGTTTCGAGGGGTTTCGAGGTACTAAACTCCAGGTTTTGATCCGACCAGGTTTTGATCCGACCTGTCTTTGATATTACGCACGGCAGCAAATGGTGTTTTGTAGGCCACTGGTCATTTCTCTTTTTTTTTCATGTCTGGCAAGTGCGAACTTGGAGTTGCTTGTTGATTGCACTTACCCGTTTTCTCACATATGAATCACGCTTTGGTTGTTGCCGACTTTGCAAGCTAAATTCGCGCCATTGTCTTCCACAATTTCAGTGCACACTTCTCGATGAACGCATTGGAAGTATTGCGTGAAAAGGCATATGTTCAAACAGACTTTCTAGCATTAACCTGGCGCTGGGCAGACCCACGAGCATTATGAATATCAGAACTACAGCTTTCAAGATGGCGAAAGGCGGCAGCGAACTCACTCCCAGGCAGGCGGCGGACTTTGGCAATCCAGGATATTCCCAGCCGGAAAACTGCGAATGCTATCGAAGGTATCGCTTCGATGAAGACAAAGCGCCATTCCTTGGGTTTCTTGCTGTTGCATTGACTATTGTGGTAATCGCGGCATTACTGGCAGGCCTCACATTGGCAATTTCCAGCTTGGATATGACATGGCTCCAAATTATGAGCACAACTGGCCCAAAAAGGCAAAGGTGAGTTTCCTTCTGAGGTTGAGTCTCTGTCATAGCTCACCAGCTCCACAGACGTCAAGCAGAGATTGTTTCTCGGATTAAAAGGCACGCCAGCTGGTTTCTCTGTGAGTTTTGTACTTTAAGTAGCCATTTGAGAGGTTTGCAGAGCTAATATATTTCTAGGCTCCATGGTTTTGACTTCAGTCGTCTGCATGGAGACACTCCCTATTATAGTCCAGTCTCTTTTTGGAACAGGTTGGATACCGGTGGTGGTATCGACAATAGCCATTGCGATTTGTTCGGAGTTACTCCCCCAATACCTTATACCCAGACAGGCCTTACTCTGGAGCTACTATTGCTGGCCATTCATATGGACCTGCATGTGGTTGACGGCGATCATCAGCTGGCCACTCTCATTTTTCCTCGACAGACTTACTTTACCAAAAGAGAGGGAAGCTATGTATACAAGGGAGCAGCTGGCGATGCTTATCAAATTACATGAACGGCAAGAGAAACATGGCGGCCACCTTGGTCCTGATGCCGGACGGGCTGCAAGAGGCGCTTTAGATCTCGATGGTCGAACTCTTGAGAGGTCACCTTTGGGCTCATTCTACGACAGCAAAAGTATAACTGACATTGCAGGTGACCCAGAGAAAGCAGATTATACCACCTCCGACATTATCGTTCCTTGGTCTGCAGTCAAATTCATTGGAATCGATGATCTAGTTAATGAACAGTTCATAGTGAAAATCAAACAGTTCTCATATAGTCGAATTCCTGTCATTGGAAACGAGGACTTGGTTACTGTCGCGCCAACTGAACACGGGGGTGCTTCGAACGACCAAAGAATATTTGGTTTCCTTCACATCAAGGTTGGTAAAAACCCCCTCATGTTAGAATTTTTCTGAGATCCAGTAGACGCTCCTTGGGCTGGATTTGCAGAACAGTGGGAAAGAGATTCGAGTTAGAGACCTACCTCTATATCCTCTGCCCATTGTACGAGATGACCTCCCATTATACGACTTGCTAAATATGTTTCAGTTGGGAATATCAAGGTATGTAGTAACGTTCTATAATTTCCAGTTGAACCAGAAATTGTCCATGAAGCCAAATTAACAAATCTCAGAATGGCTGTAGTGATCCTAGCCCCAGCAAGAGATTGGACAGACAATCAAGCTACGCTATCTCCGAATATAAAAGATAATACTCGAGCTGCTGTTCCTCTATGGTCTTCGGCCACTGGTGTAAATGTTCGGGGGTCCCTAGACTTGAGAAAGCTCGGTGGCCGCGTGGATTGGATAGCAGACTTTCTGGACACCACACAGAATGATGCCGGTGACGCCAACCCATCACCCATAGTAACAGGCATCAGGTGCCCAGCGCCACTAGGGATCATCACATTTGAGGATATTCTCGACGCGCTTTTGCAGAAAACTAGTCGAGATGAAAAGGATTTTTTCGAACGGAGAACATTTGATCCGCCCACCAAGTCAAGAAAGGAAGGAGATGACAATACTGTGAGAAGTTCGCGGAGCATTTTCAGATCAAGGAGGGATATTCCTACACATGCAAGCGGGGCGCATGTAGCATTTGGCGGAAATAGTCAAGGTCAAGGAGCACTACGCAGACGAATCCCGTCTAAAACTACCAGTGCAATGGATTGTACGCCCGGTGTCGCTGCGTTTGGTATGGATGGAAATGATGAACGAAGCGTCTCCGTCCATGGAGCACTTACCGCTGACCACAGTTCTTATACGGAAAATAGCGAAGGGGGCTTCCATGGCCCATCTTCGTCTGCGGATACAGAGCTTAGCACTCTTGCTCAACGCAATATCTCCGTGAACCACAAGCTCAGGTGTCTCAAAGGACGTTCTGTTAACTCAACGAGAACTGTTAGTGCTCCTGAAAACCCCACGGAACCAGCCTTCCAGTTAGGGTTGGATATTCTCCCAAGGCATTCTAGCTCTGGCTTTTCTCGCTTTGTTGGCGAAGCGTACGATGCAACGTCATATGAGAGAGAGGTCCCAGGTCTAGACGAACTGCCTGCGAATCTCGAAGATACTTCAGATGTCGATGAGGTTTTGCCGCAGGAATTGGTTGGTGGAAGCGCTTTATCCTCATACTATTCCTCCCACTCTGGTGTCGTTGCTAGACCTCAAACATCCGAGCCGGCGAGCCACATCGCAAACGAGAATGTTCGTGCGGGGTCGGGGATGAACACCCTACCACGTATGAATTTTGGGCCTCGGTTGGCTATAGGGACTATTATAAGTCAAGAAATTCATCCGAGAGAGAAGAGCTTCCATGATGACCGTTCTTTGCTGCCGAGTCAATGGAGAGATATTGAGAGTGGAGAGTCAAAAGAGAATACAGCGCGGCGCACAAGCTTTTGGATTTGAGTTTCACAGTTTGAACTTTCAGAAAGGTCGGGTTTGTAACATAATTGTGGGATCTATATATCCCCACAGCACTCAAGTGCGCCTTGATGGTAATCGGCCTCGACAGCTTATGGTACCTCTATTACTTGGTGCTTTTTGTTCTAGAGATTTGAGGGAAGGAGCCATTGTTTATTATTGTTAGCCGTTCTTCTATCATTAGCTTCATGAAGTCGTTGGAAAAGCTTGACCATGAAGATTGTCGGTGCCGCTCTGTCCATTGCTACCCTACAAAACACTGCGCTCAATAGCACCATGTAGAAATAACAGAATCTGGTTCCAGCGCCGCACAAGTGTTTCTACTTGGCTCCTATCTTTCACTTCCAGTGATAGTAACTGCCCAATGACGTTCTGCGCTTTTGCCACGTACAGTTTCAATACCTTGATCAATAATTCGTCGGCCATAGCTTGATCATGTTGTCCGTCCACCCCGCTATCGACAAATCGCTCCCATCGTCTCGCCGGCATGCATAGTGCTCTTAGGGCAACCTCCGTTCGATAGCAGACGCTCTCCTTGTCCAAAACGTAGTTTCCAAGATAACCAGCGTCTCTAACTAGTTGAAGTTGTACAGCATCCATTTTGGGAATAATAACACTGTCGAGGAGAATATGGTCGAAATCATTCTCATCCATGACGAAGCCGTATTCGGCCAGTAAGAAATCGTTGCTGTGCTTGCCATAAGAGATATAAATCTCTTCCCCCTTTTCATACACCTTGTTGCTGGTAATCTCAAATCCCTCTGGCCCGAACTCAACAGTACATCCCTCGGATGAATGGTTGAAATAGTCGGCAAAGGGGTTTAACGCCATGCAATCCTTTGGGTCCTTCTTCTTCTTGGTCCCGGGGGGGACATGGTAGAATGTGCGTGTATTTACAATCAGCCAGTTGTACAGGTAATGGTCTCTACTAAGGGCTGGAAAGGCACCAGAGACGGTGGCCCAATCAAGCTCAAATTTCTTGATTTGGTCAGAGAGGAGAGCCAAAGCGGCCTGCGGAAGGAAATCCTGCAATATAGGAGGCCATTGAATGGGCATAGACTTTTGGAAGTCCTCTTGTGAAGGAAGGACATCTCGCCAACGTGACCTGGCTTTGTCCGTATCGAGGGACAGGTCCGCAGCCAGAAGGCCGTGAGCTGTAATTTTACCAAGCGAGACAGAAATAGCTTTGGGAACTGTAAGAGTTGTCCGAAGTGCACTTGTTGGGACGGTCAATATGATCTTGCCAGCCTATTTCTAGTTAGTATTGGACTGTGATATCAGATGTGTCATGCCAATTCTTGCCAAGGCGTCTTGGATGGACTATATGAGAGCTTCACGAACCTCTTGTCTTTCTTTGGCCACAATCCCAAGGCCCCGGCCTGGAAATTGATGCGCTGCTATTCCATAGAGCTTAACGCCTTGTAATTCAGCCCATCTTGTGAACTCTTCATGCTTATCCATCACCAGCAGACTCGCTGAGTGCCGAAGTAACCCTTCCAATGCTTCCCGGACTTAAAAGAAGGCCGCCATGTTTAAGTCAATGAAGTGGTATAACTCATATACTTTAATAATGCGAGACTCATTTACTTTTCTTCTGAGCAAAATACAAGTAACCGTTGGGGTGAAGTTATGAATTTGGACGCAAAATAAAGTATATGCGGGAGGGCCCGCTCACCAGCCACAGCTCCACACCTATGTGAATCTCGATCCACCGAACATGCTCGATAACAACTCCAAGATCAGTCAGTAACCCGCACGACTACGGGTCTTTGCACCGATAGCTCAACACAATGGCCCTTTTATTACGGCGGCCCATCGTCAGTAAGCTGCCACATGAGCTCTTTACGGCCTGTGCAATTTCCGCGTCTCCCAGGCCATTTTCTGTGCTCAATAGACCCCCACCGAACTATGAAGGCCATGTGCCATTAACGAGACTCGAGCAGGCTGGTCTTGCTGTCGGGTCAGCCATTACATCTTTAATTGACCCATATCGACACGGTGAGCCCAATATCTATGCTGGTGAGGGGAGCAATGGCTGAAGGACGTCACAGACATGGTTGCCGCTTTGGGCGAAGCAACCGCAACACCATACTTTATCTACCGTCTTCGCGACGCTATGCTCGCCGATTCCACAGGTCGCCGCATACTCCGAGATAGGCCGCGCATAACCTCGAAAACGATGAGCCTAGAGCACCTGCGAACACTTCCTGAAAACACAGTTGGGCGCGCATACGCCGATTGGTTGGACCGTGAGGGCGTGACACCGGATACCAGGGATCAAGTACAATATATCGATGATGAAGAGTGTGCATATGTCATGCAAAGATACCGAGAGTGCCACGATTTTTTCCATGCAGTTACCGGACTGCCGGTATTTGTGGAGGGAGAGATTGCGCTGAAGGGATTCGAGTTTGCGAATACACTGCTGCCAATGACGGGGTTGAGCTTATTCGCCGTGACGAAGATGAAGCCTGCGGCTAGAAAGAGGTTTTGGGACATATATTTACCGTGGGCACTTTATAATGGGTTAAATTCGAAGGACTGTATTAACGTTTACTGGGAAGAGGAGCTGAATACGGACGTGGCTGCACTGAGGAAACGGCTGGGCATTGAGCAGCCTCCGGACTTGAGGAGCATCAGGAAGCAACAAAAAGAGAAGAAAAAAGCCGAAAAAGAGGGCAGGGAAGGAGAAAAACGAGTATAAATATGTATAATATTGTAGATCAACGCCAAGTCCCAAGACCATGAAAACACACAATCGTTATTTCAGTGTAGCAATATGGCCATAAGCCATGCCTTTTCCCAGTAGAGTACCCCATTTGGGCTACATATTGAACAAGTCGTCATCATCGTCATCCCATCCGCCCTTTCGCCTGCTAATCACAATCTTCTCCTCTTCCTTCGTCTCAGCCACGGCGTTGAGCAGGTCTTTCAACTGCTCCTCGGTGACCTTCTGCCTCAACTGTCCCGACCTTGCCAGTGTAATCAGCCTGTTTTCCACATCATCTGCTCGGGACGCCTTGACGAGACGAATTCTTCCGAGGCGCTCTGCCGCGGCTGGCTCGAGGATTTGGTTCAGGATCGACTGTCTCGCATCAGCTATGGCAGGTTAGCTGCTCTGTGTCGATTGATTTGGGTCGGTATACGTACATTCTTGTTGCCTGTATATTTGTCAGTTTAATATGTCCCATAATATGTAACAGGTGGCATGCGCTCACTGTCTCTGGTCATCTTGACCGCCGCCGCCTGCGCTGCTTGCCCCTCCCCCTCCCCCACCTTGGGATTTGAGCTGCGCCAGGCGTGCCTTTCTAATCTGTACAAGCGCTGTTTAGCCGGGGCTGCGATAGTAGATTGGGTATATGCCTTACTTCTTCGAGATCAGCGTCCGCCATCTTGGTTGACTGTTTGTGGTGTTTTGCGCTAGAGGTAGCTCTTTCAAGATCGTGGTTGACACTAAAGTGTTCGGGTGCGGGGACGAAGCCTTATCGGACCAAGCCCGTGGAATTTCAAGTCTAGGTTTAAGGCTTCAAATTACTATTTCTCAAAAAAGTCAAAGCGATACACAACAGACATCGTATTATATTTACAAAATTCTCTCTATTGAATATCGTACCCAAGCCTCGTTCATCAATAGATGCAGGCTCACCAACGCCGCTTGTAAACACGCCACTATCGTACACCTAGCTCGTAAATACATATATACTATACACCACCGTTCTTTCTGGCGAGATTATGTTCTTGTAGGGATCAGAATCTTCTGTCCTTCTTGTAGGGGATGTAACTGTTTGCCTCCTGACTTCTCATGGCCGTCTTTGCCTTTACCATTCGTTCCATCAACGTGTTGTTAGGACAATCAATCCCAAGCTCTGCCGCTCTTTTGAGAATATACCCTGTGAAGTATCCTACTTCACTCTTCTTCCCCAATCTTACGCTCCGAACCATGTCATGGATCTCGGAACTGGTCATAGTAGCAACCTGGACAAAGGTTCTCTCGATCTTCCTAGGATGCAATCGGTAACTTAGTCCAGTCTCGCCTTTCAGTTCGGGTAATTCTGAGGCAACCGTTGAGATCTCATTTAGCACCTCTCGTAAAAGAAGGGTGACCATGTAATTGCTTAGCAAGTCGCCGTTCTTGCAATCGAACATGACTGCCAAGGGCCCGATCACAGCTTCCACAGCCAGCCGCTCCAATTTGAGTACCAATAGCTCAGCAGGCGATACTCCCTTTGCATTCAGCGCGGGGGATCGAGCGAGTGACCGTAGAAGGCTCCTTGTGGAATCAATCATGTCCACAGCGTCGGATGACGTCTCATCACCTTTCTGGGCAGCTAGAAATATTTCTCCTTCGCCAGAATGCAATGTTGTGAACGTCCTGGCTGGGTGGTTTCGGAGGCTATGCGAGGTCATCCCCTCAATATAGCGTGGCCTCGTGGCTGGGTTTGGAAACACGTTTTCATTGACCTCGTCAATCACACCCATACCATTCTGCAAAAACAATATCGTAGAGGTGGAGTGGAGTCGGTCCTTTATAGGCAGAAGGGAACGGACTGTGACTGGTGCTTCGGTGGTGACTATGAGTTGGTCGATGTTCCAGCCGTCCTGTCCAAAAAGCACGTTCTTGGTACTTAGCATCCGGCCTTGAGTATATTCCGCTTGGGTCAGATTCGGGTTTTCGATATCAAATCCAATTTGTACCATGGATTTCTTGGCCTCGAGCAGCTCCAAAATCTGCCCTTCTGAGTGCCATTGATTGACAAGGGATGGCCGTTGTAGCAATAGCGAAATGGGCGGCCGGCCTCCGAGACTGGCCAGTGAATGGGCTACAAACTTCCCTTCTTTTCCAGTGCCCAAAATATGTATCCTACTCGGTTTGGAATGTGTGTGTGTAGAAACCTCCTCTTTTTCCCCTGGGTCCATCTCCTCTCCCTCTTCCTCCCTGATTTCGCGGTGTTGAGGATCCGACGCATTTATTGATGCTTCTGACTCTAACGTTCGTGGCGTTGGTATACTGTTTCTCGGCGTAGAAATATTTCGAGAAGATGTGCGCGGTATCCTCTGCTCGTAGCCGCGGCCAGCTTCTTCTCTGCCTCCTTCTTCTCCCGAGGGTTCGACATGTGCAAATTCGGAATTCCAATGCACCCTCTGCGACGAGTACCTCCTTCCATACTGGATGGAGATCAAGCGCCTGGCCCCCCGGCCCTCTAAAATGTTACCGCAGCTCCATAAAGGGTGTCTGTGAGGTATGCTGGCAAACACCCGCGACAGCGGTCGACCGCACGTTGAAATAGACAGGATGACAGCTTCTCGAAAAAGTTTAGAATACTCTCATATCAAACACATATTCCCGCCAAAGGAACGTCGGCAGTGGGTTTGCGGCTCAGCCGCTTTGGGTGTTTGAAGGGCGGAGGTTAAGCAGATATAGTATTCGCCAAGCTTCGAGGTAAAATGATGTTATTGCGAGGTTTCCCGGCACACAGGTCGTAGCGAAGTATTACCAGAAAGGTAATGACAGGGCGTAGCTCTTTAAGTCATGCGATTTTATGCCGCTAATATATGCTCGACAGATAGGAGGTCGTAGATTGGGCTGAATGAGAGCGGAATGCGTCAATAGTTGACCTCGGGGGATCAGAGAAACAAATTCTAGGATACAATTCGTTAATCCCTGTAGCATGCTGTTCCGGAGCGCGGGTACAAATTTAATCCGTTCCGAAGTCCCCGACCAACCAATCTGAACGAAGGTGTTTCCCATTTTTGATTTCTTTGCGATAACGACTTTATCGCGGCAAGGCACTTCAACTTCAGGGTGCTGAAAAGAGCAATTCGAAATGGATCCCACGGCCACAGACATACTGTCGCTGCTTGAGCAGCTCGATGATGAGATAGATGATTTGGAAGACTCGCTCGCGCCTGTACTGGAGACTGGCATATCCGATACAGCATCCAAGCTGCCACTATTAGACAAAGCAAAGCTATACGTACTCGTCACATACGCAGTAGAGTCAATATTATTTTGTAAGTTCCTTTCCCCTTTTACACTGATATATACTAACTGTTCTTTCTCAGCGTATCTCCGATTGAACGGTGTTAAGGCGCGAGAGCACCCAGTTTTCCTGGAGTTAACCCGTGTCAAGCAATATTTCGACAAACTAAAGGAAGCCGAAAACCCAACACCAAAACAACCAGGATTAGCACTGGATAAAAATGCTGCTGGTAGATTTATCAGAGCTGGACTGGTGAGTAGTCAATGCATGCCACAACTCGTCAATGTGCTAACGGATCCCAAGAGTGGAAACAGCAAGCTAGACCTAGAGCGAGCGGAGAAGTTGGCCAGAGAAAGAGTTCATATCAAGTTCAATAGCGAGAAAAAGAGCGAAGCTCCAGCTGCAATGAAGGCTGCAGTACCCAGCGGACCGTCATCCCCATCCAGCGATGATTCGGAGTCCGATTCGCCTAAGGAATCTGTAAAAGAAAAATCCAAGCCATCAAAGAAGCGAAAGGCTGCTGCTTTGGAGACTGAAGTAGCATCTGGGGATAAGGGAGCAACTTCTTCGTCACAACAGGACAGCTCAAAGTCTGGCAAGAAAAGGAAGGACAAGAAGAATAAGTCACAGAAGAAATCCAAGGGGGGGAAGAAGGACTGAAGCTCATGAAGGGAGATGCAGACCAAGTTCTGCCCAGTTGAATACAGTTCAATTTGTAAAGATTGATTCCAGGAGCAAAAAGGTTAACAGCATGGCGATGGCGTTCGTTGGGGCATGGTGGTTTACGGATGGGACAAATGGCATTCACGAATACTTCTCAGCGTGAGAAATAGCTTGCGGTGGAAGATACCCATAGAATAATGAATTAAAATATCAAACATCTTATACATTACTACCGGTGTTTTATCATTATCAAAACGTATCGCCTCGGTTGAATAAATTCGACTCAGTCCGGTATATATATATTCCGGCCGGCCCAGGTTCGTTGCTGTTCCTGAGCCTTCCGTTGCCGAATAGCTTCCCCAAGATAAAAATTATATACATCTATCTGTTCACTACACACTCTACGCACGTCTCACCTCTCACTTCACACACATCAACATAATCGCATAACCTCCAACAAAATGGCTCGTCAAGGAAGATCCGGTGGCGGAAGCCGTCCCTCAAGGCCTACCGTTGCCCCTGCCCGCCCATCCGTGGCACCAAAGCAACAAACCCGCCCAGCAACCACTGCTGCATACCCAGGAAACCGCGCCGCCGCTCCTCCAGCAGCTGCTGCTCCAGGTGCTGCCCCTGCGGCCGCTGCCCCAGCTGGCCCAGGCCTGTTCGCCAACATGGCTAGCACTGCTGCGTAAGTTGCCCCCCGAACTGCAGATTCGCCCGCGAAATACCGAGGTGGCGATGTGGTGAACTTGTGCTAACTATTCCTTACAGTGGTGTCGCAGTTGGTTCCTCTATCGGCCACGCCATCGGTGGTTTCTTCGGTGGCGGCTCCTCTGCTGCCCCAGCAGAGGCCGAGCAGTCCCAGATGACCCAGTCTCAGGGTTCGGCTGAGCAGAGCAACTGGGGAGCAAGAAGCTGCGAGGTCGACGCGAAGCAGTTCACAAAGTGCTTGGATGAGAACCAGGGCAACATGCAAACTTGCTCGTGGTACTTGGAGCAGCTGGTACGTTTCCCCCCATTCCCTTGCTTTACAATGAGTAGAAGAGATGCTAATATGTCTTGTTATTATAGAAGGCCTGCCAATCTGCTGCCAGCGGTTACTAGAATTTCAATCGAGGGTTAGAAGGGGGGTTGAGTTGTACGAAGTAGATTGTTTTTCTGTATATAATGCGTGCTATCAAGACATACCCGCTATAGGCCATGAACGGTAATATTCCGGATGGGAGTCTTGATTCCAACTCCTGGAACTCCACTCTATCAATGATAACCTGTTGCAACTATCTAATCTTCCTTGTCCTGGTTATCCCGCCTGGGTTCGAAATTGAGCTATGATATGTTAGTGAGACACAATAAATTGTAGAATGTGACGACTTACGCCACCGCCGTTGTACAGCTCATGTCGTTCACTTTGCCTTGGTTCTTGCCCGGGAGGCGCTGCTGTTGCAGGAGGCTGTCCTTGGGCAGAGTCTCCCAACACACTTCCTAATACTCGAGACGCAAATCCGAATCCAGAACTGAGCCCAGAACTGACTAAACCGTAGCCCGCAGAGACGCCACTCGAAAGAAGGCCCGTTACCCCAGGCCCTTGCGCATAGGCTGGTGTGAAATCCTTGATCGGGACCAGTATCAATGTTGCATTAGGGACAAGACCAAGATCCTGCAACGAGTTCCCCTCCTCTGAAATAGATATTTCTTTGTTGGGGAATGGCGTCAATATATGCTTGAATATGTATGGCGATTCGGCAACTTGCTGCTCTTGATCAACCCATTCGCGAACCTCTCCCTCCAATGTGGCCCCGGACGGGAATCGGGAGCTTATTGCTGATCCGTCAAATAGGCGTACTTTCAACGCACAATGATCACCCCTCTTCATTGACCCCATTTCTGAACTCGGTGCAGTAAAGGGGTTGGGATTCTCGGTGCCAGCCGCGATCTTTGCCTGTTCTTTCCGTGTAGCGTCTCTCGCCTTTCGCTCTGCCTTATCATCTTCGATTTGCTTCAAGACCCTCTCTCGCTCCTCTCGGGCTTCCTGCTGACGCTTTTTCTGCTGCGCTGCGTACTTCAAATCGGCGGCTCTCTTCGGATCTTCCGGCTTGCCAGATTCTACCGCAGCCTTTCTTTCGGCCGCCTTCCGGGTACGTTCAGCCTTCTCTTGCGCGTCTTTCTTCTTCTTATCGGCCTCCATGCGAACCTTTCGCTCTTGTAGGAGGGCAGCCACGCTGGCTGCCTGGTTTTGGTTGTTATCAGATGCCTCCCCCATATTTGCACCAGTGGCCGGGATGCCGGAAAGTGGCGAAAAGGAGCTCTCCTCTCCCTTTAGGACAGGAGTTAGCCGGTTAATAAAGTCTTCTTTTGATATTCCAGACGTGAGATATTCCTTCATGGCCCCATTACTGCGGTAGATGATTAGCTTGCGGGTTTTGAGTAACTTATACTCTGGATGGAGCATGTGACTTAATTTACGTCACTTCGGCTTGGGGGGTAATGGAAAAGAAAGACGCACTGAATGACTACTAAAGTTGGAAGCTTCACGATAGGGCATATTTGTTCGAGAAAGGACGCCTCTTCTGAGGGAGACAACAGGCGGAGGAGGATCGCCTTTGATGAGATGAGGTCCGCTATCTGTGCATTTGGTCAGTTATCAATATCCTTGGTGATGTCTAGCTTTTGTACTAACTTCTGGGTCCTTCAAGAAATCGTTCTCCCAAGTTGTGGTCTCTTCCTCGTCATCTGATAGATGGTATATCAGCATGGCCCAACACATTATAACAGTTGCCACCTACCTTGGCTTCGCACATAGCAAGCTACAAGCTTAGATTGCTCAATAGCAGTATTGATACCGCTCCTCAGATCACCCTCGTAAAACATCGTGAATTTCAATCAATGTTGAGATTTGATATTTGGGAGGTCTTCACAAATGAAATTAGTGGACAGGTGGTATGCTGACTGAGCAGTTGGGAAGCTCGTTGCATGTATCAGGCCTATTGTTCCAAGATTGAGCAGTTGTTGGAAGACATGTATTAAAAATTAACAAGTATGCACCATGTAAGTCTTAGTAAATGTAAGAAAACGTGAAGTTGATTGTTTCGCCTTTAGGCTGCTCAGTGCTCGTTGGCGTTCTCGACCGTTCTCCCTCGTGGCCGTCTTATTATAGAAGGTTCGTGCTTGGGACGCTAAACCTTATCGCCCATATCAAGCATCAAGTTTCCGCGGCAATCCGACAAAACACAACCCAAAAAACCTCCAATTACCATGAGCGCAGGCTATTCGACGGTCTCGCAAGCTCTCAGGGTCGCCTCTAGAGCAGCATGGCGACGACCGCAGCGATCGCTGTTCCAAAAATGCCCGGAATGTAGACATATATCACGAACTGCGATCCGCAGGAGGCAACCCGCGGAGGACCCAAACTTTTTGTCCATCTTGGATAACCCCCCGAACATTGTGAGGTCAGGGGGGAAGAAGCATGGGCCGGGGCTTATAGTACTTGGTAGGTCAAACAGCGTCCGAAGTATGGACCAGACAGCTAATGGTATACTCTAGCTTTGATCCCAATAATAGCATTCGGACTGGGAACATGGCAGGTCCAGCGATTGGGCTGGAAATCCGAGCTGATGGCAAGATTCGAAGATCGACTTGTTCGCGATCCGCTGCCGTTACCACCGCATATTGATCCAAGTGCCATCAAGGACTTCGATTACCGACGAGTCTACGCTACGGGCCACTTCCGCCACGACCAGGAGATGCTTATAGGGCCGCGCTTGAACGAGGGGAAGGATGGTTATCTCGTCATCACACCGCTTGAGCGTGAGGGAGATGGGACTACGGTGTTGGTGAATAGGGGATGGATAGCAAAGAAGTTCAAGGATCCGAAAACCCGCGCCGACGGTCTACCGATTGGCGAAATCACAGTGGAGGGATTGTTACGAGAGCCTTGGAAGAAGAACATGTTCACGCCGGATAACAGCCCAGAGAAGAATGAGTTCTATTTCCCGGATGTTGCGCAGATGGCAGCGTTGACGGGGAGTCAGGCTGTGTGGGTAGAGGAGACAATGGCACCAAATCTCATGACTTCTTGGGACAGAGAGGCTCGTGGTATTCCCATTGGCAGAGCACCTGAGGTCAATTTGAGGAATAATCATGCTCAGTATATATTTACATGGTATTACCCCTTATCCTCCTATTAATTCCTTCATGCTAACGGATACTAGGTATGCGCTTGCCGCTGCAACATCGATAATGCTCTGGATGGTCATCAAGAAGCCTCCGACCGATGTTGCTCGTAAAGTGAGGCAGAATAAAGACTGGTCGTAAAGGCATTCACTGGCCGTTGTATGTCATAAGAATTGTCATCAATTGGCGTTTCTATTCCTCCTCTGTACTTTTAAGCTTTTTACCCCCTCTCAGCTTGGTTGGAGGCACCATCCGGAAATCTTGGAGAAGTTCTCGCGGCAAATGCTTCTGCGCAAGCGCAAATGGGGTGGTGATAGCATTTGTCTGGCGCTGTCTGTAGGATATAATTAGCTTTGATCCCAAATGGTCATCATCTGGGTGTTCGAAATGTATACCTTTTCATAAGTGCCATAACATCATTCTCATCAATTGTCTTTCGGCCTGCATGGGCAGCATACGCTCCAAGGTCATCGCTAACCTGCTCGAAGAACCAATCCGTCGCTTGCATTATAGCTGCCAGTGCATCCTTGCTTATCTTTCCGCTGCCACTCCCGCCCGTTCTCGCAAACGTAGTAGCGAGCTTCTTGACAACTCCAGCAGGTAACGATGAGTACTGTATACCATGCTTTGACACCCTGATTGTCTTCTTGGCCTTCGGCTTCCGCACTTCTTGCGCTGATAATTGGATATCCGTCATAACCGTATCAGTCATAGTCATATCAACAGTCGGTTCTAATTGATCGATATCCAAATCCTCTAAATCTTCATCTTCATCCTCAACCTCGAGCTCGAGCTCGAGCTCCCGCTCAAGTTCGTTGTCTTCTTCCACCTCCTCTGGTTCTGATTGGACTTCTTCCTCCTCTTCTACTTCAGTCCCTTCAAGCGGACCTATACTTCGTCTCGGCACGCCAACATTTGCAGCCTGTGCACTTGTCGCCATATCTTCCCTTCTCGGCGGCACCGCAAATGCAAAGGTTGCTTCATGTTCGTCGTCCTCAAACGGTCCACGCACATCGCTTGACCTACCCGCCGCGAATGCCCCTCTCAGGTCCAAAGTACCGGTTCTCTCGTCCAAGATACTAGGATCATCTTGTAAGAAGGGCCCATCATCATCAAAGTTTCCCTGGATGAAGCTTGAGTCGAATCTCTCCGGATCACCCATAGTTCGATCGAATTGATCGCTATATCTGATACTTCCAAAGCTTCCACGTGACAATCGACCACCAGCTTGCTCACTGACTGCCCTTCGTGGAAGCTCAACAGACCGCATCGTCATATTATCATCGTCGAGCAACGCATCGGAATGTGGCGGCAGTAAAAGGCTATCATCCTCGTCGTCTCCAATGGCCATCGAAAGCCTTGGTCTCGTCGGCGCTGGCTCATCATCCACATCATTCAACCTCGTGAACGGCAACCTCGGCCCCTCAGCTTCTTGCATTTCAGGTAACGCAGCGACTGGAATTGTGCCCGGAGCCAGCCTCTTACTCAGTTGCCTCAATAAATCACGGGGTGTCTCTCGCTTCTGAAGCCCACTTCTCCTCCTATCCTTGCCCGGCGTGAGGGCGGCCGCTCGCCGCATCTCAATCTCCCGTGCAGCAGCGCGGCCATGGGGAGTAGCAGCCGTTGGTCGCCGCGTAGAGCCAGGTCCGTACCCTCCAGGTGTTATGTTCTGCGCCCCCGGTGTGCGACGCGCCGTTCTATGGGTGGATGGAGGGCCGGCGCTTGAAGCACGACGAATTGGAGTTGTTGGTCTTGGTATGATATTGGACAGCTGCCGCAGCGTAGTGTAGGGTGTTTCTTTTGGCTTTGCAGCTTCGGCATCTTCGGTGAGTGAGTTTCGGGGCGTGATTCGTGGTTGTCGTACTTGTGAAGGTGATTGTTCGGGGGCAGCCAAGTTGAGCGAGTCGGTGGTTGAGGGCGGATGAATTGCAGATGCGCCCACGCCGCTTTTGCGAGCGCTTTTCCTCCTTGCCGACATTTTGGATGGCTATTCTGGAAGTCAATGCACAGAGGTCGATGTGATATTCGTTTTGCGCGTCAGCGTCGGCATGATCGAATTGACGTCGCGTTTGTCAACAAGACCCTGGATAAGGCCATGCCGCGCTAAGATAAGATAAGATAATGTGCCAGAGCTATTTTGAAGGCGGTGAGCCAATAAATTATTCTGCTATTTCCAACCTTGCGCCAAATATCGAACTTGTACAGTTTTCAATTAATTCTTCGTCGGAACGCATTTAAATCCAGTTGTCTATACTAGAGTTACCGGGTACTTGACCTCCCAACTTTCATAAAAGATGTCGGACAACGAGTTGCAAGAACCTCTTCTCGAGGGACCAATCTCCAGCCCCGAGCCTGAAAATGCCAGCAGCCCGCAAAAAAAGCGTAAGAGAGACGCCGAGGTCGAGGCAAAGGACAAGAAGCAAGCAAAGAAGCCCAAGACCAAGAAGCAAAAGGAGCAATTTGAGGAAGACTATCTCGATATAGAGGCTGGCATCAACAAGAGGTTCGCGGAGATGGACAGCCAGTTGTTGGCCGATTATGTGGACCAGAGAACTACGCAGTTTGAGTCTGATCTCAGCGCCATTGAGTTGGAGGATAGGCATATTTCTGGTACATACAGCATCTTGTCGTGTCTGGTTGGGATTTAAGGCTAACGTATTTAACAGCGACTTCCATAAGAGATACCACCTCGTGGAATAAACCCCGCACACTTGATAACCTACCTGGATTCCTCGAGAGCGTTTGCTCGAACCCAACGAGGCTATGGGGAGCATCGAAGAAGAATGGAGCACCACACACTATTATCGTCGCTGGCGCAGGTCAGCGCGCTGCTGATCTTGCGAGGGTCGTCAGGAAGCTACAGTCCAAGGATGCCGAAGTAGCCAAGCTCTTCGCGAAGCACATCAAGCTCCAAGATGCGGTCAAGTTTCTGAAGAGCAAGCGGACGGGGATGGCGGTTGGGACGCCAAAGCGTTTGGAAGATCTGATGGATGACGGCGCGTTGCAGATCGACAGGCTGGAGAGGATTATTGTCGATGCGTCGCATATCGATGTGAAGAAGAGGGGGTTGTTGGAGATGAAGGAGACGCAGGTGCCTCTTACTCATTGGTTGAACAGGGCGGAGTTTAAGGAGAGGTATACTACGACGGGAAAGGATAAGATAGATCTTATCTTTTACTAGGAGGGTTCTCGGGCATCCATGGGCTTATAGCGATTTATATGTTGTCGAGCGTTTGATGTTGAGTTTACAAACTATGAGCTGAGAATAATGAAAACTCTGTGGTTCGCAGATCGCCGTATTGGCTTTTCCCACGTCATGTCTAGGTGTTGTCTGTAGTTAAAATATTGCCAATTTATATTTGATGGTCGCTCTTTCCTTCGGAAGCTGGTCGTCCCTTCCCTTATAAATGTAAGCCCCTAGGAAGGAAGGAACGTTCCTTCCCTCTGGAGTCGGTCGCTCTTTCTCTATTTAATGAATCGTTCTTTCCCTCTAGAGCTGGTTGCTCTTTCCCTATTTAAATATTTTAAGGGTCGTTCCTTCTCTATTTAAATGATTGTAATATATTTGATAATAATATAAAGCACGAATATATGTATGGCGAGTTTAATAACACATAAATTAAACAAAAACCCAAGATATTAGCATCAAAATAAATATAAGCAATAGATACACCAAATTCACATTTATCCCTATGAAATTAATAAATTATGTGCTCTATATCTTCATTTATGTTCCCCCCACGTTCGTAGTCCATCCCAATCCCCACGTCTCAGGAACCCCGGATCATCAATCCCCCGCTTATCCAAAAACTTCATCCCTCCCGATAAGCACCCCCAAAAAAAGTGTCTGTGTCTGCGCAGGAACCTCACTTCCCCAAACCCCCTCCCCAATTCCCCCCGCCACTCAATCAACACAAACAGCAATGGCGCCCATAAAAAAATCCGCCGGCCCCCGCTCCGAGCGCAAAGCCGCAAAGCGCAAAGCCCAAGACGCCATCCCCGATGTGCCAGAGGACTACAACAACGAGGGCGCCGAGGAAGTAGCAGCGCCCAAGAAGCGTAAGCGTGATGATGACGAGGAAGGCGGTGAGGACACCGAGGAGAGTGGTATCAAGAAGGTGAGGAAGGAGAAGAAGGAGAAGAAGGAGAAGGAGGAGGGGAAGAAGGAGAAGAAAGAGAAGAAGCCCAAGAAGGATGCCGAGGGAGGGGATGAGGATACGATGATGGAAGACGCCGCACCGAAGGAACCAAAGGAGCCAAAGGAAGATGTCCCAAAGAAGAGCAAAAAAGAGCGTAAAGCCGAGCGCAAAGCCCAACAAGCCGCCGAAGCAATCGCCAACGCGAAAGCCAACCGCGCTGCCGAAGAAGCAGCCGCAGCCTCCAAACCCACCGTCGCCTCTGACGGAACCGAGGCCAGCAAGCCCGCCGCAGCTGCAGCAGCTGGAGGAAAAACTCCCAAAGCCGAGAAAGCGCCTAAGCTCGATAAGGACGGGAATCCGATTAAGAAGAAGAATAACCGTAATCGCGAGAAGAAACGGCTTGCGGCTGCGACGGCTATAGCGGCTGGTGAGAAGGCGCCAGCTAGGTTTATTGTGTTTGTTGGCAACCTCCCCTTCACCGCCACGGTGGAATCCATAACTGCGCATTTCGCTGCCGTGCATCCCATCTCCGTGCGCAACCTCACCCAAAAAGACGACCCCACCAAGTCAAAGGGCTGCGCATTCGTCGAATTCGAGGGGTACGATCACATGAAGACGTGCCTAAAGACTTATCACCACAGCGAGTTTGACGATGGGAAGGGAGGAGGGGGAAGGAAGATTAATGTTGAGCTCACCGCGGGGGGTGGGGGTAATACGAAGGTCAGGAAGGGGAAGATTGCAGAGAAGAATGAGAAGTTGATGGAGCAGAGGACGAGGAGGATTGGGGAGGAGGAGAAGCAGAAGTTGGTTAAGAGGGGGGTGCCGGAGGAGGATCAGAGTGGGATTCATCCGAGTCGGAGGGCGAGGGTTGCGTAAATCGGGGAAGGGGGTGTATGAATTGCGTCGTAGTAGTTTTGAGTTTGATTGTGGGAATGGTAATTTCACAGCGTTAACAAGCGGAGACTCCGTATTTGCAGAATTATTCATCGTGGTGTCAAAATGTGAAAAACCGTGCATGTCAGATCTTAATAACTCCTCTTTGCATTCATTCATCAGTAAAATCCCCAGCTATCTACGCAAACTAGGGTGATATCGGCCTAGTAATCATGTCCCATGCAATTATCACTTCCCCCCGCGTCGTCCCAACGTCCACTCTAGCGATTCGCAAAAGCACATCCATCCCCATTCTTTCCCGATGAAAAAAACTGACCGCATATGTCGCCCAGTGAGAAAATCTACCACAGACTGCGACACAGCCCCTGCTGAACTCGCGACTGCAACTGCATGCGATGCGACGATGACATGCAACGAGTCCTCATGAAAACGCGTTAAACAACTTCGCATCAAACTGGATATCCGCGCCCCTTCTCCCCCACAACACCCCTTTTCTCTTTGTTCGCAGTATCGACAAAAGAGATAAATTCCAGGCAAGACGAATTAGCAAAAAATAAAACCCCGGTATCTGCACCGATTTTTTTGCCGCATGAAAAGGCACAGTATGCTGGAGAGGAAATATAAGAGAAGAGGCTCAGGCTCGACAAATCTGTTCCATGTGGAATCCTGGGGAGATCCAGGGGGAATCTTGATGAGCCGGCGACGAGTAGAGTGAGAAGAGGTGAGTAGACAAGTGTAGATGTTTTCTTTTTAAGGTTCTGGTATTAAGCCTTTCACAGGATCAAGCACTTCCTCGACTTCTTGCCTCGCTCCTGAGGACGTGGGCTCAGCACCGCACTTGTTTAAGTTAGCAACCCAATCCATCTGTCTATCTGATCCCCGGGGTGGGACAAAGCAAAAACATACCGAATAGCCTCATCGAAGACACTCTTCAAGTTCCTCTGGGTCAGAGCCGAGCACTCCAGGTACTTGTGCGCGCGGATATCCTTCGCGACCACGAGGGCCTGGTCATATGACACGGGCTCCATGCGCTTCTGTCTGAGGCTGTCTAGAGTGGCGGGGTCCTCGCGCAGATCCAGCTTGGTGCCTACGAGGATGATTGGCACGTTGGGGGCGTGGTGCTCGATCTCAGGGAACCACTGGGGAGGGAGTGTTAGCGGGGGATTCTAGGTAAGTAGAGTGATGTGGGGGGGAGGGCGCGTACCTTGGCCTTCACGTTGTCGAAAGAAGGAGGGCTGACGATGGAGAAGCAGATCAAGAAGACGTCGGTCTGGGGGTATGAGAGCGGTCTCAGTCTGTCGTAATCCTCCTGTCCGGCGGTATCCCAGAGGCCCAGGGAGATCGGCTTGCCATCGACCATAACACTCGCGGAGTAGTTATCAAAGCTGGGAATATGTCAGCAGCTGCAATTCGCAGAGATCGGAGTGGTGAACGTACACTGTTGGGATGTACTCTCCGGGGAAAGCATTTGTGGTGTAGGAAATCAGGAGACAAGTCTGCGGCCATGTTAGTATACAAGAAGCCAAAGTTAAGATCGGGAGGAAATACCTTGCCGACTGCACCATCACCGGTGACAACGCACTGCGGGGAATATGTCAGCTATGTTCATGCCACCAGCAATCTTCTTGCCGTGGTTATGGGGTAGGGAGGGCTTCTCGAACCTTGAGGGATTGAGTTCCGGGTGCCGCCATTTCTGATTATGATTATGGTTGTTCGGGGAGAGTTCTGGCGAGAATGGAAGCAGGATGTTCTGCTGGTTAAAGGCGTGAAGCTAAAACTTGTGGAAGCGTCAGAGGTCTGCGGACAATGTTCGTTCCGATGCTCGTTTGGAACGTGGGAATGTCTGAGCGTACCTTGACGTGGGTTCTCTGGTGGTATTTTGACACGTCTTGTAGCCGTTTCAGGTTCTACTTTGTTACTGTGTGTGGGAGAGATCTGAGTGTATCTCCTGCTCTCAGAATATGGAAGTTAGGTAGGTTGTGTGTGTGAAGCTGGCGGAAACAACAAAGCGTCTGGAACTGGGCGTTCTAGATGCAGTTGTTGTTGTTGGAGATCTGCAACAGGAGTTGAGAGTTGTGGTTTATGATGGATCCGAGGGGTTGGCGGGAGTCTGGAGTTAAGGTTGTCGTACTCGGCCGAGGGAGGAAGATGTAGCCTCGTCTTTGTATGGGGGACCTTTTATTCGGAAGGCTATTTCGAGTGGTTGGAGACCTCGAATTGAGTACAGTTAACGCAGACGTGTGATTTGTCGAGGTCGGCGGTTGGGACTTTCTGGCGACGAGGTGTCTTGGTTGATGAAGATTGATTGGAGACGGCGAGATTCTCCCGAGGGCGGCCGGGACGATCTGATTTGCGGGATGGGATTCGAAGGAGCTTATGGTTTGCCGCTGATGCGATCTGGATCAAGGGTTGGTTGGTTGTGGGGGTATGTTCTGGTAAGTTGTCGATGTTGCCCACACTGCTGGTGGTTGGAGGAGTGTTATTGTACGTTTCTATCTGGCTGGCTATCTGGGCGGTTCTCGGTGTGAGTTGAGTGGACTTGACCTTGCTTGACTTGTGGGAGTGTGCGTGTGGCTGGCATGAGGTCCCTCAAAGAGTCCCACAACAAACCCCAAGGACGAAATGGGGCCCCTGTCTCGATTATGCTGATTGGCAAATAGGGCGACGGAGAGGGGTTTGAGCTGTGGGCACTATGAACGCTATGAACGCTAGAGCACAGCACTATTCCGTATGAACGGACGCAGCGTCGTGCCAATGGAGGGATATTCGTCTGTGCACGGCAAAAAGGTCCCCTGGATTATCCTAAATGGAAGCTCATAAGGGTAGTGGTGGGATACGGGGGGGTGACGGTGAGTGATGGGCAGCTGGCTGAGGTATATTGAGATCAAGAGGAGTATAATAGATCTGCAATGGTTTAATAGGTATGTATGTACGTTTATCTTGCAGCTATATCCGCATTCACGCAAGCTATCCTAATGTCGAACCAGCTTCCCCTTTTTCTCTCTCTCCCGGCGGTGTGCTGCTCAAAAGACGTTATTGCTGAACCTCAACATGCATACTCTGGTACTCTAGTATACGGCACACATCCCACACATACAATACGGACCGCAGTATTCGTGCTATGCATGGTGTACCCGTTCTCCGTATAATAGAGTACACCAGAGCACAGAAGACACAGTACTACGCTATACCGACGGCGTATTTTCTGGTGGACAGCTAGCAGTTCGTCACAAGAAACCAGGGGCCAAGCCGGGATGTGGGATGTGGAACGGGTCGGAGATAATAAAATGATGATGGGATGGGAAGGGAAGGGAAGACCCCGTTTCCCCTTATCCCGTGCTCTTGGTGCTGTTCCCGGTGTTGTTCCCGACTCCTTATCACTTGACACAGCATCATTGACGTACAGTACAGCATCGCAGGTATTTACTCGAATAGGTGGGTTATGTGAGATGCAGCGCACATCACTGTTTGCAGCTTGAAATTAGCACAAGAGACTGTGCGGCAGCTCCCACTTCGTCCCATCTTTATGGTTACTGGCGTGCGTAGTTGGTTAGAAGTATATATATATGCACGGTATAACGATATATATAGATGAGATTATAATATGTACAGCACAGCACAGAACATACGTATATACAGTAGCTGTAGCTTTTTGTGGGGGGCCAAATATACGGCGGATGGATACTGTTGTAATAATGTGGACAACGCTGGCTGGGCTGGAATGCACGTATCTTTATATAGATGGGATGAAATATAACACATCGCACGCATTGTAGACAGCGACAACTATGATGCAAGGAAGCTTCTTCTGACCTGTATCGCAAACAATGAGACCAATAGATGTAATATATCACCAGAATGCAAATTCATCCTGAACCTGTATACACTCCTCCCTTTTTTTCTTTTTCTTTTTTGACTCCATTCCAATGATCCTTCGCTCGTCATAACCTGCTAGCTAGTACTCTCGGCCATGCTAAATTCAGGGTCAGCCCATACCAACCTAAAGAATGTTCCCCCCATGTCTGCGCCACACTTCCATGTGGTACTTACGCACCACCTCAACGCTCAACCCACAGCTTCCTTCGCTGTCAGAGTGAGCCCTTCAATTTACTTCCATTCCTTCAGCTCCTCGTCACCAATTCCAAACCTCTGAGCATTCCTCACACGGCGTGCCGCATCCCTACCTCCACCTCGCCGACCAAGGCCACTCGTTGACTCGCTGGAGGACCAAGGCGCATAACATAAACCGCGATCACGTCCTGCGTAATATCCCGACGTGTACCGCGTTACAAGATCTTGATACATTTTCGGGATCAGCCTGATCCCCTCCGATTCAAAACCTCTCAAAAGAACCAAACCCTCAGTTGCATGGGAATCCGAAAAAAACAAACAAAACAGACTCCCTAAAATCACTTGAGCTTCTTCGCGCTCAACCTCAGCAGCCCATTGCCCACCATGGAGAACCCACCACCCAGAGACACCGACCAGCAGTTCTCAGAGACCCAGACCACGACTTCCCAGCGCCCTGAAAGCAGTGGGAGGATGTCCTCGAGCACTGGCGCACCTGCCGAGCTTGCGGCGGCGCCCAGCGGCAACGCGCCGGCTTCTGCGGCACCAGCACCAGCTGGCGGACTATACACGGAGCAAGTGCAAAACGTGGTCAATTCAGAGGTGAGTAACCCGCGCGCATGGTATGGGAACACCCCCCCAACTGACTTGCATTGATAGATTGGAGTCCAAGTTCTGTTGAACAGGCTCAAGCAGAGCGTTGCTTCAGCAAAGGTAAAGTTGCGCCGAGTCCGACAAACCAGTTCAATGAAGCTAACTCGCTCTCTCTATAGGAATTCGCCCTGTTCCTGCAAAAGAGGTCTAAGCTGGAAGAAGACCATTCGGTTGGGCTGCGCAAGATATCCAAGATTACACACGACAACCTCCGACGACCAGAGCACCGTCAAAACTCCTTCATCGCCTCTTACGATGAGGTAACCCGGATACAAGACCGCATGGCAGAAAACGGAGCGCAGTTTGCGGCCTCACTTCACCAGATGCACGAGGATATGCTTGAGATGGCAGCAAACATTGAACGGGGCCGAAAACATTGGAAGACCACGGGCCTATCAGCAGAGCAGCGCCTGGTTGACGCCGAGACGGCTATGCGGAAGGCGAAGGCTAAATATGATACCCTGGCAGAAGATTATGATCGTGCGCGAACTGGAGATCGCGCATCGACCAAGAAGTTTGGACTGAAGGGACCCAAATCTGCTGCCCAGCACGAGGAGGACCTGCTTCGCAAAACCCAAGCTGCTGACACGGAATATGCTTCTAAGGTCCAGACTGCTCAGTCCGTCCGCCACGAGCATCTGACTAAGGGGAGACCGGAGGCCGTGAAGGGCCTTCAGGATCTGATTAATGAGTGCGACTCCGCGTTAGTATTGCAGATGCAGAAATTTGGTAAGCTCTATAGGAATTTGGTTGCATGAGGATATACTGACATCAAGCAGCCGCATTCAACGAGAAGCTACTCCTCCACAACGGCATGAGCGTTAGTCCCCTGAAAGACCAAGCGGGCGAGGGTGGGAAGACAACACGCAGTTTGCGCGAGGCTATCCTGGATATTAACAATGAAGGCGACTTGAACTATTTCATCGCAAGTCACTCGTCTCAAGTCCCTCCTCGACCAGCTGAGATCAAGTACGAGCGTCATCCCGTGAGTACCCCCGCAAATCCACACCATCAACAACCATACTGATATTCGCAACACAGGTCATGGCACCATCTGCTCCCCCAGCCGCAGCAGCAGCACGCAGACAATCCGAAATCCCCCAAGGTTTCAACAGCTTCGCCTCCCGTCAAGGCACCACTGGCCCCGCCGCCGCCAGCACTCCGACCCAGCAATCCCCAATGGGCGCAGGAGGCCCCGGCTTCAACCAAGGTGGCCCACCACCACCCGCCGCCCAGCAGCAGCAACAGCAGCAGCCGCAGCAATACCAACAACACGAGCGCAGCTTCAGCCAAGGGCGTCCGCAGTCCCGCGATAACGGACCCCCCGGTCGCATGGGCAACGGAGGACCCGCCCCCGCACCAGCCTACAGCTCCGCCGGCGGACCACCCCAGCTGCAGACCCTCCCCTTCCAGACACCAGCTCCGCAAACGCATCCACTCCAGCAAAACACGCCGACGCACCAGCAAGGGCCACCTCAGCACTTGCAACAGCACCAGCAACAACAGTACGGGGCGCCACAACAGCAACAGCGCGGACCAGCAGCGATGGACCCAAGTAATCTCCCCCCGCTGAAACCGGTGTTCGGGATGAACCTGGAGCAGCTGTTCCAGCGCGACGGGTCGCCAATCCCGATGGTGGTGTATCAGTGTATACAGGCTGTTGATCTGTTTGGGCTGGAGGTGGAGGGGATTTATCGGGTTTCGGGGACGGCGGCGCATATTAATAAGATTAAGGCGATTTTTAACAATGGTGAGTTCCTCTTTCCCCTTTTTCCCTTTCCTGCTTTCCCACCGTCTTTCCTCCCACCCAAAACAACCGAAATAAGACAGAAGAAGACAGCAGAGGCTAACACCCCCCAGACTCATCCAAAGTCGACTTCCGCAACCCCGAAGCCTTCTTCCACGACGTCAACTCCGTCGCCGGCCTCCTAAAACAATTCTTCCGCGACCTCCCCGACCCCCTCCTCACCACCGCCCAATACGCCTCCTTCATCTCCGCCGCCCGCCTCGACGACGACATCGTCCGCCGCGACTCTCTCCACGCCATCATCAACGCCCTTCCCGACCCCAACTACGCTACTCTCCGAGCAGTGACGCTGCATCTTCATAGAGTTACGGAGGCGGCTAGTGTGAATAGGATGACGAGTAGTAATTTGGCGATTGTGTGGGGGCCGACGCTGATGGGGATGGGTGGGGTGGGGGGAGGGGCGATACAGGATGCGGGGTGGCAGGTTAGGGTTGTGCAGACGATTTTGGAGAATTGTTATCAGATTTTTGATGATGATTGAGTGAGCGGCAGCGCAGTAGGCGAGGTGCGGGGGGTGAGGAATGAAGGGGTGGAGGGGAGATGGGGAGAAGAGGGGTGAGGGCGGAAAGAAGGGAAGAAAAAGGGTTGGGATGATGGGATGATAATTTGAAGTGGTGGTTTTTATGGTGGTTGGTTGTTACAAAGAGTGATGCTTGTGTTATTGACCTGGAGTCGGTTTCTGTACGATAGGACGAACTTGTATGTCTAGTACGATTGATTTGTCTATCGACTATATTTCCCATGATCTTTATTTACCACCACATTCTGCCTTACCTGCCGGCACCTAGCTATCGTGTCAAAGCAAAAATTTCACTGTTGCTATCCCGTACTACTTCCAAAAAGTCCTGTTGTTTAAACTTGGCTCTACTGGCCACATGTGTTATGTGTCATTACTACATCCTCATTCTATCGTATCGTACGTATCATATCCATCATCACCGTCGCTATGCAAATCCCGCAACAATCCCATCACATCCGTACATACACCACCGCCAACAACAATAACACAATATAATAAAAAAACACACACCTCCCCCACACTCCTACTTCACCACAGCTACTCAAACACACCAGTGTTCCCTCTCCCTCCCCACCTCACCTCCTCGCCTGAAACAAACTCAAACTCAACGCCGCATCATTCTCCCCCACCAACGGCGTCGGCTCACTCAAACACTCCCACCTCCTCACCACGAACCCCTCCATCCTTCCGCGCTGATTAATCATCAACGTCCCCCCATTCCCACTTCCCCCACCATCCCCCCCTCCTCCGCCTGTCTCAAGCCCAAAAACATACCTCAACCCCGGATCCCCCAGCACAACTTCCTTCCCGCGCTCCGATAGGAAACGTCCACACTGCGCCCTCGCATCGTCGGGGAGTTCGTCCACCAAGAGGAGTGAGACGTCCAGGACGTGTTCAGATAGCGCGTCAGTGCCGGTATGCGCGTGTAGCGCTAACAGCAGCGCCGAGAGCGCCAGGAGGACGCGCGCGCGTACATCTGTTGCGGGCCTAGAAGACGGGAGGGTAGAAGCGTGCGTGGTTATGTATTCGAGCATCAAAGGTAACCACGTGGTAGTCTCGCTGTACGTGTCTGTGGTAGGTGGTTGCGACAGGGCGTGCGCAAGGTTATTAATCTTCTCCCCAATATCGAGGGCGGTGGTATTGCTGCCGAGGTTTTGGGTGCTATACGCCGTCGCGGAGATGACGAAGAGCATTCTCTTTGCGAGTGCTGGATCGGACGGCGGTTGAGGCGGGGCGGGGGAGTCGGAGGATGGGGGTTTGAAGGAGGGTATTGTGGAGAGGAGGGAGCGCTCGGCTCGGTCGCAGAGGTGTTGTGCGATTTGGGGGTCGAGGGTGGGGATTATTTTTGTCCAGGTTGGGTTGTTGTTTGCGAGGGCGGCGTCGACTGCTCTTTCGTAGGCTTCTAGACGTGATGTATCTGCCGCTGCTTCACTGCTTGAGCTGGGTGCCTCGGATGCTGAGAGGGAGCGTAGTGCGAGCTGGCAGAATGGTAGTGTAAGATCTGACGCTACGCCGAAGATCACCTCTATGCGCCTTGCGACAACTAAATCTTCAGGTCCTGTGGTAGTTGTCTTGAGATCTAAAAGACCGCGAAGGATGGCGCGAAGACAAGTGATAATATGAAGGTCTTGCGACTTTGCCAGCGGTGTGACGAATTCCTCTAGAACGCAGTCGAACTCGGTAAGAACAAGTCGCTGCAAGAACCTTCGGAATGCATCTCCCTGGCATAATAAGTTTACTGTAACATCGTTGTTGTCGATCGATGGCTCGGAAATCTCTATGGCGTTGCGGGCGATCTTCAGAATGGCCAAGTGGTCCTTGAATTGGGCTTGGGTCCGTCTAATATTCAACGTATAGGCGTCCTCGACAGACATGATGTCGCCATCGCGATAGGTGTTTAGGACTAGAGAAAGGCTTTCGAAGGCAATGCGACTTGTCATGAGCTTGTCGCTATCATCCCGTGTCTTTTGAACGCTCGAGACAGATGCCTTCAAGACGTCTTTGAAAGAGAGGCAACCTGCACTGATCAGCGGACCAAGCACATGGCTCAGATTAGGCCTGTCGCTTTTTAGGATCGTCTGCTCAACCCAAGGAGTGAGTAGATTGTCGAACTGCTTCGTATCAAAGGTTCGAAGGCGCTCGAGTATTGGACCATGTTTCTGCAGTCCTGAATCGGATTTCGCCCAAGACGCTTCCATCTGATTAATAAGAACTTGGAAGAGTCGTTTTAAAGTAGGAGCATCCATTGAAGTGCCACTGGACAACAGCTTATCAACCTCATCGGAAATATCGCCATCAGATTTCTGTAGTGCTTCGGCTACATGATCCGAGACAGGAGAGCAAGCATCAACAGCGGATCTGCGAACGCAACGAGCCACATCCCGTGATAGTTGCACGTGTACGTTCGCGGCATCTGGGATGGTCCCAGATAGCGCACACAGAGAGTGAAGCAAGGCGACAGATTCAGGGCCTTGGATAGCCCCCAGGCTGAATTGGCGCGAAACAAGCGTATCGAAGAGGTCGTTGAGTGCTCCAATCGCGGAAAAAGTGAGCCGGTGCATGTTAAGCGTGTCTGCTATGGAAGCTAAAATCTGGATGCTGCTGGAGCTCGAGACGAGCTTGAGAATATCGGCAAGCATCGAAAGGTCTTCGGTGGCTTCTAGAACGGCGCGGGTGAAGTTGAAATCCGCAACAGTGACTGTTGTTGCAGTTTCGTATTCTTGATCTGCTTTCCATTCTCCCATCTCCGAGGGCGACGTCTTAGTCATACGGAGATTGATTTGCTTTCGGAGTTGCAGTCCGAGTTCTGCCTTGACAGTGCGGCTGAGGTGTGTAATGTTCTGAACAACATCTGCCGTCGTTGGAGCCTCTTCTCCAGAAGGTGTCTTGCCATATAAGTTTGGGCTGCAACGCTCAAAAGCAAGAGACATATTATTAATAGTCTCAGTTTCATTGTCGACAGAAAATGAAGCACGATTAAGTAACGTCTTGCGAATCCTGAGTAGGTTTTCGGGAAGGTCGTGTACGGGCAACTCTGCAAGTAATCTCGTGACGCAAGGTCCGTCTGTGGCCACATCCTGGGACCCGTGGAGGCCACCTCGAGCAATTACCCACTGAATGTACTTGGAGACGCAGAAGTGGCCAGACCTTGCCAGTTCGGAAACTAAGTGGTATACTGCGTCGCCGGATACACCGGGCCCATTGCTCCGGAAGGTCAGGTAGTTCAAGACTGATTCGTCCACATCAATCCCATGTCGGCTCCACGTCCTCATAAGACGGGCAGCAACAAATGTCTTCATAAGACTTGGGCGAGCACAGGATGTGGCCCAATCAAAGAGAGTCTGAACCAATAGTGTTCGATCTCTCATCCCTTTCCAGCATTCTCGTGGCAGGTCCGGGGAGAATTGAACCGATAATGAGGCGTCGAGTAGGTCGATAACTCGGCGCCGTGAGTTCTGGGTTTCATCTCCACCGGAAGATCGAGACTTGAGACGAGCATTGCGACGGCTAATTGCGTCGAAAATCTGCGTCTCATCTGGTCCACCGGACGTATTGCACGCTTCTAATGTATCACTGTACTTTGGCCAGTGCGATAAGGCAATAAAACTTTCGGGGTTTGTTCTGACAGTCGCGGTGAGGATGTTTCCCACCCGCTCTATCAGGGGGAGTAATAGGTCTCGATCAGGACTCTCATGCGCCTGCACTTGTGTTAGTAGGCGAACATAAATAACACGGGGTATACGTACATCTTGGAGATTCGAGCATAGCGCTGCGACCACACGCCGAGCAGATTTACGATATCGTAGTATATCGGCCCAATACACTTCGGCTATCAATAACCAAATTGGTAGCCTCGTCAAGGGAGTGCTCTCCAACGACGACAGGAGCCAATCCAGATAATGTTCTGTATCCAGTAGTTGTTCCGAATACAGATGTGCAGAAAGTCGAATACTACCAATCGATTAGTATGAGCTGCTTAGAATAGCAGTGTGTAGACTTACGAATATAGGACTTTTGACTTCCAGTCCTTGTCCCCACCAGCTGCAACAACACCGTCGACAAACTGCTCTACACATACAGTCCAATCTCGAATCCACTTTGACTCGCCGCCCATTGCAAGAGCCCCCGGGACTCCCTTTCTCTTTGAGGCTCTGATTTCGTTTGCCCCCACACATTTAGCAAGCCACACCGCCCTTTCAGTCGGAACATTTTTCCTCGTGCATTGTTCCAACAACACCTTATTCTTGATGCCGTGCGGTATAGTTCTGCTGAGGCGTCGTAATGGTATTAATGGATTTGCTAAATCTCGCAACCAAGTTTCCCTCTTTGTATCTGTCAAGGTGACTCGAGGAGGTGGCTTGAACGATGGCGCAGCGGTAATTTGGGAGTGCTGCCTCCTCTGTCCCAAAACATGCGCAAATAGAGACCCAAGAGTTTGTAGGCCGTTTTTCTGTCGTAGTGAGGGGTATAATTGTTGTTTGGCGGACGCCGTCTCGTTCTGGCCTGTCTGGACCTTATCGAAATAGCCTTGTCGAATTACATTATCGTTGAAGCTGTCTTCATTGTGGGTACCTGTCCAGGGGAAGTAGTCCAAATGTCCTGTCTATGTTAGTGAAGTCTACTTAAAACGGGGTGGAATACATACCATTTGAAGGGTAGCTGGGCGCGTCTGGCGGCGGCTCCAACACATATGGCTTTGGACGAGTCTCCTTCTTTGGCGAGTTCCCTCCATCATGCGCTTTCTTTTGTATATGAGATACACCGCTCCGACCTGGCCTTGCCGGCATTGGTAATGGTAAATTCGCCGAACTCTTCTGAGGCGACCCAACCTGCTTCGGCGCATCTGATTGAGCCTCATGCCGCCTAAACGGAATCCTCTGTCTCGCCCGCTTCGGGAGAGGCATAACCGCGCCCGGCGTACCAGCCGGCGACGGCGACTCCATGCTAACTATATTTTGTTTCTGAGCCATCAGCCCCTCCACCCTCACCATCGACCCTCCCGGCTTCGACGGCTCCAGTCGCGGGGGCGCCGTCTCGGCGCCATCGGCTATCACTTCGACCGCACTACTGTCGCTCGCCCTCCCCGGCGACGGCTGCTGCTGGCTCTGCTGGAGATGGCTCCGCTGCTGGGCCTGCCTCTGCAACATGCCCGTGCCGCTCAGCGAGCGTTGGGGCGGGCGCGGGCCGGGCTGTGGTGGTCGGGTGCTCATCGCGGAGGCTGTACGTGATGCGCCATGCCTGTAATTGATGCGGTTTTTGGGATCACATAAATGGCGGGGAGCGCTTTGTCGGGTGTGAAAAGTGCCGAGTGCGTGTCTTGTGTGGTGGTGGTGTAATGGGGAGATCGCAGGTTGGTTTTGGACGTGATGATTCCGAAGATGGCGGCCACGACAATAGCGTAAGGCGCAAGGGCCCCGGAAGTGTGGGGGTTTTACTACGGCTCTAGAGCGATCCCCGAGGCCTAGTCTGTTGGTGGAAGGATCAACAACTGGGAAAAGTTGTTAAATGGGTAGTGTGTTTGATGGGTTCGGAGCAATTAGAGTGGGTGATATGTTATGTTATGTGATTGTGAAGTCTTGATATTGGGCTGGGTAACAGAGTATTTAGAGAGAGGCTTCTATTCGCAATTCACACTGGGCAGTTCACAAGAGGGCGACGATTGGGCGCGGCAATAAGTTGAGCTGGGGGGCCGATGGTGCGTGGATGGGGCGGATGGGTGGATGGGATGCTGGGGAATTGACGCTAAAGTGGGTGCACAGCCGTACTTGCCGTTTGGGGCTAATATTGGTGGTTTAGTGTGGGATTATTACCATAATGGGTTAGTATTTTGTTAGTATCTTGGGTATTTTGGTATTTCGGTAACTATCAAACAAATACAAGGTACTGTTATTTTACTTATTTTACTTATTTTACTTATCTGTTGTATTTTATGAGTGAGTTACCTACTGTAAAGTGACTTGCTGTAGGGGAAAAGATGCGTGTATGGAAGGTGCAGATGGGTGGGACACACAGGTAACAGGGTGAACCACGCAGGTTCTATTCCATGCAGCACTGTCACTCACTCACCCCTTCGATGACATATTCTTTTTGTTGTTGTTTATTCTGCAGTAAGGGAGATAGTTATATACCGTAGATATATAGGGATATATTGTATAGAAATATATGGGAATATATTACAATATCTACATATATCCGCGGACAGGCAGGTACGGAAAGTCATCCCGACTAACTACTATACTATACTGACTCGTTTATCGCGTGCACAAACTAGACTTGTACTGACACTTCCAATATATTGATTTTAGGGCCAGTTTATGTATCAGACAGATGTGAGGCATGAGGCACGGGCACCGGACACCGGGCACGTTATTCCACGGTCGGTACGTACTTCCGCGGGAACCATCACACGTTTACTAACTCTACTATCTCTAGTACTACCTCTTTTCGGTCTATTCCAACAAGGGTTCCCGAACAACTTTACGTGCATCGGGAGAAGCGGGTAAGACCGAGATTTCTCCCTCAACTTGGTCTGGTCTCTTGGGGTTTCGGGTGGTGTGGGTGTCTGCGTGTGTGAGATGATCGCCTGAGATTGCCTGTTCAACAACAACAAACTGCGGGTAGATAGGCCGCTTTTCGCTGTTTCGGACAATTTAACATCCAAAACCAACAACCACGTAACGTAACCAACCAACGTATCATGAAATTGAATAGAATATATCAGCTTAGCCACTGTACAGTTTCTATGTCATGCTTGTTCCCGCTTTTGCCTTTATGTTGGTTTTATTTATTGATACACCACAGGTATGCAAAGTACGATATATGGAGAGAATACACCAGATACAGTTTGTGATTGTGTATATATAGCCTAATCGTCACCTTATCTGCTGCTGACGTGACTTGTGTGAACCCGCCCTAACCCAAACGGGCCTACCTCGTCTCCGAATCTGGGGATCATCGGACTGCACACTTCCGCTGGGGTAATTGACACGACCAACGATTCCAGTGACGAGCTGCAACGATTTGACAATTCTCGACGCCCTTGCTCTAATACATAATTCAAAATGTCGGCCAAGAAGGATATGCGCAGGGAGGACCTGAGTGAGTGCTTTCATTCCAACAGGACACCATTGCGCTCGACTAACTCAAGCTCCAGTCATCCCCTACCAGCAGCCAGCCCCGAAGGAGGGTAGCTTGGGAGATATCGGGAGCACTCTGAGCAGCACGGTGCCAATGGCTGCCATGTTCACCAGGAACAAGTACATTGGATGGTATGAAGACCCCGCGAAGGATCTGAGGCGGCAGCTAACCATTGGATAGGGCCTCCGTCGTCATTGCACTTCAGAATTGGCTCTCAGAGAACCCAGACACCAAGGCTGCTGCATCGCAACCAGCGTATATGGGCGTCGGAATGTCCTGTAAGTTTTACTGAAACAAGACCACTGTCTTATAACTAACCGTGTGCCTCTCCCATCCAGTCTTGTCGCTTATCATCGTACGTATTACTCCATCCCACCTCCATAGAATCCTCACTGACAAACCACAGACCTACCTCCCAATGTTCCTCCCTCCCCCACCAACCTCAGGAGCATCAACACCCCCTCCCTCGTCGTAAGCCACGCGGCGGAACGACACGACGCTTGAGACGGCGGACGTACGAGCATAATCATGTACTTTACTGCATATATATTTTACCCACCCCCTTTTTGGAGAGAGATACAGCGGGCGGATCTACCAATACAATTACCGGGCCACTGTTGGGCGTCTCTGTGATACCGCCACGGAGATAGTATGGGTTGTCTCTTGCTGGCTGCTACTGTAGGTGGAGCGGAACGGAAGTTTGTACGACAAGGAGAGAGACATTGGGGATTATTGGGCGGGCTGGAGGTGGATGGCTTGAATCGGGTTCAGTGGGCGGACATCAAAAGCTAGCTTCAGGATTATATTATGAGCATTACTTCAGTTGACTCTTATCGCTCCCTATGCTGCTTTTTGTGGACACTCAGCTTAACGTGGGTCAGGGCAGTCACTTCAAGGCACTCACTTCCCAACCAGGCACTTCATCACGAGACACGGTTCCTCGACGTCACCAACTTCTACGATCATATTAGGGGTCCTCACATCCAGCCCTATATTTCACACCATAAAGAATCGGCCAGTCCGATCTTTCAAAGCCTAACCAGAGCCTCGTGAATCATGAAAGCTTGTATTCACACCTGCGCAGCCTCAAAAGACAAGTTACATGTACTTCTACTTGTAATGCGCTCCGTGGCGAACCTGTCATCGGGCCAGGTCCTTGTGGCAATCGCTAATCGCCTCCCATGAGTGGTTCGACGCCATTACTAAGCATCACACATGACTACTTGTCACAGTCGTATCATTCCTTCGGGAAGATGAGGCTTGTACTCGACTTGTCCACACTGGCGGTGATTTGGGAAAGATAGCTTGCGATAAGGCGCAATTTCTACTGTATGTGCAGGGTTAGGGAGGGTTGGGGAAGTGGACTAGATTCCCGCCGAGTAGTCTCCTAACATGCTTGATGTTGCTTATTGTCTCTAATCGTTGCTCTATGTTGCTCTCGTTGCTTTTTGTTGGTCTTGTTGCTGTAGGTCTTACACCAAAATACGTACACTACATACACTAACAATACATAATGCTGTGGTACATCTCACTTCCAGCCCTTCCACCACTTTCGTAGTTGGCTTGTTGGTTGTATCAATCATTCAGCTCTCACGTGATCAATACGACTCATCCCGAAAAAGGCAGTCGCTAACCTCAACAGGGTTTAGTGGGGGCTTCTACTGAGGCACCGGTTCTTGCACAAAGCCCCGCGCCTCCTCCATCTTCCTTCAACCTGTATTACTCTTCCTTCTTCCTCTACAACACCCCACGATCGGTCCCCAACGCATTCACATTCACATTCACATACCAAACCACTCACCTCTACTCTACTTAAACAGTTACAACAACTCTTTATCTCTTCATAAAGAAAGTCTTCGTCTCTGTGCAAAAACAACTTACATCAAAACCACACACTTGACAACCCCACCACCAAGACACCAACCCAAGGCTACCCAGGAACACTCGAGTTTATGTCAATCGAAAATCTCAAGACCTTTGGTGAGTTATACTTGCATCGATGAGTGCTTTCCATATCACGACTCGGCCTCGAGTTGTTTTATTCCAGAAACCGCCACTCGTCGTGCAGATGTCTCTGAAAAGAATAGGGCTAACCTTCATGCAGACCCCTTCGCCGAGGCAGACGAAGACACAGGAGAGACCAAACAGTCGCAGAATTACATTCACATTCGTATTCAGCGTACGTCCCTCACCTTCCTTTCTCTTGAGCTGTTCGCCGACGCCACCGGTGGTCGCACAAGCCAAGAAAACCCCGCTGTCCGCATCATCGGGGACAATATGCTGACATCCGTTTGCCACAGAGCGCAATGGTCGTAAAACTCTGACTACAGTTCAGGGATTGCCCAAGAAGTTTGACCAGAAGAAGATCCTCAAGGTCATCAAGAAGAAGTTCGGTGAGTTGCCACTCGTTCCTCCTCGACGATTTTACCCCGCCGTGGCGTGACTTGGGACGTTGGGCTAACATTATCACTAGCTTGCAATGGCACCATTGTCACGGACAATGAGATGGGAGAGGTGATCCAGCTCCAGGGAGACCAGCGCAAGGATGTGCAGGAATTCCTCACCGACAAGAAGGAAGGGCTGGAGCTTGATGTCAAGACCATCAAGGTAAGCTTCAACTTTACCAGATTTCCCCACATATTTGCCACTCAAATACTAACATATCAAAAAGGTCCACGGTTTCTAAGCCCATATATCCCAACCCCTCTCTGTCCCCTCGTTGCGAAGATCGACGACGGAAGTACCGCTAGCCCACCCCATGGTTACTTCTTGCCTGCTTCCAGACAAGTCTGGAGGCTTGATCCGTCGTTTAACGTTTGGGTTCGATTGGGAGGCGTTGGATGATACCCGTATTCTTTATTGAAAGAGAATACCCAAGAAATGGCATAACTTACTGGCTGAAAGCTTCGAGATTAGAGAGCTGAATTTGGTTTCTGATTGATTGCTTGATTGTCGACGACCTCTTTATATTACTTCTTTTGCTTTTTTGCTTCTGCAAAGATGTACCCTCACTGGAGACCATTCGGGCGAACCATTTGCGAGGTTTGAGACTGCCGCCCCCCTCGATTGATGACGAGAACCTGGTGATGGTTTGGCAATATACAATATGGTTTCACTATTTTGACTGTGCCTGATGACTCTTGAACGTGACTGTCGCTGACTGTGGCTGTGACTGTGAATTTATTATTAATTATTCGCCACCCCCTTCCCCTCAAAATTTCCGAAAGTCCTCTTCTCTAGCTGAGACTGTGAATGCCGTCTTCTTATTCATTCATATCCCCTCCCAACCTCTCCTCCTCAAAAACTGTCTAAGAGCCCAAACATAATGCTCCCAGAATACAAGAATTTCGCTAATCGTCCCAAAGTCGCACCCAAATCCCAAGCGTTGCTTCTCAACCATATCTTTGTCTAGTCGCACGCAGATCACCACCACAACAACTGCAACGAATACACTGCGTATATACACCCCTCTCCTCCCCCTCCTCCCCTCCCCTCCCCCCTTTCTCCCCTCTCCCTTTCTCCCCTCACCCCCCCCCAGTACCAGGTCCTATAACTCCCTCCCCACCGGCCCAAGCCCCGTCCGTCTAACAACCTTCTTCCCCACCTCCCACGCCCGTCCCAATAACTGGAATATCGGCGGGACAGGCATGGTATTCACCCGCGAGAGGTGCAGTTGGATGAGCAGAAGGGCCATGCTGGCAAAGGAGGCGAGGGAGAAGATGGAGATTGTCTCGCGGGTTTCGCGGCGGATGTTGATGTGCCGTTGGGTGGTGTGGTAGGCTACTGTTAGGGTCTTGGGGGGGTTAGCTTGGGTGTTCTTGGGGGGAGGGGGGAGGGGGGAGGGGAACGGTGGTTATGGAGAGAAGGGGAGGTGGGGGAGGGTATAATCGAGACGTACGCTGGCAATGCTTATCCAAGCCGGCAACAGCTGCCGTGGGTCTTCACTCCCGCCGGAGAGATAGAGGACCCATGATGTTATGTAGGCGTTTATAGAGTTAATCGTGAGGAGGCGGACGAGGGTTGCTTGGGGGGTGTAGTGGACGAGCCTGCGGGGGGTAAAAGTTAGCTAGGAACGAGAGGCCAGGATGGGGGAGGCGGGAAGGGGGGAAGTGGAAGGGGGAAAGGGAGAGAATGGAGGGGAAGGGACGTACCAACGCGACATGAGGCAGTCCGTGAAAAAGAACGATAGGTAAGCTGATGCACCACACTGTAATCGCAAACTGTTAGCTTCCTGTCCATCCAACAAACGGTGAGCCCACGGCCTCCCGCAGTTGCATATGCAACCCGCACCAACAGCACCCATCTCCAACGTCCTTCCCCACCTCCCTCACACCACCACATATCTCTCAGGACAGGAAATCACTCACCCAAAGTAACGCCAAAAACACCTCCGTAACTCTAAACCTCCTCTCCACGCTCCAAACCCCCCCCTCTCCCTCCTCCCCTTCAACCATCACCTCCCCCACAAACGTCAACAGACATCTCAGCCCCCACCATGCTGCCGGGAGGGTACTGAGCCCGCGACAGATGAGGAGCGGGATATGCCAGTGTGTGTTCACGCCTAGGAGGACGGCGATGGAGGGGTGGAGGACTGATCGGCGGCGGGTGTCCTGACGGGGGTCCTGCCGGCTGGTGGGGGCGGTTGGTTTTTGTTTCGAGGGTTGGTGGGGGGGTTTGCTGCTGGTGGTGGTGGAGAGGGGGAGGCCGGCGGCGGCGTGGTTCGAGTAGGGGGGTGTGGGCGTGGTGGGCGGTTGAGTGATGGGCGGGGAGGGGCGCGAGGGGAAAGGCATATGATGCGGCGCCAGAGGGTTGGGGATTACGGCATGTGCTGCCGCATTGCAGGTTTAGGTGTTGGTGGGAGGATGGTAGGGAGGTGGTTCCAAGGTGCTGGAGGTTGGGTTGACGTTTGTGTTCTGTTGTCAGTCTGTACTAGACCGTTGACACAGTGATTTCTTTTGGGGGAGTGGCAGAATCGTGAAATGCGTTGCGTAAATTTCACAAAGGTCAGTTAAACCATAGGATCCTGGTCATGTGTGTCAGTTGCATTTTAATTGAGCATTGGGAATTGAGAGTTAGTGAACAGATGGTTGTACACGCGCCAGACCGCACTGCGCGGCAGCCAGTCATGTTGCAGCGCGCCAGTTACATCTGTGGAGAATGCTATGTCACATCACCCTCCTAAGCGCTGGCGATTGCACCCCTGTCAACGCAAATAGAGAGCCAGATAAATTGTTACAGTAACTTTTAGTTGCCATCGGCTTGTGAAGCTGGATATGAAGCTGCTAGAGTTAGTATATTAGCTGTATTTCTTTCAGAATCGGGGTTATATTGTTATGGCCCTTAATTAGTCTGGGTCTCATCTTCCGGCCCTCTATGGTGAGGTTCTCCTACCCGCCGGTTGGTGAACCCCCGCGTAACCAGCCCCTCGGTATCCTTTGCTTTCGTAGGCCTTTAATTGCCAGCCACTCGACTGAACTGAACTGCGACCACCATGGATAGGTACATAAGCGAGTTGGTGTGCGGATGTTAGGCCTTCTATTAACTAACCCAACGCCCACAACTGCGACACCACCCCCTCTGCGTCTCGCGCCGGCGTTGTCCCCGCCATACATTTGAATTCAGTTTCGTCTCTACAACTATATCCTACTTGTCTTTGCCTGCCTTTGATTTTAGCGACCTTATATGCTCTATTTAGAATATACGGCGTCATAGGCGGGTGGGTGTACTATTGTCCTTCTAAATCAGTTTAGATCTGTCTGGAGTTGAACCACTTCGAGTATTCACGAGCCAACGACAATGCGGATCGCTTGTCTACAATTTGCGCCTCAGCTTGGAGATGTCGACCAAAACCTCAATCGAGCAGATGCTGTCTTAAGCAAGGCGAACCCAAAGAATATCGACCTTCTCGTGTTGCCAGAGTTAGCGTTCTCCGGTTAGTCAACGTTCTCTTCTATATTTCAGCCTTGCGGATTGAGCCTACTTGATTATAAACTGACTGTTTATAGGCTATAACTTTAAATCATTAAAAGATATAGCCCCCTTCCTTGAACCGACAGCAGCTGGCATTAGTTCTCTATGGGCAAGGACAACAGCCTTAAAATACGACTGTGTGGTGACTGTTGGATACCCAGAGAAGGTGGACATAACACCAAAATGGCCAGCGTAAGTTATTCGAGTGTTAGAAACCAACCGTAACAATTTGACTAACCGTCACTCACTCAGGTCTCCAGAATACTACAGCTCTGCAATTACAGTGAACAAGGAAGGGGAAACAATCGCAAACTATAGGAAGTCGTTCCTGTATTATACAGATGAAACATGGGCGTTAGAAGGACCTGATGGATTTTATGATGGCGTGGTTGAAGGACTTGGGAACGTCGCTATGGGGATATGTAAGTGGCCAACCAAATCATTTGAACGTGAGTTCTAAGAAGCTGTTTATGAATATATGTGCTAACTATGTTTAAACCAGGCATGGATCTGAAGTAAGTTGAGAAGTTAAGACACGTCGATTCTCCTAACACATTTACAGTCCTTATAAGTTTGAAGCACCATGGAGCGCTTGGGAATTTGCGTATCACATTTTACACCGGCAAGCTAACATTGCTATTATCGCCATGGCCTGGGTAACAAGAGAAGATGCAAGATCATACAGCAGAACCCCGAAAGAGCCGGACATGGAAACACTTGCATACTGGGTGGCGAGGCTAGAGCCCCTAATCCGGTGCGAGGACGATGGCGAGATTATTATAGTGCTAGCGAATCGCACCGGTGTCGAAGGCGATGCTGTATACGCTGGTACTAGCGCTGTTCTTGGGATTCAAAGTGGCGAGGTAAAACTATATGGTGTCCTTGGCCGTGGAGAACGTGAGCTTCTTGTGGTCGATACTTCCAATAGACCACAAGCAAAGCTTGTTAGTGATCCCTCTATTCCAGCACGCACCAGAGGGCCAGCTGGACCACTGAGTGGAGGGACCAGCATGCTTGGTGAACACCGGAACGAGTCCTGTGACTCACGTGCGTCCAAAGGAATTCAGAGCTCCTTCGATCCACTGATAGAACCCGAGGACATTCAACCCAGCATTGACGAGATTCTTGCAGGGGGTATTTCAATGTCGCCAGTCGAACCTCTTTCCGCTCACGTTTTCTTCGGCTCCAACCCAACGAAACCAGTAGATAGGCATCCATTGAAATCGACAGCAGCAGAAAATATGCCAGATGGGTCACAAATCTTGAAGTCGAGTAAAGATGAGACCTATCAGGCCCTCAAATCCGCCGTGAACGGCATAAACCGCAAAGATAGCTCGACACCTTCTCCTGAAGCTGATCGCTTTGAACGCCCCTCAAGCCCGAAATCACGCAATGCGAGTAGAACACGACAGGCGGTGCACCAAGAGCAAGCGCTATACACGCATGATCTTGCAGGCGTGGAACTACAGACGAAACGTGCAACCAGCAGGAATGGGATGGGAGGCGTCGAGATGACCAGAGGGCCTGTACCTGGACAGGCGCTGAATTCTTCGAGCCATGCTATGGATATCATTTCAGGCAGTGACCATGAAGGCACAGAAAGTCTGGTCCCTCCCGTAGCATCCGAGATTGGCCTACGGCCCAAGAGTACTGGGTGGTGATATTGGTTATTTACGACACAGCGGGACATTATTTGCATCTGATGCCAGCCTTTTGCATGCTGATCCTCTAATGATGAGTTTGGAGCATGGAGTATTAGTTTGGTACGCCAAATAGCACAATGTGGTAAGGGTTTACAGGGGCTGCATTGACATGGTTCTTGATCTCGTACGGGCTGGGGAAGGGTAACAAGGAATTTATCACTACAAGGAGAATACTTTCATTATTGATTTCCAAGCAATAGTTGCTCTAGGGGCTTTGTTTTGTGGTGGAGGTGGAACGTATGAATAGTAGAACGAGACAGGCTTCCCTGCCTTAGGAGTCTCCCGTAGCCGTCCAGGAATCAATGATGCATCACTTCCATCCTCGCATGCTTTAACTTTTTTATTTAATGATCTCACATATGCATGTCACGTAGCATAGTTCTGTGCCTCAAGTAACCGGGCTCTTATTCCTTTATGGTATGGCTCAGTCATTTCGTCCCATGCAATGCAAATGACCCCAGACCTACCACAGACCCCAAGCAAAACCCAAGTATAACCGAGTCGACGACGCAATGTAACTAAATAAACGTCTCGTAGGCACTGGAAATAGTTAGACATTTGAAGAAACAAGTCCCAAAAGAGATTGACATACACTGGGACGACAGTTTCTGGGATGTTGTCCTTGCATGAAATCGTCCTTGCCTCACGGGGCATCGCCGGCTGCCTCTTCAAGTGGACGTGGGTGCCGTCGGCCTTTGACTTCTTCTTGAGCTCGGCGTTGGCCTTGACGCGGCGGACGAACTCTTCTCTCGAACGGGAAAGAGACACATGCTCGATGCGCAGGTTGACGCGCTTCTCGATATAACGGTGCTTGACCTTCTTGTAGATGATAACTCCGACGGCGCTCTTGGTAACGTTGTACACAACACCGGTCTTTCCGTGGTAAACCTTGTGTGGCATACTATTTGTGAGTTAGAAACAAATTCTCGCCCTGTACGGTCCCTCTGGCCCATATTGTTCCCCCGAATGCCAATGCCACTCACCCCTTTTGAACAGCACCGTTGGCCTTGATATCCACGATGTCTCCGACTTTGTATTGTCTCAAGTATGTGGACAGCTTGATCATTCCCTGGCCAGAATATTAGTATCGCATCGTTCTATATTTATCGAGCTGTTGAATCGCACCTTCTTCTTGAAGTCACGGCTGAACGCATAGCGCGTGCCAGCTCTAAGACCAGCTGGATGACCCATTTTGACGGCGTTACTGAAGGGGTTGTCGTGGGTTTGGTCGGAATTGTCGCTGTCGCTGGAACCGTTGGTGATGCTGTTTCTCGAATTCACAAGACTCTTTGGGTGGGCGAAAACCCTGGGTCTTAGCCCGAACGGGTTAGGGCCACTAAAATCGCACACTCAATTAAGCGAGGATCCACCAATTTCTACGAACGTTCAACAATCCCAGAGCGAACGTGAATTGAGAAGTGTCAACCAACTTTTTCTTCGACAAACAGCAAAATGGCGCCGTAAGTTCTCTTGCTTGCCTCAATCATTCCCAGATTGCCATAAAGATCTGAAGCTGACATGGAACAATAGACGCTCGTACTCGAAGACCTACAAGGTCCCAAGGCGTCCTTTCGAGTCTGCTCGTCTGTATGTACACTCCGGCCACTGAACATGAGCGTGCTCTGTTCATGTCGTTTGTCAATCGACTGACCCCGTTTCAGTGACTCCGAATTGAAGACCGTTGGAGAGTATGGTCTGCGCAACAAGCGCGAGGTGTGGCGCGTGCTGCTCACCCTCTCGAAGATCCGTCGTGCTGCCCGGTACGTGCATACTACAACGATAATTATACTGGAAGCTAATTCATCGCGATAGTCAACTTTTGACCTTGGACGAGAAGGACCCAAAGCGCCTTTTCGAGGGTAACGCTCTGATTCGCCGTCTCGTTCGCGTCGGTGTCCTCGACGAGTCCCGCATGAAGCTCGATTACGTTTTGGCCCTTAAGGTCGAGGATTTCCTGGAGCGCCGTCTTCAGACTTGCGTCTACAAGCTTGGCCTTGCCAAGTCCATTCACCACGCCCGTGTTCTCATCCGCCAAAGACACATCCGTGTTGGCAAGCAAATCGTCAACGTTCCATCTTTCGTTGTCCGCCTCGACTCCCAGAAGCACATCGATTTCGCTTTGAACTCGCCATTCGGCGGTGGCCGCCCTGGCCGTGTCCGTCGCAAGAAGGCGAAGGCTGCGGAGGAGAAGAACGGTGGAGATGATGCTGAGGAGGATGAGGAGTAAATCAAGACTCATGTTATATGTGGGTTTTAGCCATTGCGCGGAACTTTAGGCACTGCTCATCTGGAATCGACTGTAATATCAGTTCGAGGAGTTAGCAAAATATCCAACGAAGGCTTCATCAAAATTCCACGTTTTCCATGGTCAGCCTAAATAGCTTCTGACCTTTTATATCTCAAGTGATTTTCCATACAACGCCAGTAGACCACCTGGCGGCGTAGACCAATATGGTGGGTGACCATGATCAGCTTTATGACGGGATTGTTCTGGTGTAAACGTATAAATTCATTGCTGCATTTGCAGACCACCTACATGTTTTTGGCGGTCATATTAACATTTTTCTATTTACTAATCCCAATCACCAGCTGCTCCAACTGTTCCTGCTTCATACAACTGTGATATGGTTCACAAATAGAGCGAAACACTTATCTAATATACACTGATAAGAGCGCCTTTCAGATTGCATTTTATTCCTGGGTGGGCTTCTTAGACTCCGAACAGCTCACCATGGCACTCCTCAACGACTGACGCTAAATATATCCAGAATTACACCCCGGCATTTAAATTACAAAAGCTTATCCTTGCCTAGTAGGTGAGCCATGGGGTCGTTTGGAGCTGCCCGTTTCCGCCGATACTCGTCCATATCCTCTTCTGTCACATCGCCTTTCATCTCCTCCAATGTGCGCTTCTTCGTAGCATCTTGGCTTGCTGGGTCCTTGTTGGCTGATGCTTCCGCTTCCGACTCAGCGCGTTCCGGCCGGCCGGTTATTTTCAAGGGCGCAGCTTCTCTTTCAAGAGCCCCGCCAGTACGAAGATGATCTGCTTCGTGGAACGCCGCCTTCCCTGCTTCGCCTGTGCAGTAGCTATTCTTGACTATTGAATGACAACAAGCATAGCCCCATTTGAAATTTGACCACCAGCTACCCCATACAGCAGCATGGTTATTAATTAAAACATCTTCCGCATATTTTGATTTTGCTACTGCTTTCGGTGCCCCTTTAAGTGCGCCGGTTTCGTCGTACTCAACAAATCTTTCGGACTCGGTAACAGCAGTGTCGCGAAGGCCTTCGGGTACAGTACTTCCTGAAGCACCGTACTTCTCCTCTAGCATCTTCTTTTGAAGCAATCGCTTCTTCTCAGCCTCTTCACGCTCCTTTCTCCTATAATATTCGCCAGAGGTGGGGTTTGCTTGGAGATGCTGCTTTGTATCGCCAGCCTTTTCTTGAGACTCCCAGGCATATTTCTGTGCCTTCTCAAACTCCGCAGCGTCGCCAGATGATCTCATAAACCCTTCCTCTGCCACGAGTGCAGCGGCAGTATCTGCTGTTGCTCCACTATCCACCATGGACCTTGTCTTAGGGTCATATTTTGCAGAGTCTAAATCGAGGTTCAGTAAATATTTTGCGGTATCCTCTCGAATGCGCAACTGTCTCGTCGATGTGCTTTGGTGCCTTCCCATGTCGGATTCCTCCGCGTACTTTGCGCCGTCATCAGCTCCAGTTTCTCCTTCGTCTGCTGCTTCATTTGCCACGGATTTCGTCCTCAACTCTTCTAACTGGGCATATTCCTCGATAACCGTCTTATACTCCTTCGAGTCATATCCATTCCAACGATCTCGCTTTGCATCCCAACCCAGATTGACATCTTGTATAACTTCATCGGCTTGGATGTCGAGCCCTGTCCACTTTGCGCCTTTCGCCCTTGGCCGACTAAGGCACTCCTTCGTCTTATGTGTTATAGACCCGCAGTTCTCGCATGCACCCTTCCTAAACTTTGTCGCCGCAGGGCCTAGCTTTTTGCCTCTATCATACCACTTTGACTGGTCGGATTGCGCCTTCTGTAGCCGCTGGTGTTCGAGGTAGTCGTTCTGGTCATCTTCCCCAATGTAGAATGGCTTTTTGGAGATGAAAGACGGGATATATTCGTTGGCTTCTTTCGAAGCAGCGGATGGCGCCGGAGGCTTAAGTGGCTGAGTTCCGGCAGGTGGCATTTTTAAGGAGATATGTCTGAGTCTGGGTTCAAACTGCCTCGTCGTGTATTTGTCGCCTCAAGGATCATATGGGCGTCCGACCTGGGATATAATCGGTACTTATCAGCACGTGATTTCGAGTTTCAATTGATAAGGACGAACGCGTCGCGCCACACAAGCACATTCAATACTACAGAGCCCAGTTCAAGTATGGACTTATAACTTGATAACCTCGTTGCGAGGTTCTCGGGATGGATCTGTTCAGGGTGCGACTGAACTGTATTGACCATTATCAAGCGTTCCCAACTCGATTTGACCCTCAACTCCGCCGTGATGTGGCCCCTTCTGAGATCACCAGTGAACCAAAAGTGCCTGTCATCAGAGTCTTCGGGACTACCGAAACAGGCCAAAACGTTTGTGCCCATATACATGGCGCATTCCCATATCTCTACATTGACTATAATGACCAGATTACATCTGATGAAGGTAAGTCCTCAGCCGCCCTGGATAAGCTAGGATAAAGTCTTATTGTGATATTAGTTGGTGCCTACATCCACAGACTCCACCTTTCGATTGATCACGCACTTGCTGTGAGTTATCGCAGGGGCGCGTATGACCGCAGAACAAGGTTTATTGCTCGTATAACGCTGGTAAAAGGTGTTCCATTTTACGGTTATCATGTTGGATATCAGTATTACCTCAAAATCTATGCCTTAGACCCAGTGGTTATGACTCGTCTTGCCGACCTCCTCAGGCAAGGTGCTATTATGAAACGAGTGTTCCAACCCTATGAAGCGCATTTGCAATTTATCATGCAATGGATGACTGACTACAACCTATATGGTTGCGGCTATATCGACAGCCGACAGGTATACTTTAGAGGGCCAGTTCCAAAGTATGAGGAGCTAGATAAGCTATCACACCTCTGGCACGATCGTTCTATTCCTGCCGAGTTTGTGACAAGCGAAGCCAAGCTCCCGAGGGCAAGCCATTGCTCTCTCGAGGTGGATATCCTGGTCCAAGACATTCTTAATAGGCAGGAAATTTCCCAGAGACCGCTCCATCATGATTTCATTGAGCGGTCAAATCCGCTTCCACCGGATCAAAAGCTGGTCCACAGCATGTCGGAATTGTGGAGAGATGAAACCAAGCGTCGCAAAGCCAAAATGAAAGTTGCAGAACCTGGAAGCAACACATTCCCCCCTGAAGTTTTAATCTCAATGTCTGCTGGTCCCCGAAGCTCTCAGAAAGGGCGGTGGGTGCACGAGGAAGAGTACATGGAGCTGGTACATACCAGGATACAGGAAGAACGAGCCAAGAGCGATGGATGCAATATATCCTTCGACACATACATTAAGCCAAAGCCGGACGAGGATGATATTAATACTACTTTCCAATCTGTGGAAGACCTCTATCCCGAAAATCTTGGTCCAATTCTTGGCCTGCTGCCCGAGAAACTTCCAGTACTTCCAAAGGAAGACTTCATAGCTGGGGATATCGAAGTCGACGAGAACTGCATCTTCAACATATCCGATGATAATGAGTTCCCATATGATTCAGATGACGGCCTCCTATGTGACATTGAACAGTCGCAGGAGAAAAAGGATAATATTATCTCACCACCCATCGTGGCGACTAGCGGTTTCAAAGCCGAGCGTACAGTTGACCACGACTCTGTGCCACTGAACAATTCGCCAAGGGTGCTCAAATCTGAGGATCTATCTTCGCCTATAGAACCGGACGATAGAGAGCATCCCATAAAGGCACGGATTTATGAGCCTAGAAGAGAGGCGACCCCTACTTCTGCTCTAGAGCTTGCTTCTTCAAACGCTACGGCTGAAGACCTGCTCCGAGATATGAAGGTGGCAACGCCACTGGGAGGAAGCAAGACAACAAGTCTTAAGCGATCAACGTCTCTCATCCCCTCTGATGAAGGGTACAACAAACGTTCTAAATTCGACTCTGCTATTGCGCCGATCCAATCGACGTCCTCAGCTGCTGAATCGCGCCCTATAGTTAACCACCAAGCACTTTCAGGGTATGATATCATGGCAAAAAATGGAAGCTGCAATATCAGAAAATTGGGCAACATACCTTCGGAAAGAGATCAGCATAACTTACCGATGTTGCCAACTGTCAATGGCCTTTCTCATACTCTGAACCAGGGCAAAAGACTGGTGCACCGCAATGTCGACAGTGGTAAACTGGACCCCCAGCCTCTTCCAAATTCAGAGCCCATAAATCAACAAGAAATAGACACGGTGTTTAGGCGTTCACAGTACCGTTCTTCACAAGACCAAGGAGATACTTCCTTTAATGAAAACAAAAATCTGCTCGCCGTTACATCCCGTTCAATACAAACCCAACTCGAATCAGAAGCACATCGCATTGCATCCCCTAGTGAGCAACAACTTAAGCTTGTATCAAGTATAACTTGGGACTTAAGGAACACAAACTGGGTCGCTCAAAGTAAACCTGTCGCGGCTTTCGCCAAATCACCGCCCTTGAAAGAAACAGTCATCCCAAGCCTCCATCCACCTGTCATATATCAAGATCCTTACTATGGCAATGAGCTAGATGTACCCGAGCGACCTACAGAATGGGCAGGCAAAGAGTTTAAGCTTGAGAGTTTGACTGTCCCGTTTCTTCCAGATTTCGACAAAACAGGTAGCTCGGCTGCTAGTTTAGGGGAAAAGCCTGCAATTGTACATAACAAACTAAGTGAAAACCATGTATATGAACATCGGCAGCGACGGTGCAGACTACGAGTTTGGGAAATTGGAAGGCCACCGCCAGCATTTAACGATGTAGCGGATTGGGAACGTAGGGAGATCTTGGCGAAAGCAAAGTCAAGAGCCCTGAAGTCAAGCGGACAACCTGGCACGAAACCTGAAAACAGTTCCCACTCACAAATTGAGGGCCCGACACAGACGAATAAGCACGGGTTTCAATATAACCAGCCACATAAAACATCAACCATGCAAAACAGTGTGCAGTATATGAGTGTAATGAGTCTCGAAGTTCATATCAATACCCGGGGAAATTTAGCCCCGAATCCACAAGAAGATGAAATACAGTGCGTGTTTTGGAATCTTCAGTTGGGTGAAGAGCATCCTGATAATCTCGGAACTGGCGGAGTTAGCCATGCAGGAATCGTTGCTGTGTCAGAGGATGGCCAAACGGCGAGGAACATAGCAAAACAAACTCCAATACAAGTTAACGAAGAGTCATCGGAGCTTGACCTCCTCGTTCGAATCGTCGAAATTGTAAGAACGAATGACCCGGATATTCTCACGGGCTATGAAGTTCACAATTGCTCATGGGGCTACTTGGTTGAACGAGCAAAGTTGAAGTATGAGTATGATCTCTGTGAAGAGCTTTCTCGCATGCGCACACACTCTCGTGGGTATTCCGAAAAAGACAGCGATAAATGGGGATCTAGGCATACCTCTGCGATCTCAGTGACAGGACGTCACATGATAAACATATGGCGAGCCATGCGGAATGAACTCAACCTGCTGCAATACACCATGGAGAATGTGGTATTCCACCTGCTACATCGCCGAATTCCCCACTATGCCTGGCGAGATTTAACTATGTGGTACACCAGTGGAAAATTCGCAGACCTAGCGAAGGTCATTGAGTATTATTTGCGTCGGGTGCAGCTTAACCTCGCAATATTGGACCAAAATGAACTTATTACAAGGACCAGTGAGCAAGCACGTTTGTTGGGCGTGGATTTTTTTTCTGTGCTTTCAAGAGGCTCGCAATTCAAGGTGGAATCTCTTATGTTCCGAATTGCTAAACCAGAAAATTTCGTATTAGTGTCTCCCAGCCGAAAACAAGTTGGTGCACAAAATGCATTGGAGTGTCTTCCACTGGTTATGGAGCCTCAGAGCGCCTTTTATACCAGCCCGTTACTGGTGCTAGACTTCCAGAGCTTGTATCCAAGTGTGATGATCGCCTACAATTATTGCTATTCGACATTCCTGGGGCGAATTGTGAACTGGCGTGGCGGGACTGGAAAAATGGGCTTCACCGAATATAAGCGACAAGATCGGTTGCTGGAGTTGTTGAAGGACTTCATCAATATCTCTCCAAATGGGATGATGTACACCAAACCCGAAATTCGAAAATCTCTGCTCGCAAAGATGCTGGGAGAAATCCTCGAGACCCGAGTCATGGTTAAGAGTGGGATGAAATTTGACGTGAACGACAAAACCACTCAAAAACTTTTAAACAATAGGCAACTAGCGCTGAAGTTAATAGCCAACGTTACTTACGGCTACACATCGGCGTCTTTTTCAGGCCGCATGCCCTGTGTGGAAATTGCAGATAGTATTGTCCAGACTGCACGCGAGACGCTGGAGAAGGCGATTGCCCTCGTACACTCGGTCAAGCGTTGGGGCGCAGAAGTTGTCTATGGAGATACGGATAGCATCTTCATCTACCTCAAAGGAAGAACCAAGGACCAAGCATTTGACATTGGGAATGAGATTGCGGAAAGGGTTACAAACATGAACCCTCGACCAGTTAAGCTGAAATTTGAGAAAGTATATCTTCCCTGTGTGCTTCTGGCAAAGAAGCGATACGTCGGCTTTCAATATGAGAAAAAGGACCAACAGGAACCGAAATTCGATGCCAAAGGAATTGAAACCGTTAGACGTGATGGCACTCCAGCTGAACAAAAAATCGAAGAGAAGGCGTTGAAGATTCTTTTCCGGTCTGCTGATCTCAGTCAAGTTAAAAGCTACTTTCAAGCACAGTGCGAGAAGATAATGACAGGCTCAGTGTCAATCCAGGATTTTTGCTTCGCGAAAGAAGTGAGACTTGGAACTTATAGCGATAAAGGGCCTCCGCCGCCTGGTGCACTTATCAGTATAAAACGCATGTTGGAAGACCACAGAGTTGAGCCCCAGCATGGTGAGCGAGTTCCATACGTAGTCATTACTGGAGCGCCAGGCGCAAGACTAATTGATCGATGCGTCGCTCCCGAGACGTTACTACAAAGCGACCACAATGAGCTTGACTCCGAGTACTACATTTCAAAAAACTTGATTCCTCCATTGGAGCGAATATTCAGCCTTGTGGGTGCGAACGTTCGCAGTTGGTACGACGAAATGCCCAAGGTCCAACGGGTCCGGCGCGTAGATTTCGGCCCGCAACTGACCGGCCAGCCAGCGGATGTTCCATTCAATAAAAAGACATTGGAATCATACATGAAGTCGTCGTCGTGTCTCGTTTGTCGAGACAAGCTCGAATCCAACACTGGTATCTGCCCAACATGCCTTGGAAATCGCCCATCATCTATATTGGCTTTGCAGACCAGGCTAACCGCTATGGAAAGGAAGTATCAGGAACTGGAAAGAGTCTGCCGAAGCTGCTCCAATATATCCTGGACTGATGAGGTTATTTGCGACAGCAAAGATTGCCCGGTGTTTTATTCGCGAGTGAAAGAAAAGGCGAGGCTTACGACAGAGCGGAAAGTTGCTGGGCGTCTGATGGAGAGACTGCAAGGAGATAGTGGCGGCCATGAAGACCTGGAATGGTAATTTGATACATACGTGCAAGGCCCTCAAGCCAAATGTGCACTCTCACAGTTTATCTTGGCATTAACAACCCCGCCAACATTCTGAGACTACAGGGCCAGTAATAATAGTACTGCGAAGTTATGCCCAGCTGATATGTAGCGCACCTTTCGAGTTAAATTATATAACTTGGGATACTTCTTGTAATTTAATCATAATACACACAGCCTCCCCAATTTGGCGCGCGTTTAATCGTTTGAGAAGCATTTGAGACTGACGGACTAGCTCACTTAAAGCCTACCCCGCTACCCAGGTCGTTCTGAATAATGTCGCTAAACTTCATTGGTCAGCGTCGGCCGTGCACCCGCCTTGCACCCACCACCTCAACTTCAGATGACACCTTGCTGGCTGAGGAGGATCTTCCTACCCGACGTGCGTCATCGCCAACCCCACGTAACCTCTATCTGGGCTGTGCGTGTAGTCCGAGACGCCTATTGATAGACCATGATGGGAGGAGTCACCTATTTCCTTCTCGTCTATCTTCTTGGTGGCCTTACCTTTCTTCCCTTCCTCGTTGTGGTCCTCATCCTACACGCTTACCTGACATTCCCCGTCCGCGAGACCACGACAGAGGTGCCAGGAGCACCGAGAAGCAACGGCCTTTTGCGGGATGGCGACCGAGCGGATGCTATCAGATCGGCTTCCAAGAATTTGGACGAGAAGTTTCAGTCTCGCAGCTCCCAAGAGTCTGACGTAGCTGCTGGGTATTTCGCCGTTTGCCGCGAATATGTCCCTGGAGGCATTAATGGCAAACCGCCGGAGAGAACAACTCCTACGGGCTCTACAGTTGTCACTTCACCGAGCCCAAGTGTATACCAAAGTATGTACCGCAGCATATTCGACCGAAGAAAGGACACAAATCCATTGGATATCAAGGGCGCCGGGAAGCCAACCAGTAAAGGCGGAAATGTATTTTATGTTGTGTTAAGGTATGGTTATAAATTGGAACAGCAATACATTTTTTTTACGTGGACTGTAGCTAATAATTTGCTAGGCATCAACATATCCTACTCTTCGACACTGAGGAACAACTCGAAGTCCGCTATGTGCTATCCCTGGCACACCACGATGTCAGTATATATGGCGGAGGCGAGGAAATACCAGACGGGGAGCTTTTTATCAAGCGAAATGCCATATGCTTGACCCGTAGAGCCGACGTTGGAGAAATGACGCCCGACGGAACACCTTCGAAACCTTTTTATCTATTTACCGATAGTCTTTCTGAGAAGGAAGACTTCTATTTCGCATTACTGAAAAATATGCAAAAACGACCTGAAGATTCAAACAATGTCCCCAAGCCTCTACAGTTCGATGTCAAGCACATTATTGAATTGGTTCAACGGCTACATTCATCCGAGGAGAATATGCAGATACGGTGGTTCAACGCTGTCCTAGGAAGAATATTCCTCGGCATTTACAAAACGCCGGATGTCGAGGCCTTTATTAGAGCCAAGATTACCAAAAAGATATCGAGAGTGAAGAAGCCTGCATTTCTGTCCAAGATTATCATTCGAAACATTGATATGGGTGAGGGGGCCCCATATATCACTAATCCGCGTTTAAAAGACCTTACCGTCGACGGCGACTGTACGATTGAAGGCGACATGCTTTACACAGGTAATTTCCGCGTTGAAATAGCCGCAACTGCAAGGATAGAACTCGGCTCAAGGTTCAAGGCCAGGGAGGTAGACTTAGTCTTGGCGGCTACCGTTCGCCGCGTTGAGGGGCACATGCTTCTTAGAATTAAGCCGCCACCAAGCAACCGTCTTTGGATGACTTTCGAGACCGCTCCACGAATAGATATGTCTATCGAGCCAATTGTCAGCTCCAGACAAATTACCTACACTCTGATTCTCCGCCAGATAGAGAACAGGATCAAGGAGGTCATTGCTGAGTCCATTGTTATGCCATTTTGGGACGACCTTGCGTTTTTCAATACGGATGGAAAAAAGTGGCGAGGCGGTATCTGGACAGACAGCGAACTGTCTCGGCCATCACAACCCCTTGAAACAATAATTGCCGAGGATGGAGATGTAGACGAGCTGGAGCAAATAGAAAACCAAACGTCTTCTCCGCCTCTTCCGCCGCTGGGGAAGAGCATGAGTACCCCCGCGCTGGAAACCAGCCCACATGTAGAGTCTTTTGCTCGGAAAACCGCGAAGTCGGTCTTCAACATGGGGCCTTCCAAAAAGAATGCTTCGTCTACAAGTGTCGAAACAAAGTCGTCGGTGACTTCTAATAAGCCAAAATCCATCAGGAAGCACTCATTCGCGAGTGCTGTTGTAAGCACCGATAATACCAATATCGACGCGCTCAAGCTCGAAAGCCCTTCAGACCACAGTGCAGCGGCTTCTACCATGGCTGCTCTATCAGCAAGGTCGCCTCCACCTTCAACAACGGCCAGCCCTGTTGGGTCTCCGTCTAAGCCTTCAAGTATATTGAAAACAAAGTCTGGCAGTATGTCGTCGTTTTCCTCACGAGAAACAGATAGTGTCGAATGTGCTGGACTCGACTCCACAATTTGTGATGAATTGAGAGCAGCAGATGGAGAGAGCCTCAAAATAAACCAGCACAAAGGCGAAGCATCATTGGCAGAAAGCCCTAGCAGCCTATCCGATAGTTCTCACGCTGAGTCTATACGCCCTTCTCGCCTAGGAATTATCGGCCAAGACGCAAATGGTTCACTGAACGTGGTGGAGGATTCAGAAGCCGGAGCTAGTGTTAGCAGAGGATCAACCTCAAAACGGAATACTCTTAGCGCAGTCGCCAGTGCAGCTGAAAACGCTCGAAAATGGGGGTTAAACGCGCTACAAAGAAGCCGTGACCAAACAAAGCTCTCCATGGCTTCTGAACTTGGGAGTGAAACACCCGATTTGACACAGCCAATGGGTCGCGGGAAACCATTACCGCCTCCTGGCACGCCTTTACCTCCTCCAGACAGAAGGACCAAAACTGCGCCTATCCCAGTTCCAAAACGCAGACCACTCCCTCCTCCACATATGGCCCGACAACCGTCTGAAGTCAAGGCTCGAAGGTCTGCATCTTCCAACATGTCCCATCAAGCCCCACCACTACCTAAGCGGCATTCTCGCAATGACAATGCCGTCTCACAGGAAGGTGTACTTGTCGTCGCAGCTCCAGACTCTGAGCCGGTGTCCCCAACAGACGACTCCGCAAATACTCATATTTCTCATTGGGAAGGCGGCGACAATGATGACGAAGCCCACGGTCACTCTAGCACACCCGCAAAGGAAGGTCCTCTCTTGCCCGCAAATGTACTAGAAGATACCGAGAGCCTGCACAACCCATCCAGCAGGGATGGAAGCACCGGAATTTCTGAATGTTAGAAATTGTATAATCAAGTACATTTTGATCGACCTTTGGAGGGTTCCAAAGTATGCCCTGTATTGCGCCACGAAGCCTCGACCCTTTACTCCGGCGATACACTTCACTGCGATCTTATTGTCAACCTGTGCCTGGATAAACAACTCCAACGGGATCCTCGCCACCTTTTTGCGGTGATGCTATTATTTCATACTCGTCGTCATGCCAATCAGCTTGTTTCCGCTTGACCTTGGCCACCAGGGAAACTATTGACTTTCGCAGACATTCGATCAGATATTCCCACCATCAGGCTCCTTGGCAAGTTCCATTTATATATAACGGAGCACCACTTGCAAGTAGTCTATGTTACAGAGTCAATGAGTGAAGCTAGATGGAAAGCAATCCCCACACAGACAAAACCGACTATTCTGGTTGTGTTTATCTCCTCCGACTTCTTATCATTAAATACCTTATAGTGAGTGGTAGTAAGAGCTACTCTGGCAAGAGACGTTTGGGGGTTTCGTCAAATAAATATATACTATAACAGTGAAATGATAATAAATCGTACTCCAGTACTAAGATAGCCCTTGGATTTTCATAAAGTCTCCTCCAAGGACCTCGTTATTGGTGGTTGTGACATTTTCTTGGCTTACTGCCCACTTGTACCTGGAGATTACGTGGAGAGGCGAATAATTGGCCTGCCCCACACCCCGTCATGGATACCGGAGCTTGCCGTTTGAGCCTCGCTCCTAAGTTTACGTATTGCGCGGCCTCACTCACGGAGACAGTATAAGCAAACTGCGGCAGATTATATCCCTACCTTCCATTCCTTTGTTGGTATACTGCGCTTTATTTTCTGTGCGCGGGTGTGTCCGCTGCTGCAGTTTCAACATGTCACTACAAACAGCAAGACACGTTGACAATGCGAAGTCTGTTACCCCCAATCTTGTTGCCTTGGTAGATCTCTAACAGAGGTTTAAATCGTCCTGAAGTTAAACTAATTTAAATGCGATATAGGTCTGAGAGCGAACTGGCTATCAATATCCGAAAAGCCACCAGCATTGAGGAATCGGCACCCAAACGAAAGCATGTGAGGAGTTGTATTGTGTATACATGGGACCACAGGAGCTCCCAGTCCTTCTGGGCTGGGATGAAGGTGTGAGTACAATATGATATCAGCCACGGGTCTACTCTGTTTTAGATGATGAGATGCCTCTGTGGCCGTCGTTGTTTCATTTGCTAATAGTGACAAACTGTAGGCAACCTATACTCGCGGACGAGATTCAGACATTCAAAGCACTCATCACAGTACACAAAGTTTTACAAGAAGGGCATCCCATAACACTTCGGGAATCTATGGCAAATCGAAGCTGGATTGACAGCTTGAATCGCGGAATGTCTGGAGAAGGCCTCCGAGGCTATGGCCCGTTGATCAAAGAATACGTCTACTTCCTGCTTGCAAAGCTCACCTTTCACCAACAGCATCCAGAATTCAACGGCACTTTTGAGTATGAGGAGTACATCAGCTTAAAGTCAATAAATGATCCAAATGAGGGGTATGAGACGATTACAGACCTCATGCAGCTACAGGACAAGATTGAGCAGTTCCAGAAGTTAATTTTCTCTCATTTTAAGAGCGGCGCAAACAATGAATGTCGGATTTCAGCCCTGGTACCACTGGTTCAGGAGAGCTACGGGATTTACAAGTTTGTTACAAGTATGCTTCGCGCAATGCATACAACAACTGGTGACGATGAAGCTCTGGAGCCTCTACGGGGCCGGTACGATGCTCAGCATTATCGGTTGATTAAGTTCTACTATGAGTGCTCCAATTTGCGATATCTCACAAGCCTAATAACAGTTCCCAAACTGCCTCAAGACCCGCCAAATCTCCTTGCCGAGGACGAAAACGCACCTAGCTTGCCACAGCGCCCAAAGCAGGAGGTGGAACGCCAACCAACACCTGTCGCTGCACCAAAAAATGAAGAGCCTGATGACATCAGTGAGTTCTGGAAGAACGAACAAAATCGCCAACAGAAGGAGTACGAGGAGCAACAGAGAGTATTGGAGGAAAGGCAGGCTCAACAGCTCTACGCACAGCAGCAGGCAGCTTTGCAAGCTCAACAAAACTTTGAAGAGCAGCAGCGCCAACTTGCCGAGCAGCAACGCCGAGAACAAGAGGCGCTGATGCAGCAACAGACACAATGGCAGACCCAAGGACGGCTGGCAGAGCTCGAACAAGAAAATTTGAATGCGAGGGCACAGTACGAACGTGATCAGCTGATGCTGCAGCAGTATGATCAGCGCGTAAAAGCCCTCGAAAGTGAACTGCAGCAGATCCAAGCCAGTTACGGTCAACAAATTACGAGCAAAGACGACCAAATCAAGGCATTGCAAGAACAGCTGAACACATGGCGAACAAAGTACGAAGCTTTGGCCAAACTGTACTCACAGCTGCGAACAGAGCATCTTGATCTCCTCCAGAAGTTCAAGTCCGTGCAACTCAAGGCAGCTTCAGCACAGGAAGCCATTGACAAACGGGAGAAGCTTGAACGCGAAATCAAGACGAAGAACCTCGAGCTTGCAGATATGATACGCGAACGAGACCGTGCGCTACATGAAAAGGATCGGGCGAGCGGTGGAAACCGAGAAGAGCTTGAAAAGCTGAAACGAGAACTCCGTATGGCTCTTGACCGTGCTGATAATGCAGAGCTTAGCAAGGGTAACGAGCTCTCTTCTATGCTTTCAAAGTACAACCGTGAGATGGCCGACCTTGAAGATGCCCTCCGGAAGAAGTCGCGTGCTCTCGAGGACATGTCAACCAAATACAGGGAAGGCGATAGTGACCTCGAGCAGTTGCTTAGAGAAAAGGAAGATGAGCTGGAGATCATGAAGATGGGAATGGACCAAACTTTGATTGAACTTAATGAGCTCAAGCTATCCCAAGGAGAAACTGACCATGCTTTAGATGGTCAGATTGATGCAGTGTTACTTTCTAACATTGCGAAGATCAATGACATCATTGATTCTGTCCTTCAGAGTGGTGTCCAACGTGTAGACGACGCTCTCTATGAGCTTGACTCCTCGATGCAAGCGGGAAACCAGAATGCATCTCCGTCATACGTGCTATCACAGGTCGAGAAAGCCTCTGCGAGTGCGACTGAGTTTGCGACTTCTTTCAATAACTTTATCGCCGACGGCCCTAATAGCACACATGCGGAGATTATCCGCACCACCAACGTCTTTGCTGGCTCTATTGCAGATGTCCTGAGCAATACCAAGGGACTCACAAGGCTGGCCACGGACGACAAGAAGGCCGACCAACTAATAAATGCAGCCAGACAATCTGCTCAATCCACAGTTAAATTCTTCCGTGGTCTCCAGAGTTTTCGTCTGGATGGGATGGACCCTATGCAGAAAACTGACGTCGTCATCAATAATAACAACGATGTCCAGATGAACTTGCAAAAGCTGAACAAGCTTGCTGACTCATTTGCACCGAGCAGCGGGAGACTGGCTAACAATAAGGGTGACTTGGGAGATCTTGTCGACAATGAACTCACCAAGGCCGCCGATGCCATCGCCGCAGCAGCAGCACGCCTGGCCAAGCTTAAGAATAAGCCCAAGGATGGATACTCGACATACGAGCTGCGAATTCATGACTCAATTCTCGATGCCGCATTAGCAGTTACGAATGCCATCGCGCAGCTAATCAAGGCGGCCACCGCAACCCAGCAAGAGATTGTGCAAGCTGGTCGGGGATCCTCGTCTCGCACTGCCTTTTACAAGAAGAACAATCGCTGGACTGAAGGTCTTATCTCTGCTGCAAAGGCTGTGGCGAGCTCCACAAACACTCTGATTGAAACTGCAGACGGAGTCCTGTCCGGTCGCAATAGCCCTGAACAACTTATTGTTGCATCAAACGATGTTGCAGCCTCCACTGCGCAACTCGTAGCTGCGAGCCGAGTCAAGGCTGGATTCATGAGCAAGAGCCAAGAGACACTGGAGACAGCTAGCAAGGCAGTCGGTGCCGCGTGCAGAGCGCTTGTCAGGCAAGTACAGAGCATGATCAAGGACCGTGACCAAGACGAAGAACGAGTTGATTACGGCAAGTTGGGAGCGCACGAGTTCAAGGTCAGAGAAATGGAGCAACAGGTAAGATTCCGAAACCCGCTTTAAGAAAACGCCATGATGCTAACCGTCGATAGGTTGAGATTCTGCAACTCGAGAATAATTTGGCCTCTGCGAGACAGCGGCTGGGCGAGATGAGGAAGATCTCGTATCAAGAATGAGAAGGCAGGTGCAGTATGGGCTGGATGAATGGGAGCAGTAGAAAGAGGACTTTGTACATGCGCAAGACGCGGTTAATGTACAGAATTATTTACAAGGCCTGGGACATGTATAGTAGCCCTATTGCCCGATGTTCTCTTGACTCGACTTTCCCTTGACTTTACGTGGCTTCCCCATGACTTCCTCTCGACTTACCCTGACTTTTCTCTAACTTTCCCTGGCTTTCAGCGGCTTTCCTTCGATTTTCCCAGCCCCTCCCCCCTGGCAACACCTTTCCCTCAATATCCGCTTCGCAGTCAAATGTTAAGCTCAGGCGGTGAAACGGATCGCGCTATTCCTAAACAGGAAATATTTCAAGAATTACATCAGGGTCCAAACCTTCGATCGTTCCAGCATTCGCTCCACCCCTTCCCACCGTACGCCGTACTTATGCAGGACGTACCGAATCAACAGTTCAAAGTTCTGGAGTACGAAGCACTGAGTTCCGAGATGGAGCGGGACAAAGGACATGTCAGATCTTTCGATGCACGCTAGCACGATGTGACCCTTCCTTCGCATCTCTGCAGGGTCTGGCCGGGGTTGGGCCAATAGTGTATCGGGCGACAAGTCTCTTTATTGGGACAACCAACCTGCTGTGGTGTGATGCCTCATGCATTGCGGCAAAGATCTACGCGTTGCCAAGACCATAAAAGCGGCGTGTGTGTGCTGAATGGTGGTGGGGGTTTATGATGATTTCCGGTTTGGGGAGAAGGAAGCACACAGTAACAGTAAATTTGGGACCTGGCATCGGGAATAAGGAGAATATCAGAGGGGAAAGTTGTTGGTTGGTGCTGGATGGTGGTGGGAATGGCGGGAATGGTGGATCGACGGTGGAGGGACAAGGTGCGGGAAGGAACTGACGGTGTGGTTGGGTGGAGACTGCCCCACGACTGATCCGGAAAAGTGTTGTGGGACAGGGTTGCAGCTAGATTCCTTGGCGTACTTCTTTATCTGGACGTCACTTCTCACATTGAAAACATGATGCAAGGGCACGAATAGAATCCTGATGTTTCATAGTTCGAGGTCGTCAGCTAAAACGACCAAAACATTTCTAGCACTCTGTGGCGAGCGCTTTTTAGAACGAATCCTCCAGCGCGTAGCTTTCGCTGCGTTCGATAGCTGACAGAAGTTAGCGGGGGAAGAAGTGTGGTAGTCAGCAGAACAAACGTACATGGTAGCTGGATCAGTGGGCGCGTATAGCCCAGGCTTGCCAGGTATTCAGTTGTCTCTGCTGGATTGCTGGTCAAAAGCGTTGTAGTACTCGTTGTCCATTCCATTTTCACGGCAGTTGTATATCTAAATCCGTTCGTCGTGCAACTGTATGCGAATAGACCTCTCTTCCCAAGTGGCCAGTTTTAATTTAATTATTGTCATTAAAACCATATCCCATATTATTCTGACAATTCATACTCCTCTGGTCCTGGTCGAATTTGCCGTATGTGTGGCGCTCCCTCTATGAAGTAAACAGGTCAGAAACGATTGGCACTGCTTTGAGCTGTGACGACATACCGTATATGAGCCACTGCCAAAAGTTCCCACGAAAAAAAAGTTCCAAAGGGAAGGCACCTAAAATTCCCGAGTGCACTACACTTTCGTTAGATTTTCTCACAGGTTGCCATTTTGAAAGCTTACAAATTGTTTTCAGTTTTGCAGTGGGGCTGTCCCAATTTGGCCGTTGGTCTCCAATTTGAGGTACTTGGCCTGCGATAACAGACATTTCTGCACGATTTGGCGTCTCTCCTCTTATGTAGAACGGCAATAGAAGAGTCCAAATAATTCCATCGGGGTTTGAATTTGCGTTTGACCGCTGTAAGTAGTCCGATATCCCCCTGATGATATTAGTTTGGATGGCCATGAAATAGCAAAGCAAAACCTACGCCACAATGCTAGCTCGAAGCCAGCATCGAAATACAAGAGGAAGATACATCTTCTTGGATCCTCCAAGTATATTGGAACTTTCATTGAAAATATTGATGATCATGATAGCCCTCTTGTTAACCTTCACTAGAACATTCTCAATCCTCCGAAGTTTGGCGGGAATACAGCCGACTGGCGTGTATGTAAACTTAATAGAATTCCATGGTGGCAGCGAAATGGTAGACTGGGAACGAAACGGGATACGCTTGGGACGATATTTTTGTCGAGCGCCCTTTTGATATCCTGGACAAGCTTCACTGATTGTTGTTTTGAATTTTTGGATGAGATTGCCGGCCTCTTCGAACGGAACTGAGTCCAAAATATTTGGTTCAGACTCAGAATCTGTTTCGGAGCTGGCTGTCTTCGTTTCAAGAAATCTCGAGCCTTCTGTGTCTAAATTGATGGCGCTGTTTACGTCTTTGGTGCTCGTATATTTGCAATTGCCGTTTTTTTTAAGCATCGACAGGAGGCAAGTAATTGGCGTTTCTGTTTGGTGATTGTGTGACGGGCGAGATAATAGCAATTTCTTTTCATCGGCCATAGCAAAAGCTAGGTCGCTGAGGGAAATGATGAACCTGGTACTGCCGAGAACCTTGAGATCATTGTCATTGACTGGTATAAAACCAACGTTGGGAATAATTCCATCTCCTTGACTTTCTGCAGCTCCTTTTGATTTCCATAATCCCTTTTTGGGGTTTCTCCTCAAGGTCTTTTGCTGCTGATCGAGCCCCCAGGCAATTTCATTTGTTGGTCGTGATACGAAAAAGAACATTGATGGCTTTGAAAAGTTGGATTCAAATTGTGCCCCTTCGTTTGGTTTTGAAGAATTAGGGAGAGTGTAACCATGTGTGGACTTGTCCAAGACTATCTTGCCGGCATCCAACATGGCTTTAAGTGTGAGATTTTCGACAATGGCGCCATTTGAGTCAAAGGAAATTCCCAGACGGTGCAGATATTTGAGTGATGTGCTGATATTGTTTCCATCGCTACCCTCATTTTTTCTTGTCGATGTTAAGGGCGGTACTTTCTTCAGATGGGGATTCTTCAAGGTGACCGTTGCCCTTCCATTCCCGCGGAATTTCAGCCCAGATGAACGCCAAAAAACATCTTGAAGTGACGGACAAAAATTGCTTTCTCCAAGAGGAGCATTTATTTCATTTGCGTTAAAAGGGCCGTGTAATACCAGCTTTCGGGCCCTCAAGAGATAGGCAAGTTGACGATTTGGGACCAAATAACCGTTTGGCTTGAAACTTAAACCGATTGAGCGGCCGCGTTTAATTTTCATTCTATTTTTGAACGTTGCGTACTCGTCGTCGTCCAGCGTAGAGTTTTCTTCTTCTTCTGTTTCGCTGTCGGACTCACTTTCTTCGTTGGATGTGTCGCTATCATACCCGTCATTGTAATCATGGATCGAATCGTGATCGCTGATGTAAGGTGGAATATCGACTTGCCCAATCATCTCTCGCCCCATTCTCAGTTTCTCGTTTGAGTGAGCCTTCAATCCTGTCGAAGTCTAGTTTTGTATTTCGTGAAGTTACCGTTCTGATCAGATAGTGGAAGTTGTGATGGAAGTTGGGGTGGATGTAACTATTTTTGAAAGGTTACGGCGGATTTATTCTGTGGCGTCAAATGAAATCCACTTGGGGGTTCTTTCAGATAGTCCATTTACTTGCTGCTTTTACCGACCGCTTAGTTTACCGAGTATGATGCAGGCTAATTAAATAAACAAAGAAAGCGGTTATTTTGTCGCATCTCCCGCTTTACTTTTCATAAGCGCTTCGATCAACTTCAATTCATTCACACCTCGACAACCACTCCTCCACCAACTTTTTGTCATCATCCAATCAACACACCCAACACTACCTTCTCTGTATTCATTCTACTGATTGCTATCAAGCTGTGGCCTCAAACGACGAATACAATTGCAACTGCTATTTTCTCAGCTATAGCTTGCACCAACGGCGTCACGAGCTATGTCGCTCCATACGACAGACATGAATTTCACGCCAACCAACCTGGCCCAATCCATTTCAGCAATTCTTTCTGGTCAAATTACCGGCAACAATGTCATTGCGCACATACAGTTGTCAGGTATTTTTGATCAACTCGAACAGAATGAAAAGAATTGGCTTCTTTATGGGTTTGCGTGAGTACTTTGACTACTTCTATATGGTCGCTTTTCTGACTTCTTCACAGCTTACTCATCAATTCATCATCTGAATTCACCGTCTTGAATGATCTTGACAGAGTTGTTTTTCATCCATTCGGTCAAGGGCCCCAGTTTGGGCAAGGCATCTTTTATTCGCCAGATACGAGTGCATCAGAGCCCACTGGCGAAACCATGGCCAAGGTTCCAAGGCCGCCAAATGCATTCATTCTTTATCGTAAAGATCACCACCAACTTGTCAAGGATGCAAACCCTGGCATTCACAACAATGAAATCTGTGAGTAAATTTCATGTGCTTCTAATACTCATGAATTAACCATTTTTAGCTGTCATCCTTGGCCAAAAATGGAATGGAGAGTCAACTGAAGTTCGCGATCACTACCTGGCCCTCTCAAAGCAGGCCAAACGCGACCATTTGCTGCAGTATCCAGACTATCAGTATCGTCCACGCCGCCCGGAGCAATTGAAGAGACGTATGACGAAAGAAAAGAAGCGCAAGTTGATGGCTAGATTTGTAGCCGAAGAGAATACTGCAGACGACAACCAGGGCGGCAACTTGTCAAACGGTACTTGATTAAACTCTCCTCTTACATACTCACAACTAATATTTCCAGATGCCTCTGACCTGAAATTTCTCATTCCAAAGACGGGCTCGCCAAATGTTCTTTTTCTTGGGGCTTATAGCCCAGCAAAAATCGAGTTGGCCAAGAGCGTTGTTAACAGTGCTGCCATGGATATTGACATTGTGTCCTGGAATTCTATTACCGCCGATGTTGACTTGATGCTGAAAGATGACACTCGAGTCAAAGATGGCCGCATTCCCACCACTGGAGTTGCACCGGGCGCTTATCTCTGGACAAGATAATGCATGGAATACGCTTTGATACTCATGCATGAACGGTGTGGTCTATCACCCGCAAACGCTACATACATTCACAACTTCACATTTATCCATTGGACACGGATATGTACCTGAAGCCCTGGATATTCGAACATCCCGAATCAATTTCAAGACAGGTTTCTCTTCAGTGCTATCCTTGAACTGGTTGCACAAGTTTGTTTCTCTTCGGGACAATAACAGCCATATCCTGATACGATGTATTGTGGACGTTATAGCAGATTTGCTTTCTTTTGTTCTCCAGGTATGGGTTTACACACGACATCGCACACGGAAAATACCACCCTTGCAGAATCAAAACTACACTTGTGTTTTTACGTCATCGATTTCGAAAGGCCGGTGTTCACCAAATGGGTCCAAACTTGCAGTGGCCATCTCGATAAGTACGTTGTTCAAGCACTCGCATGGCATCAACAAACTATGTGAACTATAAGCTAACCCGAGGAAGTTAGGGCACCGCATTCTATTACGATGAATTGCTAGTTTGCAACAAAGAGATGGAAGGAACTGGTTAGATGTCGAATACAGATCACGACGGGTTTCATCAGCGAGAGGATTTGCTTCGGTTTATGTAGTCCTGGGATCTCCAGTATTGCATGGAACAAAACAAATGAACCACGAATGTTCTATTTGAAGCAGAGAAAGCAATCCAGTATTTGTTGTGCTCGTTAATAATGATTGCTGCCATAACGTGCCAAAGCATAAAATGTCCCCAATGCCAATTCCTGTGATACTTTCAATCCCAGAAGAGCCGTCCTCACAGCCAAGTCATCAGGGATCACAATATGTCCAGGGCAAGTTATTGCCCGTTTCTCAACAAAGATATGTCATAATAAGGGACGATCTATTTATCATAGTCACCGGCGGAAAATTCAGCTATGGTTCCCTCATTGTAATACTCTATTGCAGCACAATGTTGGTGTGTTGCTCCGTAATATTGATAATCGGGATCTTTTGGTAGGATCTAACTACTTGAGCAATTGACAAATCCTTTCTTTGACATCAACTTTGGAGAAACTGGCATAGCTGATGCGAGTTTGATTCTCTCATTTCTGACGCGTTGCAACTTTGGCCTTCGTAAGCTATCCCGAAAAGGAAATTCCAACTTTCGAGCTTGGGGCCCGTGCGCCATCCCGAAATCCCGAAATCCCGACCCTTCCAGCTTGGGGACTGCATTCCTTGTGCTGCCAGATGATCTTTAACCACTGGAGGTCCAGGGTCTCTCATTGCGCCGTGGAATTGCCCGCGTCTTTCTCAGCATTGTTTCTGACCACTTCTTCAAAACGTGTTGACCGTGTAGACCGTGTACGATTTCTAGATTGGAAGGCCCAAGCTTGAGCCCATAGGTTCGCAAGTTCCAATATCTTCACAGATTGACAAGCGGCCACAGTGCACAGGAAAACACCAAGATGGATATATCTCCTTTCACTGCCCGGAAGTTGTGTGTTCGCTGCTCCAGATAAACGTTCCACAACGCCACTGTGTGCCCCTCTCCTTTTCACCCGAAGGGCCGAGTGGTCTGGCACATATGTAGAACGACCGTCCGCAATTCATGCCAGGTTTCTTTGTCGACAGCATTCTGCATGGCTCGTTATGCTCGCAGCGAGGTGCTATACGCGTCCCAAGGATCTTGGACCACGACTCTTTGGCTACAATTGGGTCGATAATATCACCCTCTTTGTCAACATCAACGAGAGTTGACAAATATTTAGCTTCCTTAGGGGTATTGTAGCCTTCACCGGCGTTATGTGAAGAAATATCCTCTTGGGTGTCCTGATCCGGTCCCAAAGTCAACCCTTGTCTGAGGTAGGGACTGAGAGAATAGTTACTACCAGTAGAGCTGGAAGGTTGGGTATTGACGTTGACATTGGGCTGTCCACCTGGGGTTTGTGTTTTCGGTGTGAAGAAGCCTTGCAACGTGCTTTGGGCCATTCTCTGTCGATTCTTGCTTGTTGAAGCCTTTTCACTGGCAGGTTTCGTGCGTTTCTGATCTCGTTGCAAGTGTAATTCTGCGGAGCGCTTGCTCTTAGAAATCATGGAGTTGACTTTTTTGCCAGTATTGCAACTCGATGTATCTCCTTCTTGTTCTTTTACAACTCCAGGTTGGGGAGCCGTACTAAATGAATCTCTTAAACCCACTTCTACCACTCCACAGCCATCACCTGTTGTTGGGCTTTCAGGCCTGGGTTCGCCACCAGCTGTAGCCAAACCTGTGAGGCTTTCTTCTTGGATAAGAGGAGTAGCAGGCGGCATCTTGGTAAACATGTCTCGAATATTACGCCTTCTATCAAATTCCGGTAGGAGTTTTGCGGAGGCGGGAAGTAGATCTTTGATTGACCAGTCACGCTGGCGAAAGCCATCTTGAAACATTCCCACCGCATTCATAACGTCCCTAATATCAGTTTCTCTCCCATCAAGCTGTACCTTATCGCTGATGACAGCATAGACTGGACAGTGGTCCGATCCCATAAGCCCTTCTTGAATATTTGACTCGGAGAACCAATCTTTGCAGTCCAGACTTGCGCATATATAGTCGATGCGAGATCCAAAGTTGCCTGGCCGTGCATTCTTTTTCTGGTCCCAACACGTGAACATGCCACTCCGCCGATTGTGGAATTTACGGCATATATCTGTTAGAACAGGCCGAGCTCGACATTCATCTCTTTCGCCATAGACGTTGCCATGCTCAACCAAATGATTAAACAGCCTTCGAGCTGGTGTAGAGAAGAATTCTTCAGCAGTAACCCCTTCCTTTCGCATTCGCTCCTGAGCATTCGCCGTATCAAGCTCTTCCCGGATAACATTCAAATCCCCAGCCAGTATCACTCTCTTTCCGGCATCCACTAAATTGCGTATTCTCGCATCAAGGACATTCAGAAAGCCTAGGCGAAAATGATCTCTGGTTTCATCACGGTTGGCTGGGCAATAGGTTCCGATCAAAACAAATGCAGGGAATTCAAGTATCAAGCAACGGCCTTCTGAGTCGAGTGTGGCTGCATCCAACGTACAATCCCCATACTGTGATATCGTTGGATATCCACCAATTCTCTCATCGTTAGGGAGATCAAAAAAGCTTTGCGAGCTGCCAGGGGGACAAAGAATGCCAGTAATTCCTTCTTCGGCTCGGATTGGGGAACAGACGCTTGAGCGAGTGTAGATGGCGACCCCAGAATACCCTGTGGTGGTGCATAAGTATAAATAACTATGTAAACCTCTAAAAATCGCGCGGTCACCTTTTTTATGTTTGGGGAGACTGAAATATGCGTCCCAACCAGGCACAAGAACCATGTCATCTTGAAGGTCCTTTCTCTGGATTTTTGTCTCCTGCATAATAACTATATCTGCCTCGAGGATGTCAAACATTGCCTAGTTGATAGTCACCACAGGTTAATTTCTACTCTGTTCGAGCATCAATACAGTTGAACTAACCTGGAAGGTTTTCTTTTCTCGCCATGGCTGATATCCGAAGGGGTTCCTGGTGAGTGTGAGTAACCCCAGCTTAATCGCAGATGTAAATGGTGTAAATCCGAATTCCTTCAATGCATGGCATCAAGCATGAGGATACTGACCTTATTCCATTCACTGTGACGGAATAAGTTACTGTAAGTGTTTGTTTTGAGAGTAAAACTTACCGTTCCAAGTCGTTATACGTAGCCCCATGGTGAATTATCACCATATGATGTCAGGCGCACCAATGAGTTCACTGCATCGTTTCCATAGACTTATAGGAATCCAGAAATGAAGTCTCCGAAAACTTTGATGCAGGTTATCGATATATTTAGATCTTTCAACTTGGCTCAGGACTCACCAAGAGGATCATAAAACACGTGACTGAACATACGTCGGGTGCGGCTCAATTGCCTGATGACTAATCGGTTATGACTAGCGTGAAAGCTGGTCCACCTCGTCGTTCTCCGAGGCATTGTTCATTGACTTCCAATTGCATGTCATTAAAGCACCATGTTCTCTTCACGCTCCATTATCCGTGCTGCGGCACCTCTTCGCTCCCAAACAGTGCGACAAGCTATCCAGAAGCGCCTTGCACACGCCGAGGCCAAGCTCCCAGCTGGCGTTCAGGATAACGTTTTCAACCGCGAACGTCAGGCCGTCAAGGACCATGCGGCCGCTACCTCTGGTAAGTTCTGAAAAGTGATGCCGGAAAAGGATGTGAACTTGTACTGATCTTGTTGTAATGCAGATTTGTGGCGTAAACTTTCTATCTAGTAAGTCGGCCTAAATCCACTCGCCGAGGATCGGAATCCAGAGTGTCCACAGATCATGGATAGCCGTGAGACATCAAGATAGGCGGAAGATGGTTGAGGGGGAAATGAATAAAATAATGGAGAGCTGACCGTGCACAGTGCTGTGATCCCTTGCCTGATCATTTCCGGTGTCAACGCTTACAACCTCTGGAACGAGCATTGGGAGCACTGGGCACACAGAGAGCCACTAGAGGAGCGCCCTGAGTACCCATACCAGAACGTCCGCTCCAAGAACTACTTCTGGGGAAATGGAGACAAGACTCTTTTGTAAGAAGCCACTGCAATATCCGACTTCCAAGCTGGACCGCCACATAATTGTTTTGGGGAAGAACAGTTACTAACCGGTTTTATAGCTGGAATGACGCGGTTAACTACCACAAGCCCGCGGAATAAGCTCGACTCTTTTTTGTTTTTTGAAGGAGCTGAAATGGAAAAGTGACCACATCATGTGGCGATGGCTCTGGAAATAATTGCGGACAGAGAACCTGTACATTATCTTGCAGTCTACATAAACAAGTGAGCCGAGAACAGCGTCTTATATTCTATAAACTTGAACCGTTATACTGTACGTGATATTATGAGGGGAAAGTGCATATTTGTAGTAATAGCTGTTCTAGTTCTCTTTCGGCCTTTGATTTGGTCCCAGAGCTGTCATGACGGACTCCGTCTTTAATCTCTAATTTGTAATTTATGCCACCATCAAGTCGTTATACAGCCCCTTCACATTCACCACAGCCTCAACTTCTCCAAGAGTGCTAAGAATCAACGCTTTCTTCGCAATACACGCGCTCATCCTTCTCTTATCTCCCAACTTATACCATTCCCCAAAACAGCGTTCGATGCCCTCCAGGGCCAAGGTTAACATATCCTTGCGTTGCAAGCTCTGGGAAGTCGCCTGCCCTGCTTGCCCCATGTAGGCGTCGACTTGGAAACCCCACAACTCTGCAGATAATGCGGCATCCTCACACTCCAGTGCACGTGGAATAACGGTGGTGAGAATCCGAGATGCGGCAGAGAACTCATACAACGAGGTGAGAACAGAAGCAATGATTCCTATGGCCTCCCATAAAGGTGGAAGTATGTGCGCTCGCCAAGCTAAGGTTGCTGCATGAACTGCAACTGAGAAGCCTTTCTGTGGACGGCCACATTTGTTGAATAGGAGAGCTTTCATGTTGAGAAGCTTGAGGCGGAAGAGTATATCTTCTCCTTCGCGTTTAAACCCCAAAGATATCTCTTCGACACGACAAAGGGCGTTGTCATAATCGCCGCGCTGAATCATTACCTCAATATGAAGAATATTAAGCTCAAATGAAATGTCCGCGTCGCCACCTCGGCATTGGAGGAGCTGCAGTAAGAGTTGATCTGCACTATCGAGGTTTCCACCGTGCAAATCTTGCTGTACTTGCAGAATTCCACGAAATATGAGCCAATATTGGCTTGCTTTCAGTGATCGCAGAGAGTTTTGATCTAGCTGCTCTAATTTTGCATGGGCTTCGGCATATTGGCCATTCTGACCAAGAAGGTAGGCAGAACGACAAGAAATTTTGAGAATATCATCGAATGGGGCGAGGCGGGAGTGACTATGCAGGAAGCATTCGCAATATGACCACGCAAGGTACGTGATGCCGAGGCGGCTCCACAGAGATGACTGCAGCAACATCTGGACCCCCACGTTGCTCATCATGTTCTTATTTATAGTGAGCTGTGAACTTCTCAGGATATTTTCAAATGCGCCCGAGACGCTTTCTCCGGCAGAAAGCCCCATCTTGGCTTCACTGAGGAGAGACGAGCTCCACAAGCTCCACATACCCGACTCTTTGGCCTTTACACGAAGAAATGTAAGGCCCTCTCTTTCTATCCCCAACATATTGGTCTTGTCGGCAGAGTTTATAACCGTTGGTTGTGCTTTGCCGAAGTGATACAACCAGCTCAAGCTAAAGTTTAAACAACCCATATCCTTATTCTCTCTTGCTGTGGACACTGTCTCTTGCATTGCGGCCGCTGCTTCTTGATAGCATCCAAAATCAGCTTGAAGCACAGCAAGATTTAGCAATGCATACTGATAAAACAGCCTATCTCTGTTCTGCATAGTATAGTCGAAGAATCTATGCAGGTTGTCAAAAGACGTGGGATAATCCCCCGCCCGCCACGAATCAAGAAACCTAGTGCACGTTAGAAGAGATCTTGCAGTTCTAGTCAACATCATGGATATAACCATACTTGACATAATGTGATAAGCTTGGTATCATGACATCGCCGTCGAGGATCTCCTCAAATTGTTGTTGTAGAGTCTCTGGGACTCGGTTGCCAAATTCTTCTACCATTAGCTATGCATATGTGACCGGAGAAGGGACACTTACTCTGCATCTGCTCGATCTGAAACTCAAGCAGTTTCTCAACGTCATTCGTGCTAACTAACCCGTCCGGCGATCGGCCATGATGCGTAAAGACGTTGGGATAGGCCACACTGACTAATGTTTGCAACGTATCCTGGTCCCACTCTTTGTCCGCCTCTTCCAACATTGCATCGAAGCTCCAGGTTCCCGCGTTTGGGTTCCTCCTTCTCCAAGTACTTAAGGTAACCTGACGATATGCAATGAAGCTTGTCCACAGGTTCAGCGTATCTTGAAACTTCAGCCTGGTGAATTCTAATTGTGACCTTCGCACAAAAGCCCCAAACGGACTCGCCCTCGACAGTAAGATCATGGCTTGACTCGGGGGAGGGATTCCAATATCCGTGTCCATTTGGGTATCCTCGCGGGTTTTCATGAGCAGGTGTGACCTCCGCTCAAAAAAAACGTGTAGCGCATGGAGCGAGTTGATATCCCACAACTTCATCAAGAATATGTCCCATAATGTTCGGCCTGGGAGACCAGACGCGGACGGATAGGCGCCGAGGAGTCTCTCAAAGTCCTCGATTGAAATGATAAAATTAGCACGATCCTCCCGTGTTTCGTTGTTTGAGAAATGATCACGAGGCTTTGGAAGACTTGGAGGCAGTAAATTAGAGACAATAAACGACAGTATGGGAACTGTGGATGGTATTGGAACCGCCGAATCCGTATACAATTCGATCAGGCATAAAAGCCCGATACTGGCAGGAGTCAAGTATCTTGCCATCACGAAGGCTTCATGGGTAGTTTGTGAAGGGATACAGCATGACTTGGTGTGCTATCTCCAATGGACTGTGTTACGGTTAATTGTGGCCGTAGATCTCCGGATTCAGACCCATTGTTCCGTTTGAACGATCACTAAGGTGTTTCTTTGGAAGTGTGTTTGGATTAGACCTTCATCATAGTCGCGTTACCTGTTTGCATCGAAAGCAAATAAATTCACGTGGTCACGTGGTGTATATGGGCCTAGGTCTTCGTCTTCCTGGGTGATCATAGATGCTCGATATCACCCGTTCTTATTATTGTACAAGGGCTAAGCTACAAAGGTTTACTGCCATTCCATCTGATATTCGCGCCATGTTTGCTCTTCAATTGGCCTTCCTCTAATCCCCCATCTTCAATAGAATCGTCCATAGTGGCATTGTTTGTTGCCCATATGCTCTCAACAGAAATGTCAAACTTTCCTGGCACTCGGTCTATTAAACCAATGCCAATCGTTCTCACCTTTTGGCGCATTAGTTCCGTTTGTGGTTCCATTACGGTTCCATGGTTGGTGCGAACGAAATCATTCCACTTAATGAGAACAGTTTCCCATTCTCCCGGTTTTCGAGCATAGACCCTGTGCTGGTGTATATCGCTCGGTACAATTGATTCTGTTTGTAGGTTGACAAAGTACTTCCGCCCATCAGACTTTATACGCATCGCCAAGTATGTGTATGGGTCGATGTCCCAGAGGCTTTTTCCGAAGATCGTTGGTGGCCTGTCCCGAGTCCTCCAAGCAGCATAGCCGGTGCGTTGAATTTGAGGTTTGTTTGCTGGAAGATCAATTGATATGTTGCCGTGGAACCTTGCATACCCTCGAGAGTTATTTGTTGACTTGGAACTCGAGGAGACGTCGGGTGGGTTCCAATCGAGATTGGCTTTGGTGAATCCACCCATATCAGCGTCGGACATAACTTTACATGCCGCGGTTTCTTCTGGGCTATCGAAAGTCTTCAAAACGTAAGGAGCCGTGGGAAGCCTAACAGCTTCACCCTTTAATGCTGCCAAGGCGAAAAAGATCAGCAAATCGGCATTGATAAGCAGGTATAGTAGTGTAAGGGACGGCCTTTCCTACCTAGTCTTGAGTATCTCTGCAGTTCATCGATGCTTCGGCCAATAAAGCCTCGGTTTAAACTTCCGGTGACCCTCATACTGACCTTTGGGAGAGGCTGTATCTCACTGCTTTCGGTCTCGATATCAGACCTCGTCGGTCCCCAGTGACTGTGGCAGTGTAAACAAATTAATTTAAGAAAGACGCCGCTCGTATAGTATTACAAGTAACGGCATTCCATATACATTTTAGATAAAGTTTGTGGCCACTCGAACAAGACCAAAGCAATGTCTCTTGTTACTACTAGTGCCATGAAGACAAGTTGATGGTCCATCTATATTTTGAGGCTCAACATCGTCGGATAAATTATGGCCCCTCGGCACACCTTTGGTCCGTGCCCCATAGTAAACCCACCCAACTCCTAAGGATCCAACGTCACGAAACCAACAACAAAACTTGGAAGTTTATGAGATGCTGAGCAGCATCTGTTGAATTTAGAATGTATCCAGACTTTCATTTTCTTCGTTCAGTCTTTCAGTCTTTCAGTCTTTCATCTGTCAGCGTTTGAATGCCGCAGCTTCTAATATTTCCTAAACTATCACCACACCTGCTCGATGACATCCTGCCTCAATCCCGGGAGCCTCAACGTTTGAAGGGATTAAAAGGCAATTACAACGACAGGTGTAGGATAATTTCAAGGGATCACCCTTGAAGTTTTGCTTTTCGTTGGTCTATATATTCATTGGAAGGGTCTAATTTCTTGTTTTGTTTTACATACAGTGTTCCCAGTGGTCCATCCCAGGCGCAGATGGATGGAAGACTTCGTACATGTTCGAGTCTAGAGCAATCCATCGCCATCGTTATACACGTACAAAATCGTCCATTATATTTTTCAATGCAATTGTCTCCGTACAATAATATTTTCTTTTGTGGCGTGAAGCTATATTTATAGAGCCGGAGCCAAGCTTGTGCTTTTCACAGCCTCACTGCAGCTCACTACAAATGGCACGGCGTTGTCCAACAAATTGCATCATCACGACCAGATTTCCCTGTATAATTCAGGCTTAGTCTAATCTAATCCACACAGCTCTCCAAGCAACGGTTGACATCCAGTCGCGGTCACGAGAGGAAACGCGGTTACCACATGACCCCCCTTCTTCGCGCTTAAGCCCTCGTCTCGTGGTCAGGAACCGCCGGCGCAAAATTAAGCCGACTTCCAAGCAGGTACATAACCCCATTCAGCTTTTGAGTGCTCTCGCTGGGCCAATATCCTTGAATTGAGTAAAGCGCCAATTTCTCTAGCGCGGTTCAGGATCAAATAAATCACCCCCCCCTTTTTTCAAACGCTCTTCCTTCCAACCTTCTTCACCCTGTTTACGCGTATTTTGTTCGATCCACACTCACTTTCGTTCTACTTTCCTTATTTCCCAAGACTCTCAATTTCTTTTCCTACGTTCCTTACTCCCAAAGACTTCCAATTTCCTCTCTCCCAACCTTCGTTATTTCCCCAAGACTCTCGTTTCCCTTTCTTTCTTTCCATTTGTCATATATACACTCTTTTCATCTGTCTTTGCACACAGATTCTTCAATTTCTCCAGCTCTTCAATCTCGACAAAAGGCAAGTGGTAATCTTTAGCATAGATGACAAGGGACTTTGTTGTACCTGGCATCGAAGCATGCAGCCTTCTCATGTGGCACTAGAATTCCCATTTCCACGGTTTTGCAATGCGCTAACATAGCCCATCCAGCTCTCATCGCAGTCCAATACTGTCTCCGGTCATTACAATGTCCAATAAATCCAAGATCAGCGCGGCTGAAAAAGAGATCTGCTTCGGATTTATTCAGAGCCACTTGTCTCCCAAGAGCATTAACTTCAGCGAAACTGAGCTGAGCCCCGTTGCTTCGGATGAATCTCCATGCAAGAGAAAAGGTACCTTTCACAAACCATTTATACCCCTTCATTTTAGCTGTTGAGCCTCTATCTCTATTGCTTTTATATTCTCATGTTGTAGTTTAATTTTTAATTTCTCCGACCAAGGGATTTGTTAACGACCTTGCTACAGGTAAAACTACTACTGTTGAAACGGAGTCATCCCTCTGCAGCGACAATGATAGTGTTCATACTCCGGAACAAGCGTCACCATACCTTGTCACTGATACCGAGTAAGTATCCTCTATCAACTAACTTTCAGTTGTCGTTGACAGATTTCAAGCACTTGTTCTTTCGTACGGCCTGGCAAAGGTACAGAAGACCCCGACCCATTCATTGCCCGTACTCCTTCCGACGAGTATGGTGGATCTCCGTCCAATCATGGTGTGCGCCGCGGTGCTTCTCGTAAGCATACGAAGAAACTTGGCTCTTGTCGTTCGACTCCGTCTGCGAGTGATAAGATCATGAAGAACTGGCGTGTCACTGCGGCTATCACTGATGATAGCTCTCCAGCTGATGGTAAGCGCGTTCGTGGCAGTCTTCATGCTTGCGTCCCGGATACTGTCATTATCGACAAGAACAATTGTCAATTGTATTATTCTCCAGACAGTTGTCTGTTTGTTGCCAAGTAAGTAGAATGCCAATGCATCAAGTTTCATAGCTTATGCGATTGTTACCAGCCTGAATAGCCAGCATGACGAGGTTGAACTTGAGGCTGCAGTTACCGAAGTCTTCCGCAAGTATGGCACAGTCTACGTCAAGATCACTCGTGATAAGAAGAATATGCCAATGGGCTTCGTTCAGTTCACGGTGAGCATTCTGCTAATATGCAGTCTTGTAACCTCCGCTAACCTCCTACAAGAATAGTTCCGATGCTGCTCGCGCCAGGGATAAAGCTAAAGGCACAGTTATTTTCGGCCGTGGATGTCGCATTGAGTGGTCCAATGCCAACCGTGGGTTCCAAAATTCAGCTTTCAATAATCTCAGCCATTCTAACAACACATTCTAGGCAATTACCATCTTACTCGCCACGACGGTATCGACGTTACCGAAGACATGGCTCGTGCCGTCCTGGAAGAGTTTGGTGAGCTTGAGCGTATACACTTTCCAACTGAAACTGAGATTGTCATTTTCAACCTCGGCCGTGGTCCTCTGGTCACTTTCCTCAACTACCAGAGTGGCCGAGAGGCTTTGAATGTAAGATACTGCGCGCTGATTTGCCTACTTACCATTAACAATGTCTACAGGAGCTCCGCGATTCTGACGAGTGGAACTTCCAAGCCAAGATTAATGAGCGCAACGCTTCGCCTTTCCAGTCCGGAAAATCTGCCGTTTCCCGTAGCTGTTTCACTGGGAAAGCCAACCTCGACAGTTTTGAAGTCGACCAGCGTTCTATATTCGTCGCCAACCTTCCCGCAAATGTCACAGAGTCTCAGGTCCATGACCTCTTTGATAACATGGGTCACATCATCAACATTACCGTTAATCGTCGCCCGTCCGTTCGTGAGGGTAGGTTTAAAACATCCATTCCCAAACTTTCCCTGACTTTATTTAGGGTGTGACGTTAATGTTTTTGCATACGTGGAATTTGCGAATCCTGGTTCCGTACAGGATGCCATTGAGGCTATGGTAATATTTGTGCCCCCCTCATTCGGCACTGAGATTCTAACATTGCTCAGAATATGTATTCATACGGTGGCAGTCGCCTCAAAGTCGACCAAAAGAAGCCACAGGACATGGTCTCATCTGCTCGTCGGAAGCCTCTTGCTCAACGTATCACACATGATGGCAGCGGTGCAACGGCGGTGACTCCATCATACTACGGGTCACCATATCCATACATGGGATACCCGCCAACCCCTTACACGGGCAGCACCTATCCTGCATATGCTCATTATCCCTACCATATGGCACCTTACTGCTACCCTGGCAGCCCAGGCTATGCTACAACCCCAGTCTCCGACAACGGCAACGGTCACGGTCATGCCACTACTGGCCCGCCTCCGGTATTTGCCATTCCAACTCCGCATGGACAGGTTGATTACTACGGCCAAAACCAGGTGCTTCCGTATGCTGTTCAATACGGTCCTCAGGCTCATATTTTCCAACACACAGCGACTGGCGACGGCACAGATGCTGGCGAAGCTACCGATTCATACCAAAGTGTGCAATGAGCACGCCGCATCTTGTGTCCTGGGCATTCTACGTTGATGTGATGGATCCCGCTCATTCATCTGATCATTTCATCCCCAAGCGACAAACATTCTCGCGCTATCGTTCTATCAACTGGCTTTTATCATGGCTTCTCCGGGCCAGTGCTGATGGATATGTCTGCTTCAATTTTTCCGGCTCAACGCAATTCGCTTTGTTGATATATTATGCGACTCATGGGTTCGATCAGGATGTCCTGTACCAAGCGTCCTGTCTCAACGCTCTGAGCTACTTCAGCTCTTGCAATTGGGCTTCCGTGCCTGCCCGTGGCAGCTTGCCGAGAAATATATCAGATGGCATTTCAAATTCCAACAAGCTCGTTATTGTGGAAACACTTTGTTTTCAAGGTTTATCATGCTGGTGGCATGGTTTTAATGGTAATATTGGCCTGCTCCGCCGGTTTCTGCATAATCATGGCAAATCCGACATAGGATAGGGTCCAAGTCGAAACACCCAAAAGAAAGCAATTGCTTGAGGCTATTCTAGTTAAACTGCTCGGGCTAGTTCCTGTACATAGTAGTTTACAATAATAATAAACAGCTTTCTGTAAAGTTTTGCGAATTTCCGGGCTGGAGATAATTTTTGAAAAGTGCGTCGTCTTCGATAATATAGCATAAATAATCCTGGGCCTGCCTGTCCTCTGCACGGCTAGAGACGGCATAGCGTTGGTGCGGCACGTGTATGACAGGTAAAAGTCACTAACTCGATTAGAGGTGCATCCAAGAGCCAAAGCTAAAGCTAAAATGGCGATACCGGACTGGTGTGTCAATTTCTATTTCTTGTACGTACTCGTACCTTTATTTATTACACCTGTACTTGGCTATTTATTGATGCCCCCACTGCCATTTTTATCTTTTTATCTTATCGTTTTCCATTCCTGTGACGCCAAATCTAAAAGAAAAACTTCAACAAACCTTCAAATCTTGAAGTCAACTCGCCGAACAGTTTCTATCGTGTATTGCTAAACCGAGACATAAAAGCTCCAAGAGTCACGCCATGGGACAACCTTCCACGCAGGCATCAAATGCCCTGATCTATATCACCTATGGCTCCTTCCTGTGCGACTCTCCCATTAAATCTTTACTACCAGTCTCTCCTGAAGACGAGAAGGGTATTTCAGAACTAACTTGCCGTGCCTTCAGGATTTTTGGCTGTGCCATCGCATGGCGGCTCCGGCATCAGACGAAAGACGAGTTCCTCTCCAGCAACAGAACGCAGACTGGTTAGATAACCTCCACACGACCCTTCCGTGTCTGGCGTCAATCCTGTCCCCCAACAGCTGAAGCGCCTCCCCCAATTGACCACCCCCCCCCCCAATATTAGAAAAACAGCTGCTAATATTGATTCATAGCCGGACCGTTGGCGCTTAACTTTGTCGCTTCTGGTAAGTACTTTGCGGCGCCTTTGTTTTCGATTCGGTGAACGGCGGCAGCAACTCTCGTATATATATATATACGGATTCCCAGCACGAACAAGCAACACGAATATCGCCCAAGAGAGTGAAAACTCTCCGACAGATCCCAACTGCAAACCATGAGTTATTAAATCATAAGGTTCGTATTTGCAGAAAATACCATGTACGCCTCGAACCTTCTCCTTGGCACTCTAGAGCAGGCATTTTGCAATTTGGCTGTGTTGGCTTTGGAGGCCGAGGAGGTGGCAGAGAGCGGGCATTGTGTGGCTTCACTACGGGCGCTGAACCTGGCAAATACTGGGATACACCTCTTCTCTATGTTCACGTAGGGAGAGATATCTCAGTGTTTTGCTCAGGTGAAGCTGAGATTGTACCGTGATTACTCGATCAAGTTAATGCTTGCGTGGGAAAGTGCTGCCGCCTCGAAACCCCCTTCCCCCCATTGTTGCAGACTGCTAACATTAGATTTTTTTTTTCAATTAAACAGCCCTGGGTTCCGGTATTCTGTTCTCATACCCGCAACTGGCTGCTCTTACTGGCGTGCAAGGCGTGATCGTCTATGCCGTTAGTTCAGCGGCTCCTCTTATGATATTTGCTATCCTTGGCCCGATTATTAGAAATAAATGCCCCGAAGGCTTTATTCTCACGGAATGGACAAGACAACGATATGGTGTTGCTACAGCTATGTTTCTCAGCTTTCTCACGCTGGTCACAATGTTTCTGTACATGGTAGCAGAACTCTCTGCAATGCAGCAAATCGTCGGTGCTTTGACTGGAATGGATGGCCTGCCAGCAATCATCGTGCAAGCCGTCGTAACGACGATATATACCTGTAGGTCATCCTTGCCTGTTTCTGTTCTTTTGCTGATCGTTGTAGCTCTCGGTGGCTTCAAAATCTCATTTATAACCGACAATATCCAAGCAGTCATGGTCTTCTTTTTGGTTGCAGTTGCTACTATCACCATCGGGGTTAAGACGAATGTGGATCGCAGCCTAGTTGATTCTTCCGGCTTACTCAATCCTACTCTTCTGGGCTGGCAACTTCTGTATATTCTTCCAGTCGCCGTCCTCACAAATGACTTCTTTCTTTCCAACTTTTGGATCCGCACTTTCGCCTCTCGAACTGATAAAGACCTCTTCATAGGGGTCTCAAGCGCCTCAGTTATAGTGCTTGTCATCCTGACGCTTGTTGGTGTAACGGGTCTGCTCGCCGTCTGGACGGGGGCATTAGCACCTGGCGAAGACGGCTCCATCGCCTTCTTCCTTCTTCTGGAAACACTACCCAGCTGGGTTGTCGGAATTGTCCTGGTCATGACTGTTACGCTTTCTACAGCAGCGTTTGACTCCTTCCAGTCAGCCATGGTTTCTAGTGCTTCGAATGATCTGTTCAGGAACAAACTCAACATCTGGGTTATTCGAGCTGGGATAGTGGCGCTTATATTTCCTGTCGTTGTGATTGCTCTCAAAGCGCCGTCGATCCTGCAGATATACCTGATCTCCGACCTTGTTTCTGCCTCGACCATTCCTGTATTGGTTATTGGCCTTAGCGACCGCTTCTACTGGTGGCGCGGATTTGAGGTTGTAATCGGCGGTCTTGGTGGAATTCTGACTGTATTCATCTTTGGAACAATCTACTTCGGGAATGCCCTTGATGGCGCAAAATTGATCTTGCTTGAAGGCGGTCTATACGCCAATGATTGGAGTGCATTCGGTGCTTTTGTCGCTGCTCCTTTTGGAGGACTCCTTTGGGGCTTTGGTGCATTGGTCGTTAGACTGAGCTTTCAGTGGCTTATTGCGAAGATAAAGGGGCAACGCTTTGATTCCCTCGATAAGCCAGACTACCTCACACGTCCTCGGATTGTGGACGCCAATGAATATACCGACAGCGGCGACATCACGGCCGCCGACGAGGGAGTTGTCACGTCACATCCGAAAGGGAAGTTCTTCTAGAGCTGCCAAGACCATAATAAGTTCATTGAGTTGCTCCGTTGCTCATACTGCGAGGGGTATTACATGCTTGTCGATTACTGAATAATCGAAACTCGACGAGGGACAATCTAATAAGGTATTAGTTATTATATACTATACTAAACTATTACTATATACTACCATATTCATCGTGCATAAGGCCATATAAAAATAGGTGAAGATTTTGTGTGTTGTTGGAAGGTAGCATTTAGTTCCATAGTACCCAGATTTACTATAAAATCATATAAAAACCCCTGTGCAGCGAAGATATTTCTCGTGGATTTTTTCATGATTAACGAGGCAACCGCGACATGTTATTAGTCTTGGGAGTTTTCTTCTATTTAGTTCTGATCGAAGTATTCTACACTTTGTTTCTATACATGGCACTTATGCAATGACGCTGGCATGTTAATATCGTACAAAACTTGCCCTTCCTTATCTTTCACGTCTTCACTCCAGTGCTTTTCTTTTAGCTTCCTCGATGGCTTCCAAGGTGGTTTCCTCTGTCGTTCCCCAAACCATCCAGTCATTCTCTTTCCCCTCCCACAGCATTCTCTGAATTACCACATATTCCATTACGTCCCTCTCCTCGCCCGTACCCGCCACCAGGCTCCCATCCGCTTTATACCTACTTAGCCTCTGCCTGCTGCAGATACGCACGACGGCCTGGCGAACCCCAGCATCATCAACTGGCAGCGTCGCAGCGCGATTACTCATTACTCGTGGCTTGCTCGTGTACTTTATCACTTCCCACTTCCACCGCTCGCCGCGAGGTCGCGTGTGGATGCGCGATGCGAAAGATTCATAGAGGCCTTCACAGGTTATCTTCTTTAGTAGCTCAATGTTGCCATCGGCGAAGGCAGTATACATCTGCTGGTGTAGCGCTACAGCCGTTGGTGCGGTTTTCCGAAAATGGATTTTGAGGCCATGCTTCCGGTGGGACCATCGATATATGGTCATTATCATAAGATCGGCGGCTTTGCGCTTCAATCGTGCCCATTGTAACTTGGCGAGGGCGTTTGGGGACGCGAGCAGGGAGGGACGGTTGGCACTCGACGGGGCGACGATGGTGTCTGTTGAGGGGCATATCAGTAAAAAACCTCGTTATAGCGAGACATTCGCAAAATCCGGGGCATACCTGGTAGCAAGCCAAAATCGGACGTCATTTGGCTCATCTCTTTGGCGGCAATGCGTACACTACGCTCCGATGGGATCCTAGGCTGCTGTGGCTGCTGTCTGCTGTTGAAGGCACAGCGAGGGAGACCATGACTAAAGGATCGAGTCTGTAAGAAAGGCGACCGGAGAGCTAAACCCAGTGCTGGACGCCGTATTAAATGCGCCATGTTTGCGATTCTGTCGAAGGAATGGCGCAAGCTGCGTCCCATAACCTTGAAGGAGGCCCAGAACTTTTTGATCAGGTCTAGGTCGGTAAAATAGTAGGGCCGGTTGGGACTACCAATGTCAACATGTGTGGTTAGAACGTCAATATATCTGAGCCGTTTATATAAGGCCGCTTTTTTGCAAACATACTGGCGGCAAGGGAACTGGTACAGGCCCTTATAGGGTTCTTGAGCCCAAATGTTCTTGGCAAGGACTTTAAATGATAGCTACTTGGGAATTAAATTAAAGAGAAGAGAGACCCTATGATATAGCTATAATATTTACATGAAGTTGTATTCACGGGCCCAGGCTGCCTAGGTGCACTGGTCATACCTGAATAGTCCATTACTATCCACGTTTCAGCCAGTCCGGTCCTTGATCTTGCCGCCCGCCCATGACAGTGACCGTGGGATGTCGACAACCGGACCTCACCCAGGTCACTTCTAGTGACCCTCCGTCACCATCCCGCCTCTGCGACGCTCCTCACCTCCTCGACCATTATCTAACGTGCTTTAGTATTCATTTACTTGGCCGAGAAGTGTATATATAATCTGACCGAGTGAGTTCTGACTTGCCCCATGATAGTCTAAATGCTTTATTCTAATCGTACATCGCTGGATAAAGCCATGATTGCAGGATGGGTCCTTCACCCACCGTCGCCATTATCGCGCAGCGCTAGCCCCAGCAGTCACGTCAGATCATATTCGGCATCTCCTAAAGCGCCCCCAGACTTGTCTTCGAATCGCACGGCGAGAGCCATATCTACATCCGCGCTTAACAACAGCTCCACCAACTTGAGCGTCGGCGCTGCGTCAGTGGGAAGCTCCCAGCGCTCAAGCTCCTACAACGACGAGGACGAGAGTATGAGCACCATTCCGGATCCAAGAAGCCGCACTATGTCTCCTCCCGACGGCTCACAGCCACCAAGCCCCTCACACCACCCGGATCTCAATGACGAAGTTGCGACACTAAGTAACAAGCTTATCAATGCCATCAATCATCAAACAAATCTGGGGGACATGCTGAATCAGACACGTTCGGAGCTGGATGCATCTCGAGAACGTATTCGGCAGCTTGAAGCTGAGGCTGAGAGTCATGCTAGCCAGATCACAAATGGCTCCCTGGTGGAATTCGGCGTCGTGAAGGCGGAAAGGACAAAGCTTTTAGCGAGTTTGACTGAGGAGGCAAAGAAGCGTGGCGTTGCTGAGAAAGAGAAAGCAGCCATTGAGTTGGAGCTGGAGAACCTAACCACGGCTCTCTTCGAAGAGGCCAATAAGGTTCGTGGTTCATGTCGCTTGATGGTGTTTGCTGACCCCGTATAGATGGTCACTATTGCTCGAGAGAATTCTCAGCGGGATCACGAAGTCATGGAAAAGAAAAACGAGATGCTCAAAGCTCGACTAGCAGATACAAAGACGCTATTAAAGTCACATGAAGAACAGCTAGCGGAACTGAAACGAGTAATGGCTCAAATGCAGGAGAAGAAAGAAGAGCAGTCCAATCCCTCAGCACCGCCAACACCTGGTTTGAAGCAGTTTGATGACAAGGACGAAAGTGTTGTACGGCCCGTACATTCACCCACGGGGGATTTAGAGGTTACGCCCTCATATCCTACCAGCTTCACGCATCTGTTGCAGCCTGTCCTTAGAACAGATTTGGCTGCCTATGGCGACTTTGTAACCCTGGTGCGATCATCCAAGAATGGGCCAGGAAGCAGGGTAACGAGTGGGTCGTATGGAGGGTTTTCGCTGGGGCTGGGACTTGGAGGGGCTTCAAGTCAGCCATCACCAGTTCTACGGCACACACCCTCCAATGGCTCGACTTCATCAATAGCAACTTCTGCCACCGTTGCTTCAACTCCAGTCACACCTATCACGCCTGCATCCGCAGTCAGCGCCAGCACCACACCAGCAGGCCCTGCAACTCCACTCAAAGAAACCCGCTTTTACAAGCGCGCATTGGCTGAAGATATTGAGCCAACGCTTCGCCTTGATACTGCTCCTGGACTCTCGTGGCTGGCTAGGAGAAGCGTTCTCAATGCCATGTGCGAGGGAACGCTCGTAGTGGATCCGATGCCAACACCTACTACAGCCGTCCAAAAATTATACGTATTTGCTTGTTCGCTTTGTGGAGAATCACGCAAAGATCCAAAGCAAGCACGAACACATCGCTTTCGAACAAGCGAGAGTGATACGGCACAGAGATACCCTCTGTGTAAATACTGTCTCGGGAGAGTTAGGAGTAGCTGCGACTTCCTTGGGTTTCTGCGAATGCTCAAAGATGGCCACTGGAGGTGCGAAGATGAAGAAGCGGAGAAAAATGCGTGGGAGGAGAGCGTAAGGTTACGAGAACAAATGTTCTGGGCTCGAATGGGTGGAGGAGTTATACCGGTTGGCGCTGCCCACAATCAACTTCCGGAAGTGGCTCCAAGGGCTAGCGAGGAAGTTGAAATGCTGAAAGAGCTAGAAGAGACTGGAAAGATAGTACCCAGGGACATTACACCACTTCCTGACGATATCACAGCCTCGCGGATCGATCTTGACGGAGATGAAGCTTCGTTAATAGCAGCGAAAAAGAGAGCGAGTAAGAATCTAAGAAACGACACAGCCGAAGGATTATGGAAGGCTGCTCAGGAGGATGCTCTGGAGCCTCCTCCCAAGGAAAGCGACGTAGCTGCTACGTCTCCTGAAGCGAAACAAGTTTCAGACGAGGCGCCAGCGACAGAAGAGAGCGATAAATCGAACCGTGCCTCATCGCAATCGCTTGCGGTATCGGAGACGGGAAGTAAAGAGGAGAAGAGGCTCTCCATCACTATTCCACGGCCGGAATAAGTTAGAGATTCAGGAACTGGGCTCTTCAATAATATGAGAGCCTCAAATGGTCATATAAGGCGCATGGGTTTTGGTTGGCGTGGGGCGGCGTTTTGGGGCAACGGGCAGCATTGAATGGGTCGGTGTCGGTGGCATTTATGAACTGGGAAATCACTGTGTGAAAGGGAATAGAAGCTTCCTACTAGATAGACGGGCTGTCTTGTAGAGTACAGCCATGAATAATTTACAAGACACATCACGAACAAGCACAATATATGTAACTACCCCTTCTCTACTAGTTGCGGCAAACTTCACCAGCTTTTTATCACGAACTATATTACACTCTCATATTGCAATATGATGCCAAGCTATACTCTTTAGTTCCTGTCCAGGGCCCACAAGAGCATCTCTGTTCGAGTTGAGTAAGTGTTGTGCTCATCGTATTCCAGCACGTGATTGACGGCCGCCGATAACCCCGCATGAGGCTGGACTAGAAAGCCAAGATGGACGGACCTCGTGGACAACAGCCACATAAACGCCCTTTACAGAGCCGCAGCGAGAAATCGACATCAGACACGATCATATCAAGATCACACTCTCTCATCAACTCTTCCATACTCTGCCCGCCCTATAACGGTTTCCTCGCCCACGCGACAGCCTTATTACCCAGCTTACCACTCCGACAGTCCAGAGAGGACGCCAAGAGGGAGCCTTTTTATTCGTCCGCTGGGTTTTGTAGCGCGGTAGGCGCGAAGACGTTTTGATCATGCAGGCCATGCCAGATGCGCGCCAGCAGTCCTTCGAGGAGATCTACGGCCCCCCCGAGAACTTCCTCGAGATAGAGGTGAGCCCACCCACAGCCTACCCCTCCTCTCCCCTCCCCAAGACCCCTATATACTGACCCCCAACCCCTATAGGTCAAGAACCCCCGCACCCACGGCGTCGGCCGCGCCATGTACACCGATTACGAGATCCTGTGCCGCACCAACATCCCGGCTTTCAAGCTGCGCCAGTCGACGGTGCGACGCCGCTACTCGGACTTTGAGTATTTCCGCGATATCCTGGAGCGCGAGAGTGCGCGCGTGACGATCCCGCCGCTGCCGGGGAAGGTGTTTACGAATCGATTTAGTGATGATGTGATTGAGCATCGTAGGGAGGGGTTGCAGCGCTTCTTGCAGATTGTGGTGGGACACCCGCTGTTGCAGACGGGGAGTAAGGTTCTGGCGGGGTTTGTGCAGGGTGAGTTTGTTCCGGGGGGGTGGGGTGGGGGCTGAAGACTGACGGAGATAGACCCGAATTGGGATCGCAATGCTTGGTGAACATCGGTGCGTGATGGTGCCAAGAAGGGAAAACGACAGCCTGGGAAATTGAAAAAGAGACGACGGCCGAGACGGAGTGGGAGTGATCCAGCAATCATGGGGGATATGAGGGCAGAATGACAGAGAGAGGTGATGTGAAAGCGGACACGTTTCGGTTCGGGAGCTGGAGGGCATTTCGTAGCGCAACAACTGTGGGAAAGCGATTGAAGGATGATATCCATTTCATAGCGACTGGTTGCTGGGAGGGCGTTTATGCACGGCATGTTTAGGGTGGACTTTTTCCCGTTTGCTTTAGCTAGCTCACTCTTTGCGTATGAATGATTGATGTTTCTGAGAATGTGTGTGTTGCTTCAGGGAGCATTGCTTTGTGTTAGTCTATAGGCTGAAATATTCACTGGGAGCAAGATATCAACGGCATTTAAGCACTCACGCCATATCTGCATCAGAGTTCTGATCTCAAGCCATTGTTGTACACCTCGTTATTAATTCTTACAAATATATCCAATATCCTACACCAGCCGTAAAGCATAACGCCGTTTACCCCACCACGACCTTCTATAATAGTACAATGCACCTCATTCCTCATCCATCTTGAATAGGAGATCAAGAGAGGAGATATCCTCTCCGCTGCCCAGGACCCCCATGCTCAGCATGAAAGGCCCCACGTTTCTCATGTATATATACAATATGATACTATATCCTCGGATATACTCACGCCGGCGTGTCCAGGAACCGGAGGATAACTTCGTACATGCCGAACATAATCGCTGCGCTGGGAACTGTGCGTAGCAGATGCGGTGTTAGGCCGCCGTACATGGATGCCATGCCCTCTTCTTTAAAGACGAGCTTGAAGCACTGGATCAGACCGGTGTACTTTGGCTTTCCGTCGGCAATTGTGGGGGCTTGGCGAAGACGTGTGCGGACAACCTATGGTTATGTTAGTTAACATATCTCTGCCAAATCTTGGGTTGGTTTAACATACCTCGTGGGGATAGGTGATGATAGCCGCAACCAGCTTTGCGCCTCCGGCCGCGCCCACTTTGCCTGTCCACTCAACTGTTCGATCCCAGATATTCTTCTCTCGTCCACTTGTGATAATTTTTTCCTCCCTCCTCCTCAGGTATCCCTTCATCTGTTCATACAGCACCCACTGTAAGGTGCTCTCCGACACCCCCAGATAGCTCGCACTCATCCCTTTGTACATGCCCCTAATCCCCTCATTCCTTATTATCTGTTTTACACAGTCCCAACTATTCTTATACCTCCTCACCACCGCCTCCCCCGCCCTCTCCGACACATTCTTATCAAGCTGCAACCTCGTCTTAACCATCCAAATCGGATTCGTCGCCGTGCTCGTCACCACCCCCGCCGTCGCCGCCGCCAGCAAAACAACCCACGTGTTCTCCTCCCCATGGTTGAAGTTATCCGCAATAATCCTCTTCCCGTTGCCGTACGTGTAGAAGTTGATACTCCTCGCCGGCACTACGCCGACCAGGTTCGGCCCCAGCCCCTTGAAGAGCGCGCGCCATCCTTCGACTTTATGCACGCTGAACAGGATCTGGAACGTTTCGCGGAAGTGGAGGATCGCGGAGCGTGCCGGGGAGAGGTGTGCGTGCGGTGAGATGCCCAGGCGGGCGCGGTTGGATTGCAGTTGGGATTGGTAGAAGTCGGATTGCAGGCGGGTTTTGAGGACGTCCAGGGGCGCTGTGAGGGCGGCTGCTGTCATGCCTCCGACACTGGGAGATGTTAGTTTTGGGCACTTTGGGCGACCTTAGGGTAGGCCGGGAAGAACCAAGGGGGCGCGGAGAAAATTTGGGTGTAAGGGATGGGGAGACGGACCCTCCAGCGACAAGATGCGCCCATGACTTCGCCACCGGCAGGGGCTTTCTATTTATTTGCTTCGCGTCGACTTGGTTAAAGGGTAGGACATCGCCATTTTCCCGCGACTCGACCAGTTGCGCAGGTACAGATTGTGAGGCAGACGCGCCCTGACGAGTTGAGGTGAACGACATGAACGGGGATGTTGATGGTTGCAAAAACCCGGGCCGGAATTCGACTCAGGGCACGCCGTAAATTAAGATAGGTTTTTAGATTATCATGAAATATAATCGAAAGAAGATTGAAAGAGGGTATGAAGGGGGTAGTACAAAAATGAGGGTGGTAAATATATGTTAGGTTTTGGAAATTTATTTGTCGCTCTCTCTCCCTGACTTGCTGGACATATAAATTTTGTGACCCGGATAGCGAAAAATGAGCGGAACTAGCCGTCGTTTGGTGACAAGCACTTTCGGTCCATGTTCCGGAGCGTCCGGGGAAGCCAAGCCCGATTTAGCCCAGGGCAACTCATACCAGTATATAAAACTCCTTAATGGCGATAATCCACAAAATAGTACAGGATCAATTTCTCGTGCCATCTAAAAATTTATAGAGGGCCTGTTTATAACAGCAATGTCTACAGCAAAAATAGTTCAATTGGAGGCGTTCAATCACTCAGGGCTTCAATTTATAGGCCACTTACTCAGAGACCAAACTAAAGCGAGAGTATGATTCCTCAACTATAGGAGCCTCTCTAAACTTTTAAGAGCCACGAGCACTATAAATTACGATTTATTTCTACTGGTGTTCACATAAATCACATAAATATTACTGATCTGATATACAAGTAGAACCTATCACCGCCAAGCCCTCGTCGTTACCCATCCCCCTTAAACAAATGAAATATTTTATACCGTAGCCTCCTGCACATCGCTCGCAGGCTTAGCCTCCCCCTTCTTAGCATTCTCAATCGCCGCCTCCTTCACGAGGTCCTCCTCCGCCTTGCTCTGCGACGCTGGCGCAGCCTCAGCCTCCTTCTCCGGGACAGCAACGGTCTCGGGGTCAACATTATCAACATCAGGGTGCGGCGGGGCAACAGAAGCCTCGCCCTGCTCAATCACAACACCAGACGCATCGACGATGCGGGTGCGTGTCTCGTAACGGGTCTGGAAGCTGACTTTGCCTGAAAGAGCCTTGACCTGCTCCGCGTCGAGGAGGTTGCCGTCTTGGTCGCGGTACTCGACTCTCTCCTCGCGAGAAACCACGCTCTGGCTGCCGGAAAGGATCGGTGCCTCGCTGTAGACAGGGGCGACAGACATCACGGGTTGCTCTTGCTCAACGATTGGCTTCTGAGCTTGTTCCTCGACCTTGGCTTCCGGGATAGCTGCCGGTGGTGCCGGCGCGGAGGTTGGCGCAACGTTGGCAACTGGGGATTGCACCTGCTTGACATTGTATTGATCATACTATATACTGTTAGCATTTCGGTACCATTAAAGGTCGACACCGCGGCTTGTCGATATCCGTAGTGGTGGGTTGGTAATACTTACGGTGGTGTGGAAAGTGTTGCAGTCCCAATCCCACTTGCTGAACAGCTTCACCTGCTTGCATGCGGATTGGGTCCACGGGTTACCATATGCCAGAGGCGAGTACAGGCCAAAGGCAACCATGCTGAGACCCAAGAAAACAACAGCACCGAGCTTGCCAATTATTGGGTTCTCACGGAGACCAATTCCTGGGATGCGGTTGGTAATATGATCGTAAGTCTGGCAAAGCGCCATAACAGCAAAGTACAAGGCTGGGAAGTAGTGGTGCAAGAACAGCTGACGCTGCATGAGGTAGAAGGGGAAGTAGTGGAAAGCCCAGCCCAGGATGGAGGTGCCGATTTCGTAGCTGAATCGCTTGAAGGTCGAATTGTTGAAATCCTTGTAGCCACGCTGCCATCTTAAAACGGCAATGCCCTGGAAAAGGGCGAAGATGGCAACACCCAGGGTAGATGACCACCAAATGATGGGGTTTCCAATGAGATAAATTTGACGGTGGTCCTTGCCCCAGAAGTTGATACCGCGTTCCAGGATGGGCCACGACATTGGACGGGAGTCCCAGGCGTGAGACTCGACAAGGCCGGCATTGGTCTGCCACATAACCTTTTGCAGCTCCCAGAACTTGCCAAGGAAACCGGGGTTCTTGTAGTTGACCTTTTCTGCGTCAGCTCCGAGCTGAGGGTGCTCGTTCTGCTCGATGAACCAGATGCTGTTTGGCAGGGTGCCCTGCTTTGCGCAGGTCACTTCCTGTTGCTCGGAAGCCCAATCAGGCAACTTGACCTTGTGAGAGAAAAGGGCGCAGCCAGTCATGACATGAATGAGGCGGAACTTTGTCTGGATAGTGCGAACACGCTCCTTTGCTAGCTCCCCTTCGGACTTGGTCTTAACGATCTCAATGCGGAAGAAATCATTCGCATCACCCTCAAACCCTTCGTAGCCGTAGGCGGAAACTTCGTTTTGCCAATCAGCCTCAGTCACAGGTGGGCGAACATCGTGAGAGTGAAGGCGTCTGTTGGTAGGAATGTGGAACAACTTGATAACGTCGTTATCCTTCAAGAAGGCAGGGGGAGAAATGGTATCCCAAGCGTAGGAGCCGTTGATATTCTCGCCATTGACATCGAGTGGCTGCGTAGTGTTCTCCAGAAGCCAGACGTTGTTCTCGTCCTTGTGGGGGTAAAGAGTAATCTGCTGCTGCTTGCTGCCACCGGGGTACATCAGGTTGTGGGAATGAAGGTATCCTCCCTGGGTGTTGTGATGTCTGATGCTGACTCGGCTTCCCAAGGCAACATCGACGGGGACGTCCTTCATGCCTTTGGAGTTCAGAGTGGCCTGGAACTCGGAGCTCATGAATCCATCACCCTCACCAGGGTTCTGAAGGATCTGGAAGTGAATAGCAAACATTGCCATGTAGAATGTTACCGGGATCAAGATCAGGCAAAACACTCTGGCGAGGATGTGCTTGAAGAGTAGTCTTGGGGTGACGTTCTTATAGTCACCGAGCACAACCCAGAGTTGAACAACAGTCAAGCTGCCAACCCAGGCAATTGTGAAAAGGCCGACCCACTTCACACTGGCAGTTGCACCAAGACCTAGACCGGTCATGGCAAGCCAGAACCACCAGCTTGGCTGGAAAGCCTTCGCGGGACCTTGTTCTTGCTGGTTTGTGAAAGATGTGAACGCCAACGCAGTGATGGCAGTCATGATCATAAGAGGAGAGTCGAGAAGAATAAGACGTGCTTGAGTGAGGAGTCCGTTCTCTGGTTATCGTTAGTATTGTCCACAAAACAACTGCGATATGATCTGCCTACCAAAGATAATGAGTCCAGCGCCCAAGCCAGCGGTCATAGTGCGGCAGCCAGCAGCCTTCAGTGTGAGGAACATGACTGGCACGAGCAGAATACCGCAGATTGCCGGCAGCATTCTCATGGCCACGTATGGTACACCAGGCTCAATATAATCCTTGCCGATCTCCTTAAAGTCGAAGTTGCCGTCGAAGCCAGCCATGAATCCGGCCAGCGTCAATAGAAGTTTGGCGAGCGGAGGGTGGACGTCCATGAAGAACTTTCCCTTCATATATTTGGATGCGAAGCCGCCGAAGCTAGAAAGGGGGTATGGTTAGCTGGAGCGATACCTGGGGGGGAGCTGGAGAATACGAACTGGACTTCGTCGAACACAACGCTGCTTGGCTGATATATCCGGAACAGCCTGACAATGGCAGCAATCACTGTCACGAAGATCATGACTCTGTAGTCAGATCCCGGCAGGTTGAAGACATCATTGTCCTTGACCCCATCCGACGTGTAGTCATTGCGCTTGATGGCGCCTTTCTTCACGGTCGCGACGACTGGGACTGGAACTTGGACTTGCGTCGGCACTGGAATGAGAGGTGCACCCTCGCTGGCAGGCACAGCACTCGGCGACGAGCGAGCATTCTTCGATTTCGCCATTCTGATTGTGCAGCTGTGAAAGCACCGATGCGATGAGGAAGAAGAATATGGCGATCCTTAAAATAGAACCAGGCTAGACACGCTTCCACGGAAGGCTCTAAAGTGGCCCCTGGATCCGCAAACTGAACACTGAACACTCCCAATTGTAGTTAACGAAAGTAATGTAAAGAAGAAGAAGTGCTAGAATTAAAAAGACTCCATCTGAAGGAGATAAAAAGGCAGGTAGAGTAGTAAATCGTCTTCGCTGAGCAGAAGGCCCAGGTTGGTTGTGTGAAGAAAGGAGTTGGGGCCAAGATTGAGTACGAGCTATGTGTGGATTGTGAAGGCACCGTGTCCAAAACCAGCCAAAACCAGCCATAACCAGCCATATGGAGCTGAACCGCCTATGCGCACATGGGTACGAGTTACGAACAATTTTAATTGGCTTTGTAAACAACAGTTCATGCAACTTTTCAATAGGCAATTCATAAATATATGGGTTTCTATCTATATTCATGATTCCAGAATCTAAAGCAAAGTGCACTGTTAAACAATATCACATGTAACAGTGAACTGTGTGTTTAACAGTTATCGAGGATTACGACCGAATTTACTCTTGTTGGACACACGCCCACGCGTCGTTCCGGGCTTGGCAACAATATTCCCCCGCGATTGTGACAAGGGGCGTCGGGATCAACAAGGCTGTCAACTCACAGAGCCGCTAAAAGTACAGTGCTAGTCTAATATGTCGCCGCCTCGCCGCCTCGCCTCAACTCGAGATATATAGATCAAAAAAACTCGCGACTTGCGACAACTCCCCTCATAATTCGACAGATGGCTCCCTCAGCCACTGCTCCCGATGTACTGGCTGCACTCGATGAGATTAAAGCGCCCGCAGGAGTTGTGTTACCCCCAAAAGAAATCAAAGGTCAGCGCCCTCTCTCCTCCGCCCGCACCACACCATTGGAAACAATTTGCTGACCTTCATCCAGCCATCCTAGAGAAGACCGCAGGCTACGTCTCGCGAAACGGCGCAGTCTTTGAAGGTGTGTATCCCCAATCCCCTTTGCCAGCGCGATATGTGCTGATGTCAATGTCACAGATCGCATCCGCGAGAAAGAGAAGCACAACCCGAAATTTTCCTTCCTAAGCGCAAACGACGCATACAACGCCTACTACCAATGGCGACTGAGCGAGATCAGAGAAGGGAGGGGAAATGTTGTCGCAGCGGGTCGCGCTGGAGAGGTGCCCGCCGAGGCAGAGAAGCCGAAGGGGCCTCCGGAGCCTCCTGAGTTCAACTTTTCCGCAAAGATGCCCAATATCAGCGCGCAGGATCTCGAGGTCGTGAAGTTGACTGCGCTTTTCGTCGCGAAGAATGGGAGGCAGTTTATGACTACATTATCGCAAAGGGAGACGGGAAATTACCAGTTCGACTTTCTTCGCCCGAATCACAGTTTACACAATTTCTTCCAACGGCTGGTAGACCAATACACGGCGTTATTAAGGGCAGGTGGAATGGATGGGGATGGAGGCAAACTCCAACAAGAGCGGATACAGGAGTTGGAGCGCAACGTAAAGGACAAATTCAACGTCCTTGGCCGAGCAAAGCAACGCGCAGAATGGTTCAAGTTCCAGGACGAGCAGAAGGTGAAGAAGGAGGAGGAAGCCGAGAAGGAGAAGCTCAGCTACGCACAAATTGACTGGCACGATTTCGTCGTCGTCGAGACCGTCGTCTTCACCGAAGCCGACGACCAAGCCGTCCTCCCACCTCCAACCTCGCTATCAGAGCTCCAATTCGCATCTCTAGACCAGAAGGCCCACATGTCCATAAACCACAATCTCCGCATCGAGGAATCCTTCCCATCAGAAGAAGACTCGTACTATAACGCCTACCAGGCCCCACAAGTCCACCAAATGGCACCACCTCCCGCCCCAGCACAACAGCAGTATCCTCCACAGGCCCCGGCCTTCCGCACCAAATCAGCAGAAGAGGAAGAGGAAGAGGCACGCATCCGCGAGCGCACTGAAGCTCGCGAACGCGCGCAGGCCGCACAGGCTCAAGCTAAGGGTGGAGCGGCGGCACCGATGAAGATCAAAGAGAACTACATCCCCCGCGCAGCGCAGCGAGCAGCGAATAAGAACGCACAGATGGCGCTGTGTCCAAACTGCAAGCAGCAGATTCCATACAGCGAACTGGATGAGCACATGAGAAGTACGCCCCCCTTCCCCATTTCCCCCAGCCTAAGCACATACTAACACCCCAACAGTCGAGCTCCTCGATCCCCGCTGGAAAGAGCAAAAATCGAAATCCGACGCCCGCTACGCGACCACGAACCTCTGGAACAACGATGCGGCGAACAACCTCAAGCGGCTGGCGTCGCAGCGGCCGGACATGTTTGACGGCGTGACGGGGCAGGCGCTGAGTGAGGAGGAGGAGGCGAGGAGGAAGAAGGCTGCCATTAGCTATGATGGGAATCCGGAGGGGAAGGATGCGGGGAGGATGGGGGCGGGGATGCAGAATGTCAATGTGGATGAGCAGATTAGGAATATCCATTTGAAGTTTGGGGAGAGGAAGTAGAAGGGGGGGCTAGGTATGGAAGGGGGAAGGGTTGGCGTCGGAGGCGTGGGGGTTAAAGCATAATTTGTAAAATCATGGGGGGAATATGTGCCACTTCAAGAGGGCTTTGGTTACAGTAGTTAGGGGTCATTTGACTGGGGCGGAGCAATCAATATTACGTGTATAAAAGGCGGGAATAAAGAGATCAAAAAATCAAGAACCAATAGCACAGGAACAAATGATGCATGTGCAGGTCAGACCATTATTTGTCTACGAAATCGCCAGACTGCACCACATCTTCTATCTACACCTTCATACAATACAGATCCCCAATAAATGTACGAGCGGTCTCTAGTAACCGTCCTTGCCCCACTTGTTGTACTTCTCGTGGAGCTCCTGTGGCAATACGTTAGCAAGACTGTTCGACTCAATCGATCCCCCAATCAACCACTCTCCAGCATAGTCCCTCCTTCCACGGCAGGGCTCCATGACCCCCCATCTCGCATCCTCAGAGCTACCAGAAAATCTATCCACATACCTTTGGCAAGTTGACATTGGGAACAATGACGCTGTGCAGCGCACTCGGCGCATCCCTCGGCGCATTGGCCGGGTTTCCACCAGGGTGGTATTGGTACTTGAAGTCGCCCTTGGAGTCAGACGGCGCTGGCTGCTCCCACGGCTTGCTGTTGGGGGAGGTGGAGATCTGGGCCTCAGAGGTTCCAGAGGTTGGGTTGGCGCCTACAAAATCTCCATGTTAGCCTTGCTTCTTCTTGTTTTCTCCTTGTCCCTTCGTCCATCTCCGCAATTCAATTGGTTTCGGCGGCAGGGGAGCTTACCAAGGTAGTAACCGGCACCGCCGACGGCAGCGCAGGTAGCGGCCATCAGGAGCTAAATAGACACAAACATTAGCTTCTCCTCTATCCAATTGACATCCCCGAGCTCATCTACAGCCAACACCCTCCGTGTCCAGCCCCCGACGAGCTTGCGGGGAAGAAGGGAAGCACCAACATAAAGCTCCGGATCCTTCTTCGCGCCCTTGCTAAGAAGGCTACCCTCCGACTCCGACGCCATGCGGCGGGCGGCAGTCGCGAATCCGCGGGCGAATGGGGCAGACATGTTTGTTATCGTTGGAAAGGGGAGGCGGGGCGGGGCAATTGAGTTGCTGTGCAGTGGTGGGTGGGAGGTTTGTGGTCGAGTTGAAGTTATTCCGTTATTTCCTGGCCCGCTTCGGCAAAAGTTGGGTTGCGGTCATGGATCACGTGGGAATGGGTGGTTGGGGGATGGTGATTGGTTCGGGAGGATGGCACGTCATGTCCGTGGTGGGAGATGGGGACGTATCTCCTCGGGAGGGTGAGTAAGAGGGTGGTTTAGGACGGGATGGGGTTTGGGGGTTTGGGGGTTTGGGAATATTTTATAATTAATGTTTATGTGTGGTTTATGTTAGGTAGGTATATTTTTGCTTAGTCGTTCTGGTTTCGTGTTATGGGGGTGGGTGGTGGTGGAATTAAATTCGGTGGAAATGTGAGAAATAAAATGCTTCACAAATATTAAAGACAACTCTGTAATCAGAAACTAAACGGACTACGAACTACCCGCGTTATTATTATGTGTTATATATTACTTATGGAACCTAATATATTATCAAAAGCATATCAATGGTCTATTCTACAAGTTTGACCTTTTGGTTTTGTCCCGATCTGAGACGGCAACAATGTGCTGGCACTATGAAAATCGCGCGTCGCAACGGTAGGTTTGAAGTTGAGATACCCTCGAATACCAAGCAAGCATCTAATCGTTACTTAGGAGACCAAAGCTAAAGGTAAAGCCGTATAATATTAATAGAAGGAGTTTATAAATTCGGGTGGTGCCATTGTTCTGACGTCCTTTGAAAGGACCTTGGGCCAAAATGAGCATTTACAAAACCGAATTCGTTGTCTCATCTGACAATATACAAGGGAGCAATTAAGGGTATACCAAGGGGAAATTCTCTGTTCAACCGCAGCACTATTTGTGCCATTCCTTGAGGGGTAAGTCAGGCACTGGCACTGTGAAAATACAATGTCACCAGCATTGACGCGATTCTGACAAGGCGAATACTCTGGCCAGGAATAATACTTAGGCAAGAGGATGGCGTGCAGCTCGTACTTGCTTATATCATGCATGTTTCTATTCGCTAGAGACACCATGTTTACCACACGGGTGATCTAATTCACGAGAGACGAGATGAGCCGTCCCAGCCTTTCTCTCCTGACAAGCAACACATCACATCTGTGAACTTTGCTATCAACGCTTAGCTTTCTGTCAACCCTCACTTCACTTCACTTCATATTCAGTTCATACAAACCATCAACTCATCAACAACTCATTGTCAGTCATCTGGCTTTGCAAACAGACTGTTTTCCATTACAGGGGGTCGCGCGGCCTAGGACGAGGCTGATATAATACGACCCATCTTATCGGGGATAACCAAACAAAACCCCCAACACCTCCCATCCACCCCAACCCGCGCACCTCCCACCTCCAGACCAAAATTCCCTCGTCTTGAGCTCGAGGTAACCGCGTCCACATCCACGAAACAATAACGCGTCTTGCTCTCCATCCCTCGCAATCGCACACATCGCATGATATAACCCTTACATAGCCTCGCCCTCTCTACCCAGCATGGCTGCAACTCTGCTCTCCATGGTCAATACCGCGACGCGTTGCGACACCCCCGAGTCAACCCTGAGCCACACCCTCGCCTCATCCAACGCGCAATCCTCGTCCTCGACGCCGCCAACCAGTATCGCTGACTCGACGAGCGTGGCGTCTCCTAGATCGAAGCGCGACGGGCCGTTGTTGTCGATCTTCGATGCTCACATTGACGACGAGGAGTACCCCATTGACGAAGATCGGGATGAGGATGATGAACAGGAGGACGGCAGTGGCCGACCGAGACGTGCCAGGAAGATTACGGTGAAGGCGGCGGATTGGGCGGAGAGCGTCACGTCATCGGCGAAGAAGGCGCGTAGTGAGAGGGGAGGATCTGTGACGCGTCGCTGTACGGTTTCGGGTGAGACGTTGGTGAGCTCGCATGAAGATGGTGATTTCTCTACGGAGGAGACGAATGGGGATGAGACACGCGAAGTTGTGGAGGATGGTATTGAATTGCAATTGCCAGCTAGGAAGTTACAAAAATCCCGCAGCGCAATGAGCCTGGGGGGTGAGAGCAGCCTGGGCAAGAAGAGTCGATTTATGAAAGATGAGGCAGCGAGACGCAAGTCTGCACGCTTCACGAATGAACCGACTGAGAGCCTTACTAAGAAGCTGAGCGTGCTTGGGAAGAGAGGCCGCGACGCAGTTGACGAGGCTTCGTTCAAGATTAAGCGCGAGCTTAAGAGGTTGGCTGATACCAATGAGTTTGCGAAGATCGAGACAAAGCCTGTTGTACACGAGGTGTGGAGCTGCGGGAAGCTTGTTACCGGCAATGAACCGCCCAAGAAGAAGAAGGAGAAGAAGGCTGAGGAAGCTGTTGTCGTAAACCAGGTATGGAGCCGCGGCAAGCTTCTCACTGAGGTACAGCCAAAGAAGAAGGCCGAGGAGCCTATTATCATCCACGAAGTCTGGAGCTGCGGCAAACTCGTCACTGGCAACGAGCCACCCAAGAAGAAAGCCAAGATCGAGAAGGTTAAAGAGCCCGAACCCGAGCCTGTCGAGGAGGTGCCTGAAGTTAAGAAAGTCAAGAAATGGTTGAACAGAGGTCTCTACGCGGGACAAGAAGCTATCGTAGACCTTTCACACTCCTACACGGCTAAGGAGAGAAAGGCAATGGCAAAGGCCAACGCCGAAGTAAAGAGACGCAGCATCCTCCCCCTCCCCCTCTGGGCAGGTCAACGCATCCTCCTCAACGGCCGTGACTTCAAGCTTCCCTTTGACGTGTGCTCGCCCCTCCCACCCGGACAGCCAAAGCCAGATGAGTGGAGGAAGACAACAAAGAGTAAGCAAACAATCCACCATGTATACGATCTTAAAAAATTAACAACCCTATTTTAGACCGCTTCATTGGCGATGCCGCCGCCCTCTGGAAGAAAACCAAACATTTTAGCGACTCGGACTCGCGCTGCATCTGCTCCCCCTCCACCGGCTGCGGGGAGGACTGCTATAACCGCATGATGCTGTACGAGTGCGACAACGGGAACTGCCCCCTCGGCGCTGAACTCTGCGGAAACCGCGCATTTGCAGACTTGCACGAGCGTCGTGCCAAGGGAGGCAAGTACCGTGTCGGCGTGGAGGTGATCAAGACAGAGGATCGTGGGTATGGTGTTAGGGCGAATAGGTGTTTCCAGGAGGGCCAGATCATCGTGGAGTATACGGGGGAGATTATTACGGAGCCGGAGTGTCAGAGGAGGATGAGGGAGGATTATAAGAATAATGAGGTGAGTCTAGTCTACCCCCTCGACGAAACTAACTATGTGCTAATTACCACCCCCGCAGTGCTACTACCTCATGCTCTTCGACCAAAACATGATCATCGACGCCACCCGCGGCTCCATCGCCCGCTTCGTCAACCACTCCTGTGAACCGAACTGCGAGATGGTCAAATGGATCGTAGGTGGTAAACCGCACATGGCCCTCTTCGCTGGCAAGAATCCAATCATGACTGGGGAGGAACTCACGTATGATTATAAATTCGACCCCTTCTCTTCGCGAAACGTGCAGGAATGTCGCTGTGGCGCCGAGAGCTGTAGGGGCGTGCTTGGCCCTAGACCGAAGGAGGTTAAGAAGGTGGAGGCCGTCAAGGGTGTCAAGGGGGTTGTTAAGGGGATGAAGGGGGTGATGAAGAAGGGGAAGAGGAAGTTGAAGGAGTTGATGGGTGGGGATGCCGAGGAGAAAGTGACTAAGAAACGCAAGATCCTCGTCCCCGTCGGGAAGTCCAAAGTCAAGCCCACGAAGTCCGCGAAGGCGATGGCGAAGGCTAAGAAAGTCGCTAAGAAGATGGGCAAGGTCGGCGCTTCTGCTGCCACTACTGCGGCGAAGAAATCACCAAAGGCGGCTGCTAAATCTCCTAAACCGGCCAAATCCCCAAAAGGCGGCCTCAAGCAAGCGAAGCTGTCATTTGGGAATCAGCAATTGACTGTCGTGGCTGATGAGAGTGCGAGTCCCAGCCCAAAGAAGGCCAAGAAAGAGACGCCGGTGAAGGTAGTGAAGCCCAGGAAGAGCGGGATGGTGGTGGTGAAGAGACGCGGGACGAAGGTCGTGATGAAGAAGGGCGTTAGGGGGGAGGGGAAGAAGACTATTGCGAGGAAGGCGGCTGCTGCTGCTGCTGCGGCTGCTGCTGAGACGGCGGCGCTTATGGAGGCAGCGGCGGCAGCGCAGTGAACTCATCGACAGGCATTTTATTCATTGTTTTCAACATCAAGCATGCCCGTTACGGCATGCACGCACACATTATCAGGTTCAACATTAGCCCTGGAGTCCTGGAGTTTTCGGAGTTTGTTTTTGCCGTTGTTGTTGCTTTACTTCACATCGTCGATCGTCTTCATCATACGCGCGAAGTCTTCTTTTGTTTGTTGGTGGTGGTGGGTGGATGGTTGGTTGGTTATGCGTGGGCTGAGCGTAGTGGGGAGGCTACGCGTGAACCCGAAAGCCATGGTGGGAAGGTGATGATGCGGAATGGATAGGAGCAGGGGAAGATAGTGAGGAGGAAGGTGATGATGAGGAAAGGGAAGGGAAGGGATGTGATACATAGAATACGGACGAGCAAACCTTTGTAAGAATAGGAATTAAGAGCCCTGAACTGAACCGGGAATAGCTGGGAAGTTACTGGGAGCTGGAGTTGGGGAATTTGAGATATGTGTGTTCTTTTCTGCTGCTGCTGCTGGGTTATGTGCAGCGATTTGTTAGGGGTGGTTGTGTGATTGTGACCGTAGTGAGGGTGAGGGTGAGGGGTGTCTGTGTGGTGCTGTGTGTGATGCCATGATGGTGGTGGTGGAGTAGTGACGCGGGTGTGTTATGCACCGTGATCTGTACACGCACTTCTCAAACCCCTATTCCTCGCATCTGCATCAACAACCAACTGTAGTAGAGTAACCAACTGTAGCAGAGTAGAGTAGCAATGCAGCTGTAATATCTCTGTCACTTGATACACTTGATACCCTCGGACGCAGTATCCTGCATATCCGTGAAGAAACCATCAATTCGTCAATGCTCTACTATCCCCCCATAAAGCACCTAACTGGCTATCCTATCCCCTGACATCATATGCACTACTACATCACGGTAGTCGCGTAGTTTTCGTGTTTGAGCTGCCACCCGCTTGGGCCCCTTTAATTGGGGGAGTGGGCCAATCAGAATATTCGCCTGGGTGGGATTTAACGGGAGTTTTGCTGTGTGTGGTGGGTGTCTGTGTGATCGTGCTAGGGGGAGAGTGGACGGGGGATCGGGGAAGGGAGCTTGGCGAGATGACGGGCAAGGGAGAGATGGGATGAAATTGTGCTGGAGTACACTATGAGGATATATATAATGGGAATATGGATAGAGTGGTTGAGGATGTGTTTGTTTTATATTTATATACAATTTATATAGTCTTGATATAAGGGTGTTATGGGTATATATATGTGTATATTCTTCATCAACATCAACGCATAAACAAGACGCAGATCTGTGCGATTTGTCGTATTAGATACATGACTTCAGTGCATAAACCCAACACAGCACCGTCACACTCTAATTTACCTCATCACAGCACAATCACAGCGTATCTTCTCCCAGTCGTGTGGTTAAATTTAGTGGATATCAGTGGATTTTGGTGTCTGAACCCACTAAACTCCCCTAGCCCTCATGCACTAATCCCAGTGAATCCTTGCCCCCAATCCCTTGTCGTCACCCTTGTATTTTATGTATCTTTCATCACCCAAGTAGCTTAGCACTGCACCCTTTTCTGTCTTGTACCCTTGTACTCCATCCCCCTTGACAATTTTGAGAGGTAGGTGTTTCTTTCCCTTCACTCTTTTGCCTGTTTCTCCCTTGACTGACGAGAGACAGCGACGACGGAGAGACACACATCACTTTTCTTCGGAGACACTACACGCACACAACGCATCATACATATCTTCGACTACCGGGGAAGAACTTCTTTTCTTTTTTTAACACGATAACTCTTAATACCTCTGCGACTCGGCGACCAGCGACACTGCTACTACTACTTCTAATCGCATTCTTCGCTTCATACTATTGTCATTACAAGCATCGCCATACTTTAATACCCAACCCAGCGAAAGAAAGAAAGACAGTCAGACAGACAGACCGACATCTCAGACATCCCTTATACCCATCGATAATCACCACCATCGCGAACCGCAACCTCCAACCCACCGCGCACCTCGACCTCCAACGCGCCAGCAAACAATGAGATAAACAACCGCCCTCACCACCAGCTGGTCGCAGCGCACATTGAAGCCTCCAACAAATCCACCACCACCACCACACGAACGCACACAAAAAAACCACCCACCATGTCCTCATCCTCACCACCCCGCGACCCTCCCCCCTCCCAAGGCGGACCACCAAGCATAATCTCCTCCCGCATGACCGACATCGCCTCCGACGACGGCCACGACCTCGACACCACCTCCCACGCAACCCCCGCCCACCGCACATCCACAAACAGGCAGAGCATCCAATCCTCGCGCCCCGGCACCGGGAGCGCCGCCATGTCCACTCGGAGTCCGTGGTCCGCATCTCCTCCCTCCCGGCGTGGTCCCAAATCCGGCGGCACCCCATCGATACTAGGAGGGGCGGCGGGGGCGAGGCCGCCGAGTTCGACGAGCAGGACGCATGTTCCTAGTCTCACTTCGCATGCGTTCTTTAGGCCGATGAGTTCGCAGAGGTTGCAGGCCCAACGCGGGGGCCCGAGGACGCCGGTTGCGGGCCAGAATCAGAGGGGGAGTGGAGACTTTGGAGACGCGCCGGCGGTGCCGAGTATTGCGTCGGGCTATACGGGGAATCCGATCCAGAGTAGGGATGAGAGCGGACCGCCGCCGCCGTCGAGGGGGACGGAGATAAGCGTCCAGGAGTACGTGCAGACGACTACTGCTAATACGAGTCCCACGCATGGGCATTTTCAGACTACGAGTCTCAGTTCCTCTGTCCAACCTCTCCAAGTCAACAATGCCTCATCGAATCCCAACGGCCTAACAGTCAACACCGGCCTCACAACCTTCCGCAACGCAAACCTCCCCACCCCCTCCAAATCCCCACACTCCTTCCGCTCCTCCTTCCTCTTGCCGTCGAGGGGAGGGGACATGCCCCCCCACAGCCCAAACCGCAGTAACCACGGCCACTCCAAGCTCTCCTCCGGCGCCACCTCCCCCGCCCGCCCCTCAGACGTCACTCCCCTCCCCTCACCACTCACCCCCGCCACCGGCGCCATGGGCGAGAAGCACGGGCCCGGCGGGAACGGAGGAGGAGGAGCGGGAGGTGGAGGAAAGGGGGGTGTCAAGAATTACGTGCATTTCCCTGGGAACACGAGATTTTTCCTGGGAGGGAGGTTCCAGAATGCGAGGGATAGACCGGTGAATATCGCTACGGGGATACTGGTTGTTGTCCCCGCGGTGCTGTTTTTCGTGTTCCAGGCGAGTTGGCTTTGGCATCGCGTGTCGCCTGCTGTGCCGGTGGTGTTTGCGTATTTGTCGTTTATATGCTTTTCCTCCTTCATCCACGCCTCTGTTTCCGATCCCGGCATTCTCCCTCGAGATCTCCACAAGTTCCCGCCGCCGCCAGCGACGGAAGACCCATTAACCCTCGCACCACCTACAACGGCGTGGTTGATCGTCAAATCCCATCTCCCGGCTAGCACCGCAATGGAGGTGCCCGTGAAATACTGCAAAACCTGCCACATCTGGCGACCCCCCCGCGGCCACCACTGCCGCATCTGCGATAACTGCATCGAGACCCACGATCACCACTGCGTGTGGCTCAACAACTGTGTTGGGCGCAGGAATTACCGGTATTTCTTCACCTTCGTGGCTGCCGGTACTGGTATGGCGATTTTTTGTATTGTTACGAGTGTTGTACAACTATCCACTGTCGGGAGAGATAATAACTCTGATTTCGGCTCCGCGATCCCTAGGGAGAGGGGGGTTTTCGCGCTGTTGATATACGCCGCACTCGCGCTCCCCTACCCCGCCGCCCTACTCTTCTACCACATCTTCCTCTCCGGCCGCGGCGAGACTACACGCGAACTCCTGAATGGAAGGAAATTCAAGAGAGGAGAACGCCATAGACCGTTTACTCTCGGCTCGGTGGTTAAGAACTGGATCGCGGTGCTGGGACGGCCGAGGGGAGGCGGGTATATAGGGTTTAAACGCGTGGGTGGGGTGTGGTTGGGTGAGAAGGGGGTTGTGGAGGGGAGACAGGGGGGGAGTGGGGGGGGAAATGGGGAGATGTTGGAGATGAGGGGGATGTCGCAAGGGGCATAGGGGGGAGGAAGGGTAATTTTTCGTTATTGGGGATTTGAGTTTTTTTTTTTGAGGCGCGGGTTTGGAGGGGGGGATTGGGAAGGGGAAAGGGAGGGGAGTTGATACCCTGGATGTGGAAGAGATGAGATGGGGACTGGCTCGACGCCATGGGGATTTTCCTTTACGTTTTTAACCTTTTTCTTCTGTTGTTGTGGTCGTTTCTTTTTGTACGATGTTTGTACGTTTTCTTCTTTGCCTATTTTAGGCCGTTTTGGATTGGGTTGGATGGAAGGGGCATGGAGCGAAGGGGGGAAGAGGAGATTGGGAGAAAGAGAGGGGTTTGTGGGGAAGGGGAGAAGAGAGGGGGGTGTTGTATCATACCAGTCCCGTCTGTCGAGACAGGCGGGGGAGGGGCTTGTTTTTATTGTATTGTCAAGAGTAGGAATAGCTCATAGAGAAGAGATGGAGCAAATGGAGGAGGTTGGAAGAGAGCTGGAAAGGGGGGGGGGAGAGGTAGAAATGAGAAGTGTAAACCACATATATCATCACACGTTCTAACCAAAGAAACTCGTTTTGACACATATATTATGTGATTGTTTGTGTACCATCCAACACGGATGGATATTCCCATTTTTATTCGCCGTATTCTACAGCACACACTTCCTATCTCTGCACATCTTGCACACCCTATTTCCTCTCCCCCCTCTCTGGCCCTTACCCAGGGTCTGGCCTCTTCTTCTCTTTCCAACCACCTACAGCATCGACAGAAGTATTATATATACAAAAAACCCACACTGTCATCCACACAGTTTCAGCAGCTTTCCCTTCCAAACTCAACGCAACCCACACAACTTCCATCCAACACAGACAAAGAACAAAAAAGGGATATAAAGAGAAACGAAAGACAAGAACCGGTCCAGAAAGCGCGAAAATAAATAAAATGAGGCAAAAGGAAAGGATTGGACGTAGAGCCAGCACGAACACACACACACACCGCCACACAGACCATGAACAATTGTCCCGTATTAGACAAACAGGCAGGCCTATCCAACACACAAACACCATCACCAACTACCCCAAGAGACAGAGAAAAACCCCTTACATCCGTCCCCCAGGAACAGCAAAATCAGCATTCGAATCCAACACATTCCTTCCCCCTCCCATCCTCCCTTGCTGCTGCTGCTGTTGCTGCTGCCCTCCCTGGCCCTGCCACCTCTGTCCCTCACTCCTCTCACTCCCAACTGGACTTCCCATCCTCCCCGCACCTCCTACGGGGCTCGGTCCCATCCTCCCACCCCCTGGCATTAGGGGCGCTGGAACCATTTGTCCTGCACCGCCGCCGCCACCGCCGCCACTGGCAAGACCGACGGTGTGAGGTGAGGGAGGGGAGAACCGCGGATCAACGTCCTCGTAGTAGCTTCCCTCTGATTGTTGGGAGAGGTGGGCGCGAGGGACGGGGTGGAGACCTGTGGGTCCGGTGGTTAGGGGGGAGGAGGCGCGGGGGCCGCCTGAGGGCCAGTTTTGGCGGGGGGGGATGTATCTGTGTTTCTGTTAGTGTGGGCGCTAGGTGGTGGTGGTGGAGGCGGTGGTTTGGGGGAGGGAAGAAGAAGAGGAGGAGGGGAGGGGAGGGGATAAAGGGGGATGTGGAAATGGGGAGAAGGGGGAGATAAACTTACTCATCAACACTATACTTGCTCCCATCACTAACAACCCCCCTCTGCTGCTGCAACCCAACCATGCCCGCAACATCCGCATCACTATCCCTCAAACCCCCTCCATAGCCCCCCGGCGGATGCAGTCCCGGACTCCTGCTACCAGTCGTAGCATCCATCTCGATAGCCTGTCCAACCGGCCCCATCCCATCATCCATAGGCGGTGGGCTCTCCGCGCGCGCCAGACTCTCTGGGCGCCCATTTCCTGGTCCACCACCACCACCACCGTAGCCTGAGGAATTCAGGGATTGTTGCGATTGGTCGAAGCCGTAACCGTTGTTGGGGGGGGAGACGGAGCGCTGGGGGCCGCCGTAGCCGCCGCCGCGGTTGTTGTTGTAGCCGCCGGGGTAGTTGGGGGGAGGGCCGCGACCGCCGCGCATGCCGCCTGGACCGGGACCGGGGCCGTAGCCAGGACCGCCACCTGGGCCACCGGGACCACCGTAGCCATTGCCAGGACCACCGGGACCACCATATCCGCCCCGGCCGTAACCAGGACCGCCGCCGCGACCACGGAATGAACCTTGGGGTCCACCGCGTCCGCGATAGCCACCGGGTCCGAATTGGTTCCTCGGGTCTGGATTACGCATCCCCCCCTGCGGTGGGATGATGTTACCATACTGATCCCGTTGCGGTGGTCCTCCGTAGCCGCGGTTTCCGGGCATGGGAGGGGGCGGGCCGTAGCGGTCTTCAGGGCGGCCGGAGAGGGAAGCTGACATTGTCTCTGGGGAGCGGGTGGGTGTGCGCGAAGTCAGGGGGACGCGATCATCGTCTGCTTGAGCTGCGGCGCGAGCGTCTGCATCTGCCTGCGCAGACTCAAAAGTTGCGAAAGCGGGGAGTTTATCCCCGTTCCCGCCCGTGACAGAGGAGGAAGCGATCGTCGGCGCCGTGATGGGAGCAGGAAGTGGCCCAGTCGCAGCTTGGCGATTATAAAAGTTCTCCCCATTCATCTCTGCATTCTCCTCAATACGTCTCTTCCTCGCCTTCCTCGACACGAGAGTCCGTCGCATAGCACAACTCACAATCCCCGAAGCGGCGATGAGTATCGTAGCAGCGAGCACGATGTACGATCCCCACGCCATGTGCGGCACGAAGAGGAGGACGTCGATGAGGAAGGAGAGCAGGGCGAGGATGAGGGTCAGGATGGAGAGGATGAAGACGCCGAGGAGGTAGCGGGGCGAGTGGGAGGGGGCGTGGAAGTGAGAGACCACGGCGAGGATGAACATGATTAGGGTGAAGAAGGCGGCGATGGGGTGGACGATTAGGATTGAAGAGAGCGTGGAGCGGGTGGCGGGGTCGAGGTTGAAGTTGCCTTTGGCGTTGGGGAGGACGGCTGGGGGGGTGTTAGTTGGTGTTGTGTGGAAGGGAGGGGGGAGTGTAGGCGTCGCGGGAGTCTGGGGGGGGGAATGAAGAGGTGTGGTTATCGCTGGAGAGAATTGGGGTATGAAGAGAGCGTCGCAACGAGCTTCCCTCCATTGTAAGACGTCGCGACGCTTCCTCCAGTATTCTCTCCATAGATATCCTCACTCGCCCTTCAATATCTCCCCTCCAATACCTCCCGCGTCCACTCGCGACAACCACCAGAACAGAAGAGGTATACGCACAAGGATTATATCCGACCTCCATCTTGCTACACACACCATCCGCCTTGCAGTACCCAAAAACACCATAACTAATGCCATCAAACTCGCCCAACACAATCGGCCTCACAAGCGGCACCGAGATGACAGAGATGAGGAGCAGCACGAAGGCCGCGAACAGCAGGATCGTCAGCGGCGTCGCGGGGCGCAACATCGTGGCGTGCGACGCGCTGCTGCTGCGCTATGGGCGGTGGCGACGACGGGGAGTTCGAGGGCGCGTCGCTGCGCGGGGAATGGGCGGACGGACGGCAAGCAGAGCACCGTCGGGGTGGTGGTGACTTGGGAGAGGCGGCGCGGCGGCGGAGGCTATGAGGCGCGCATGAAAGGCGATGGGGTGTGTAGTGTAGTGAGTGAGCGGACTGGTCGAGAAGTGAGAGTTGAGTGCGAATAGAAAAGACCGAGAGGCCGTGGAGATGTTGTAACGAGAGTGGTGGTGGCAATGCGGTGATATGCAACTGAGTTGGTGGTGGTGAAGTTTGAGGGCAGTGAGGTGGTGTGTGAAGGCGTGGCGGAGTGGTTATGCAAGCTCCCCGTTACTCCTCTGCAAGTAGCCAGCCGTTGTTGGTCGTTATTGGGGGGATTTGGGGGTGGGAAGGTGGTTTGGTTAAGATGGACCAATTGGAAGAATGGGGATGGATCCGCGATTAATCATTGGGAGATTGGGAAGGGAGGGGGGTGTGTGGGGATGTGAGGGATAAGCTTGGGGACCAGGGGAAGGGGGGGAGTTTAGGGGATTGTTTAGGGGCGTTTAGTGTGATTTAGTGAGGTTGTAGGAAGAGAATCAGTGGAGGATCACTAGAGGATTTGTGAGTTTAGTGGAGTTCAGGGACCATTGATCACTGGGTGGCTAATGTGGCCACTAGAGAGTTCGCTGGGGGAGAAACTGGAGCCACTGTAACTCGTTAGACCCACAGGAGATGTCAGGGACAGGTAAGCGAGTCATGCAGGAAGATGCATGGGTGGTAGTCTAGAAAGTACGCGGTGCGCGTCGAATACGGCTAATACGAGTACGCATCTAGAAGGTGTAAGGATAGGGACGGGATATTAATTATCGTGAGTTCTACGCCCAATAAATCAATAATTCAACTCATTTCTACTATACTATCGCCGGTTGCAGTCATTCAAATAGTTGGTAAGATAGCTGGATAGTTGGAAGTTGGATAGTTGGACACTCGACAATGGACACTCAGACACTCCAGACACTCGACACGCAATACTGAATACCTGGCCACTTAATATAGATATGTCACTATGCGCCAATAATCCTGCCCAGAGGTACTTGGCCCCGTTGGCCCTTCCTCTCCCCTCCCCCCCGGATTCGGTGGATTCGGCGGGCCTCGAGACACTTCGCCCAGCAAATCGCAATCTGTGCCAAGAGACACTTGTTTTGACCTAAACGAGACGCCGGAGACCATACCCGCCAACGCGCTTAAAGATTTCAGCGCTTAATCCCATATCACGGCGTAACGTTAAGCCTTCCGCCGAAGATATAGATAACTTTCCCCAAACCCGCCATGCACTCACCTTACAAATACCAATATCGTTTCTCACACTCATTCACGACCCTCTCCTCCCCCTCCCCCTTCCCCATCTTCCCTTAGGGGGTTTCCGCAGCGGCCATGCTTCGGCACCCTGCATCACGGAGCGCGCGATGTCTGATCTCAGCATCGCGGCCTGTGCTCCGCTCTCCGAACCTTCCGCGGCCCACCACCAACCCACGATCGCTCCTCACACCACGCTCCCTCCGCTCCGCCCACTCGTCCCAATTCCAGCCCTTCGTTCCTCCCTCCCCCGCCTCCCTCGGTCGCGCCCGCCCCGCAAGACACTATCCCCGCACCTCCCGCTGGGTCCGACGACTCCTGTACACCTCCGCCGCCCTCGGCACCCTCTACCTCGTCGACGTCAACCTGTACGCCTCCTCGCTCACCCGGTCCCTGCGTACATTTGGCCTTGGCCTCCTTGTGGCAATCGACTATAAGCTCAATTTCCGCGCCTCGCCCCTCTGCGGCGGCACAATCGCAGACCTACACCGTCGTAGTGCAGAGCGGCTCTTCGACCTCCTCCGCTCCAATGGAGGGCTATACCTCAAGATCGGCCAGGCTATCGCTATGCAGAGCGCTATTATGCCGCCGGAGTTCCAGAAGATGTTTGCGCGCATGTTCGATGACGCGCCGCAGAATGATTGGGAGGATGTGGAGCGTGTGATTCGCGAGGACTTTGGGAAGAGCCCGGAGGAGGTGTTTGGTGTTAGCTTCAGAGGCGAGGAGGGCAAGGGCGTTATGGAAAAGGTAGCGCGTGCGTCTGCGTCCGTTGCACAGGTGCATTGGGCTAGATTACCTGATGGACGCGAGGTAGCTATCAAAGTGCAGAAGCGTGAAATTGCACAGCAAGTCGGCTGGGATCTATGGGCATTCAAGTAAGTCTACCCCCCCCGGCACCCCCCCCTCTTACAACCCCAGCTAACCCCCCCAGGGTCATGATGAAAACCTACACCTACTGGTTCGACCTCCCCATGTACTCCCTCGTCCCCTACATCTCCTCCCGCCTCCTCCTCGAATGCGACTTCGAAGTCGAAGCCACCAACGCCCAACAAATGACCGCCCTCATCGCCGCCGAGCCCCGTCTCCGCGGCCGCGTCTACATCCCAACCGTCTACCCCGAACTCTCCACCAAACGCGTCATGACAGCCGAATGGATCGAAGGCGTCCGCCTCTGGGATAAACCCGCCATCACCTCCCCCTGGCGCGGTCCCTCCACCGGTTCCCCCGGCGTCACTACCCCCCTCTCCTCGTCCCCCACAACCATTTACCCACCCAACCCCAACTCCCCCCGCCCCTCCGCCTCCTCCCCCATCCCATCCCTAAAACCCGACCGCACAACCACCCTCCTCGGCCCCCGCTCCAACTCCGGTCTCGGCCTCTCCCTCAAAGAAGTAATGACCACAATGCTCGACCTTTTCTCCGCACAAACCTTCCTCTGGGGCCTCGTCCACTGCGACCCGCACCCCGGCAACATCCTGCTCCGTCGTCTCCCCTCCGGCAACGCCCAACTCGTCCTCCTCGATCACGGCCTGTACGTCGCGCTCGAGCCGGGGTTTAGGGTGCAGTACGCCAAGTTCTGGCGCGCGCTCCTGGCATTCGATAACGATACCCTTAAATCGATAACAGCAGAATGGGGCGTCAAGCAACCCGACCTCTTCGCCTCCGCCACGCTAATGAAACCCTACACCGGCGGCGACCAATCCACCGCCCGCGCCCTGACCAAATCCCTCGAGGGCGCTACACCCGGCGAGCGTCACTTCGCAGCCCAAAACCGCATGCGCGCCGGCATCCGCGCCGTGCTCTCCGACGAGACGAAGTGGCCCCGTGAACTCATATTCTTAGCTAGAAATATGCGCATTGTGCAGGGGAATAACCAGTTCCTGGGTTCGCCGGTGAATAGGGTTAGGATTATGGGGATGTGGGCTAGTGAGGCAGTGGCGGAGGAGGGGGAGGGTGGGGGGTGGTGGGGGCATTTGAGGTTTAGACTTGGGGTGGCGGGGAGTGATGTTGTTTGGTGGGTTAGTAGGGGACGGCAGCTGGTGTGGGGGGGTGGGGGGATGGAGGAGGAGTTGGAGAGGGGGATGAGGGGGGTGGCGGGGGATGCGTTGGGGGTGGAGGTTGGGGAGGTTGAGGGGGGGATTTTTGGAGGGTAGGGAAGAGAGAGGGAGAGGGGTGGGTTGGAGTAGAGTAGATTGGATTGGGGTGGATGCATATAGCGTGGGGTCAGGCGTTTAAAGGTGTTCCCGCTCACTCGGTTGGATAGATTGTAGATATGTAGATAGAATGTACCATACTCTATCCTCTCTGCATCCATTGCTGACAGCTGGTCATAGTAGTACGCTATGTGTTCTATGGTTATGGGAATAGACGATGGACCAGCAAGGTTGCGTGCACGGACCTTGCCGTACCTGTCTCACACCTGGGATATAGAAGAAGCGCCTACATATCCGCGGAGGCCACTTACGCGCTTGTCGTCGCTGAATCTTCAGCTATATCATAAATTAGACGGCGACATCTTGTCCCTGACCCGTGCCAGCCATGCCCCTCTCCCCCGGCCAAATAATCAAAGGCGCTCGAGCATCATACCGACTCCTGCACCCTTTAAAAGGTAAAACCGTTTTCAAAGCCGAGATCCTACAAGCCCGTGATATCACTCAACGGTGGTATGTACGTCCACCATCCCCGTCTTTTCCTTTAAAATCTAAGCTAACATGGGGGATTCTACGTATTAGGGCCGTAGTCAAAACCGCGACTGGCTCCCTGGAACGGTCTGCTCTGCAGCGCGAATACCAGACCTACCAAAACCCCTTCGTAGCTGAAAGCCCATTTATCCGCTCCCTCCACGAGGGGGTGGGGGACATGGAAAGTCTCGACGCTGCGCCTGTCGACGGTGTGGCGCCGCCGTGTTTGGTGTTGGAGTGGATGGATACTGAGTTGCGGTTAATCTCATCAAGTGCATTTCGTAGCGGGGAACTGCCTAAACATGTTGCGAGACAGGTGTTGAAGGCATTGTGGGTGTTGTATTATATTGATTCTGCGCATACTGGTATATGCCTCCTTTCATGGTGATCAGGGTACTCGGATAGGGCTAACGGGGGGCTAGATGTGAACCTGAATAACATCCTAATCTCGAACCTCAACTCGCCGGTGCCGGTTGTCAAGCTCGCGGATTTGGGGATGGGTGAGTAGTAGCAGCAGCAGGTCTAAGTTGGGGACGAGATGGGGCTAACAGGCGGGTGCGTGTAGTGACCCCAGAAGGCTTCAACAGCCAGCGCCTCCAATCCCTCCCCTGCCGCGCCCCAGAGGTCTGGAAGAACCAGGGCGTCTCCCATGCCTCAGACATCTGGTCTCTCGGTGTTACAGTACGTTTTATTACCAAATCTTAACACCATAAACTGCTAACACCCCACCAGCTCGTCCACTGGCTCCTAGGTAAATCCATCTTCGGAGCGCGAGATAAACGCGTCGAAGGACTCACAGAAGCATATTGTATTGCTAAACTAGAACGACTCGTTGGACCACTGGGGGATCTGCCGGAGGGGTTATCGGTGGAGGCTAGGGAGGAGTTTAGGATGGCGGCTCTGCTGAGGGATATGGATATGCCTCCACCGGGAAAGGGGAAGTTGATTGATGTGAGGCCGCTGAGAGAGGAGCTCGAGCAGCTCCAGGACCCAGTGGTTCCGCCGGGACTCATCGATTTTATCGAGTCGCTGATAGTGGTGGATATGGAGAAGCGGCCGATTGCTCATGATGCGTTGAAGCATCCGTATTTGGATATTAGCAGTGAATCTAGGAATGGGGTTTCGGTTGTGGCTAACTGATTTTAGTTGTCTTGAAGAGCTACACTCAAATCTTATAGGGTTGTATAAACGTTGTGAGTATCACTAGCGTTGGTGTTCATTCATAAGGTTAGGAGCATATATGTAATATAGAACAATCTCATCCATTTATCGGCTTCCAGGCCTCTCTAAATTATGTATGAACATATGAAAAAGGGTATCGCTTCACCCCCATCGTGCGCTGTATTACAAATCTACAGGGTATATACATCCGCTCTGTCGCAAAGGAACAAAGAACCCGAATGGCTAAAGTAGAACACAAAAAAATCGACCAAAATAAAACCAAAAAATATGAAAACACACGGCCTCGCGCGATATTTTATAGGCCCTCCCCCTCCTCAATCCACGGCCTCCACTCATCCCCAGGGAAACTCGTAGCGCTCATCTTCACCTTCGGTCCCTCCTCATCCTCCTCGTGAAGAACACCCCCCACCATCGTTCCATTCACTCTCCTCACCGTCGCGTCCTCAACTACAATCATCCCCTCGCGCGAATCATCATAGATCTTCTCCTCATGATCAGGCATAATCCTCGACATCCTCCTCTCTCCCACCGCTCCTCCTCCCATAGTAGCACCCACCGTCGCGGCCGCCGCGGCTGCGGCAGCAGCACCCGGCGCGTTCACAGCAGGACTCCCACGTCCACTACTCGACATCTTACTAACCGCACTCGTAATCGTATCACTCCTCTCCAACGGCTTCTGCGGCCCCGCCACCACCGGCGGCGTCCCCGCACTCACACGCCCAGTATCCGTACCCTTCGGCATCGGACTAGGCGACTGGCTCTGCGCCTGCGCCTTCACTCTACTCTCCGCGCTAGCAGGCGACACGCTCTTTGGCGGCGGCGCAGGGGCAATAAGTGTATTCTCCCTCGTCGGCGGCATCACCACCCCCGCCGCCTCAGCACGCATCACCGCCTCCGCGGCAATCCTCGCATCCTCCGCCTGTCTCAGCGCCTCAGCCGCCTGCCTGCTCTTCTCGCGCTTCATCTCCTCATCCCCCGGCAACCTCAACTGATACGGAGCCTGCTGACCAAACTGGCCCCTCGCCGGTGAGCGCGCGAGGAGATCCTCGCTGCTTAGTCGGCGGGCAGCTGTTTTCTCGGGGCTGAGAAAGGGGACGGAGGGGGGGGTGTTCCACTCCTCGTCCTTTTTGGCTTGGAGCGCGGCTTGGACGGCGGCGTCTTGTGCGGCCCATTTCGAGGCGTAGTTCATGGCGGGCGCGTTGGGACGACCGGGGTACTCTTCGATCATGTGAGGCGGGAGGCGGGAGCGGGCGGGGCCGGGTTGGGGTTGGTTGAGGCCGCGGGGGTCGTAGCCGGTTGGGGCGAGGGTACCTTCGCCGCGGACGAGGGCGTAGGCGCCGGGGATGGGAGGGGTGACGTAGTATTGTTGCTGTTGCAGGGGTTGTTGGCCCATGGGTGCGATGTTGTAGTTTTGTGGTGGAGGGGTTTGCTGGGCCGGAGGGGCTTGCTGGTTGTTTGACGATTTGTCTGCCATGGCTGAGCTGCGGCGCCCGCCGAGGAGTGAGCTGAAGAGACCCTTCTTGGCTTTGGCTGGCACGGGTGCGACTGCTGGAGCAGTAGGGGGTGGTGACGAGGTATGCTGCGACATGGCTGGAGACTGGACTCGAGGCACCTGTTGGAATCCCTGCTGCATTGGTGGAGGCGTGTACATTTGTTGCTGTTGCTGTTGCTGTTGGTTCATGTACATTTGCTGCTGCTGCGCTTGCTGTTGCTGTGCGAGCTGTTGTTGCGCGTGCATCTGCTGGGCGTGCATTTGCTGGGCGTATTGTTGTCGTGCTTGCTCTGCGTGTTGTTGCTGCGATGGGTGCTGCTGCTGCGCCTGAGAGTTCATATACATCTGCTGGTGTTGCATGGGTGGCGTCTCATACACTCCCTGGTGCTGTTGACCTGGAACCGTATTGAAAGTCTGCTGCCTTTGGATGGGAGGAGGCTGTTGCTGTTGAAACGGCAGCTGGTGTATATCCTCTGGTCGATATGCGATCTGGCTAGGAGGTGTCACTTTCTGCTGGATCATGGAAGCTCGTTCCTGACCCTGCGCCTGCGCTACTACTGGGCGATTTACAATGAGTGACTTATCCTCCGGGTGCTGTCCAGGCGGGGTCTCAATTGGCTGTGTAGTGCGGCGACGTAGACGATCTTCAGGGTCGGGACCCGAGATCACACTTGCACGGCGCTCTGCATCGGCAGTTGGCCTTGGAGTTGACTCTCTGGATGTCGTAGAAGCAACTGGAGCCTGGTGCTGTGAGTTTGGCATGCGGGGCGGTGTAGGCTGACCTCCAGGGATTCCCATTGGCTGGATTTGCTGATGTGGCGCAGCGTTTATATTTCGCTGATGCAAATCAATTGGCTCTTCAGAAATGCGTCCTGAGCCAAACACTGGAGGAGGAGGCATGGACTTGTTATTTCCCTGCGGCGGTTGTTGCGCATTGGGGTTCACTTGCGGTGGAGTCCCGCGGACCTGGCCTTGTGCTATAACGGGCGGAACCATCTGTTGCTGTGGGGTGCCAGTTGGCTGCGTGCGTTGCTTCTCTACCGGCTCTCCAATGGACCCGATAGTAAGGATAGAGTCTTGTCGGTTGCTCAACGGGGCAATTGTTTGAAACTGTTGCGGCGGCGGCTGCTGTGCAATGGGGGTCATTTGTTGGTGGACCGGACGACCCTGTATATTCTGGCCTTGCTGCTGACGAGGCGCCTCACCCGTATTTATGCGCTGGAGAGCTGCTGGGTTAACCAGAACCTGCTGCTGTTGGGCAGGCAGCTGATCCTGCACTTGCGGATGAGGTCTCTTCACGAGTCCCTGTTGCTCCAGGATCTGCCTTTCGTTCTCATTCTTGACCAGAATCATGATCCCAGGCAATATGCTCGGGACATAGGTTCCATGCCTTGAGGAACCCCTTCCTCGATCAGCATCTCCCTTCTTACCCGTAAACATGCTGCTTATCGCCGAAAATCTGTTTTTCTTCTCTTTACCAGGCTGTGTTGAGTCCATGGTCACCAGCGTAGACTGTCTGCTGAACATCCTTGGCTTGTCTTCTTTTTTCTCCAGTCCTCCAGTATCGCTCCTGCCAAAGAAGGTCTTCCTCTTTTCAGGCGGCGCTAATGGGCTACCTGGAGCAGGAGTGTTGGCGAGCAAATTAGCTTGCGAAGGTCGATGAGTAACCATGCTTTCGCGGCTCTGGGGAGGAATATCTGGAGTTGGGCCTCTAGCCGATGGACTCAGTGCTGCGATTATGCGACTTCTCCTCCTCTCAACTGGTTTTTCTGGGTCATTGAGAGACATATCATCCGAGCTTGCTATCGAATCTCTCCTCGAGTCAAGTTGACCCCTCATCTCACGAGTACCATCGTCTTCCAGTGCTGACAGGTTCCTCTCGAGGCTTGAGCCTCGCGAAAGTCGGCCTCCGATTTCTTTTAGGATGCTGGGCTTTCGGGAATGCCTCACTGAGCCATTCCGTGGATCATCCATTGGTGGACCAACGCCGGCTATTTCGTATTCAGTAGCCTGCTGTCTTGGCAGGTGTCCTCTCTCAACGGAAGGATACTCTGGTGGAACATCGCGGTCTGCTTCATTCGGAAGAGCCTTATCCTGCTGTGGCTGGAAGAGCTCGGGGTATCTCTCCGACGACGAGGGCGGTATCTGAATAGCACTGCCGCGTGACATCGATTGACGGTTCTCAGTGTATTGCGGCGTAATCTTAGGAGGCTGGCTCACACCACTCAAAGAAGGTGGGCGGTTGCGCATAGCTTCAATGGAGGTTCGCTGCTGTTGGCCTTGCTGGAATTGCTGCGGGGTAGATTGCTGCAGGAAACCGCCGGCGCTCATAGGCACTCCTTGACTTGAGTTTGAAACCGGGCGCATTCGAGGCTGAGCATCTGATGATGATCGTCGCTGGTGCGCAGATGGTGGCATGGATTGTCTTGGCCCTTGCCGTGCTGGAGGGATCTGGCCTTGTTGCATTGGAGGCATCCGCTCCTGCGGTAATCGAGGAGCTCCTTGTTGTTGAGCGAGCATCTGAGGAGGCATCTGGGATACCTGCCCATGCTGCAACTGAGGTACTTGTCCGTGTGGTGCTACAAGCATATAACCTTGCGGATGCCCCTGTTGTCCAGGCGCAAACTGACCCTGCTGCATTGGAGGATACTGTCCCTGCTGAGGAGGGTATTGTCCCTGTTGTCCTGGATGCATTTGCACTTGTTGTGGGTGAGTATACTGTCCCTGCTGAGGATATTGCCCTTGCGGCACTGGAGCGAACTGTCCTTGCTGCCCGAGAGGATACTGCCCCTGTTGCATAGGAGGATATTGTCCCTGGTGTACCTGCATAGGAAGATACTGTCCCTGGTGTCCCTGCGCCATCTGCCCCTGAGGAACTGGGGAGAACTGCCTCTGCTGCTGCACAGGCGAAAACTGCCCCTGGGCACTAGGAGGATACTGTCCCTGTTGCAATGGAACATACTGCTGCTGTTGCTGCACCGGCGCCTGCTGTACCGGAACATACTGCTGCTGGTGTTGTTGCTGGTGTTGCTGTTGCTGCTGCACCTGCTGCACCTGCGGCTCAGACACAGGAGAAAACTCCTCCTCCTGCCTCTGCTGCTGCTGCACTGGAGGAAACTGCTGCGCCCCCGGCGCCTCAAGCATCTGCCCCACGAACCCCGGCCCCACCTGAGGCTCCGAAGTCAACTGATTCGTAATAATCGGGGGAACGAGCGGTCTGCCACCTGGAGAAACGGATCGTGGTGGGGTCGGGGCGACTTGCAGCACGTCGCCATTACGCGGCGCTATCATTGTAGAGGGGCGACTCAGAATCTCAGGTTCAGGCTCGTCAAAGTCATCTTGGAACGAGTATCGCTGGGTTTCCTTTCGTACCACCTCCTTGCGCACTGTCTCCTTACGCACTGTCTCGTCTGAGCCTCTATCCTGGGATGTTGGCTCTGCGGGCGGTGCTGTCTCGATTGCCGCGGCCGGTTGCTCCGGGATCATCTCCCGCGGCTCTTCTGTGACTGAGACCGGAGACACAGCGCCGGAGCTACGCACATCATCTTGCTCAACCGCCTCGTTGCTGAGCGTTTTGACAAGGCGAGTGACGGAGTTATAGTCGAATGTGCTGGAGCGACGGATTGGGGGCAGAGCGGAGAACGCTGCTGCATAGGAGGGTTGGTCGGCCGAGGGGGTTAAGCCAGTTGGGGTTTCGGCGTAGGAAGTGGGCGTCTCGACGGTTGCGCCAGGGCTCCAGGGGCCGGCTTGGCGCCTGTTGTCTGCGATTGAAGTGTCGACGGGAGAGAGGTAGGTCTGTTCGCGGGAGACCTCGGCGTTGTTGGTAGCTGGGATTTCAGAGTTGAAGTGTTTCAGTGTAAAGCCATTGGTAGCGATGTGCGGCAGTATAGCCGTAATGATTGTCTCCGCTATGGTGGGTTCTTCGACGATGGGCTCCTCAACAACTGGCTCTTCAACGGTTGGCTCTTCGACGGTTGGCTCTTCGACGGCTTGCTCATCGACGGCTTGTTCTTCGAGGATTGGCTCATCGACGGCTTGTTCATCAACGGCTCGCTCTTCAACGATTGGCTCTTCGACGGCTTGCTCTTCAAAGGCTTGTTGCACATCGATGACTTGCTCTTCGACGGTTTGCTCTTCGACTGGCTCTTGGACTGGTTCAGCGACAGGCTCATCAACGGCTTGCTCATCAACGGC